TGTGTACATAGTCGCTCAGTTGTGTCCGACTCTTTGCAACCCCATGGACTGTAGCTCACTACACTCCTCTGTTCATGGAATTCTCTGGGCAAGAATACTGGAGTGGGTAGCCATTCCCTTCTCCAGGAGATCTTCCCAACCCAGGAAATGGGTCTCCTGCATCTCAGGCAGATTCTTTATCATCTGAGCCACCATGAAATATTTTTAAAAAGCTGTGCTACTTATAATTTCACTTATAACCTCTTTATCCAATTCATGGTGTCTAGAAAGATGGATTTCAGTAAATATATGTTGCATTATTCCTTGGAACAATTTGAGGCACAATTTTCCATTCTGTTTCTCAGATATTCAAACACCAGGGCTCATGTGAGATTTTTATTTTTTTAAAAATTCATACTCTGTCAGTCTTTATCTCGTTTGCAGATTTTGGTGATAGCTCTATGTATGAGAAGAAGGTACTGCAGATCCAAAATCTTTGGAGCAGGCCTCTTGGGTACTTTTTAAAATTTAGGTCTGAGATCAGTTCACCACGAACTGAGACCAGGTAGGGATTTAGGACTTAGGACCTAGTAGTTTAAAGGGAGGGTGGTAAAGAAACTAGGCAAGTTAACGTCTTCCCTTTTTTTGCTTCAGGTTCCTGAAAAGCTGCTCATACTAAACTTGATGTTAGTCCAATTTTAATAGCCCTTGGGAAGGTCATATTTACTTTCTCTTTCCAAGGTACTGAATTGCTATTTCCATTTTATAAATATTATTATATGTATGCTTTTCATTGAAAGATGCTTCTAATTATTTTTGGAAAGAGGCAGGAAATGCTTCTCTGTTGCCCGCTTGCGCTCCCTAGTCCATGACGACTGTTACTTCAGGGACTGAATTTAACTGACACGGGAGGTGGGAGGTGGGCCAGGGAGGGAAGTAGGCTGGTCTTCTGCCACTTTGTGGTCTGTTTTCGGTTTTTGATGTAGACGTGGTTTTTTTTTAAACTTTTCATTTTATATTAGAGTATAGCTGCTCAACAAGGTTGTGATAGTTTCAGGTGGAGAGTGAAGGGACTCAGTCATACATAGACATGTGTCCATTCTCCCCTAAAGTCCCTGATGTGGAGCATCTTTCAAGTCTTTATTGAATTTGTTACAATATTGCTTGTTTTATGTTTTGGTTTTTTGGCCATGAGACATAGAAATCTTAGCTCCCTACCAGGGATCAAACACACACCCCCTACATTGGAAAGCCAAGTCTTAACCACTAGACCACCAGGGAAGTCACTGTGGTCTGTTTTTTTCGGTATGGACTCTCTTGTTTGTCCTGGTACTCTTGAAAAGCTGTTTGTTAGCATAGCGTTTCTTGGAATTCCTAGATTATATCAGATTGAAGTCCTTAGTAGAATAGAAAATAATCTGCTGAAATTTAGATTTGACCTCACTTCTCCAGACTTACCAAAGTGAAATGAGAAACTGAATGGAAAAAAAAAAACCAAAAACTTTTTTCTTGGGTTGCTTCTTCTCTTTCTTTTCATATGATTTTTTTTAAAGTTTATCTATTCCTTTTCATTCAATTTCATTCTTTTCCCCATAATTTCTTCTTCATATTACTCTGAAGTCTGTAAGTACTAGAAATACCTATTATAGTGATTAGGAATATGCATTGTGGGGCCAGGTTAACTGAATTTGAATTCTAGTTCTCCAGTTTACCAGTCATATGCCTTTTTTTTTCAAATTGTTCAACCTCCTTATACCCCAGAGAGGCACAGATATAAGATCTATGAAATGGGAATAATAGTAGTAACTACCTTATTGGGATGTTACAAGAGCAAAATAAGTTCATATGTATTGAGTACTTGAACAGGCTTCTGGAACATTGTTTTCAATACATGTTTTTGATGATGATTATTGTTTTTGCTTATTTAACTTTGTGGATAGTACTTTTGCTAAGTGCTGGTAGTCAAACCAGTAAACTTTTTCTGGCAAATCATTACTCTGACTGGATTATCCTGCCTCAGAACTGAACTAACAAAGTTACTTATAAAGAATGACTCTAGGACCTTGGAAAATCCCAGGTGTCTGGGACTTATTCAGGACTTATATCAGTTACTTCTTGTTTTCCTTTTAATCTTGGCTTAAGCATCATAATCTGTCTTTAAGATACCTTCTCTTTCTTTAGAATCAGTTTGTCTTCTTGGGTATTTTGTCAAATTCTGAGCATAGAATGTATTTAGAGCCTTCCTGTGAAGATAATATTAGTGCCTAATATCTGTGTCTTACTCTGCTGTGAATGATTTCCATTCGGGAAAGTCTATGAGTTTCTCAAACCACCTCTTCCTCCTTGATTATGCAAACAGCTATAGCATGGAAATTTCTTGCTCCAAGCCAAATCATTAGCAGAGAAAGCATTTAAACACCGTTAAGTACCAATCCTACATGTATATTTGGAGGCAGCTCCCAATTTTGAGGAGCAAACCTAGACATGAATCATTTTGAAAACTGGAGGAAGAAAGGGGGATGGAAGACGATGTTCTTGCATTTTTTGTATCAGGTCAACTTTAGCAGTCTGGGGCTTAGTTAATAGGTACTTGTCAATCTTTCCATTAAAACAAAACTTACAAGGATGATATTCTCTGATATTCTTATACAGTATCTTCTCTCTTGCTATCCTTACCCTTTACTTGAAGTCCTGTAGGGCATTTCAGCTACATGATGGATTTGTCCCATGGGAATAAGTTTACAGGGTTAGACTCAGACTCTCCATCCAAGCAAATAAACCAAAAAGTTAGACTTCAGAGAGATACATTATCACCAAGTATTGTGACTTCCTGTTTTCTGGGGTAGATTGAAACTCATTAATACTCTTAGCAGTAGAAATCTTTAAAGGAAATAGAATCTGCTCATTTCTTACTTTGCTCAGCATACGACTTGGACCTTTTCCCTCTGTGGGGTATTCAAAGAGGGAAAAGCTTTTAGAAGCAGTTTTCCAAATCTTCTGTGTGATTTGGCTCCGTGCAGTCCTTCCTATGGGCATACCCCTGCGTTCAGTCAGGTGCAGAAGAGACCAGAAGGTGTGCGGGGAAAATCCTCAGCTGATGGACAGATTTATTATCAGCTTGGTCAGAGACAAGAAAGCTGTTCATACTTCATTCCAAGTGTCAAACTACTGACCTCTAACCCTACCAATACTCTCTTTGATGACATCAAGCTGGCCTTGTTGTTTGTGGTGTGAATGTGCTGTGTCAGCAAGCTTTAGCTGTATTAGTGGATCCTAGTTTTCAGTGTGGGAATGCCCCTCAAAAAGGACAGGGAGAACAAGAGATCTGCCCAGGATATTGGTCTCAGTTCCTTCACATCTACAATAATCACCTTAAATGAGAGAGTCACAGTCCATGCCCACGTAAAATTTCTTCCTGATAGGTATCTCCTTTATTGCAAAGAGGTTGGGTTTTCTAAGATTTCCTTCCTGCTTGCCCCTCTCTGAATAGCCTAGATGGCATACTGCTATCCAGTGCCAGGGGAAAAGGAATCACTTGCTGGACTCAGCTGGTTTCTAGGCATCTCTTGAAGGGAGAATGAATAAACTGAGCTATGTGACCCTTTGAAGATGCATTTGGGATGTGTGCCATCCCTATGATGAAAAGACAGCAATAACCCTAAACATTAACTGGTTCTTGGATGATTAAAAAATAAAATTTATGAAAAAATTAAATTTTATCAGTTATTAAATGCCTCCCATTTTAGTATACAGTTGATTGTGTGCAGCTTGGCAATTAAAGTATTTATAGATACTTAAAAGGCTAGTTTTGAGTTTCTGGAGATGAGACTATTTGGGCTTACTCTTTTACCGTGGAACGTCATGAAATGGGACTGCCGTCTGATCTTGGAGATGTACCCTTTTCTTACTGAAAAAGAAATTAGAATCTGAGAATCACTATGAAAACACTCTTTAATGAAACAAAAAATAGACCAATAAAGATATCATACTTGTGAGAGGGAGACTCTTAAAAGACCATAAAGGGCAGAAGTTCACACTATTTTAAAAAACTTTTCAACCTAGGAAGTTCAGCTGTAATAACTCTGGCACTCCCAAGCATTTCTTGAGCGCAGTGGGTAAATGACCTTGTCTCTGTACTGAATGATGGGGATTTGAGTAAGACAGGATCCTTGATCTCAGAGGATTTCATAATGTCATAGGGGAAACAGATAATCAGCGAATAGAATGGAGCCTACAGTGAGGGGGTCATGAGATATGTTCCAAGTCTGGGGAAGCACAAGGGAGGGGCTGATAGTACTTTTTTCCTTCAAGGGAACTTCCTGATTTTTCCACTGAGATCTAGAAAACCAGGGTTAAAAAGCATTTGGCTAACAGCAGTGAAGTGATCGTCAGTACGTAATATGGTAACAATGATGTGGGCTTGTAGCACATACCGTGCTTTTGCAGAGCACACTATGCTTTTCAGAGTGCTTTACTAGACATTGTCTTTTGGAGGTTCCTGTGTGTGTGGATGAGGAAATGGTGACACAGAAAAGATGTATAATTCAAGTCAGAGTAAATAGGTACGGAGTGGCACCCCAGGTCCCAGGTTTCCTGGCTTCTTGGCCTATTTTCTTTCTTTGACCTTCCAGCCAAAGAACCAGCCCTTCATCTCCCGAACCGTGTGTGATGGTACATTACTTTCCTGGGGTGTTATTTATATTATGTAAAAGAAGATTGCATTTTGACAAGTTAAAATTTCTTCTCATTCTTCGGCTTGGAGGGCACAGTCACTTTAGAGCCCAAGTGCCTGGGCTTCCATCCCCCTACTATGCCCTCTCAAAGCACTCTACTTACCACCTTAAGCACGTAGTCCAGTTTGTAATTTGCTGTTTGTGTCATTCTTAGGTTATCCAAAGAATGTCTCTTTTGTTTACCAATATATGTTCAGCAGTTAGTGTCTAGGATATAGTAGTTATTCAAGAAGCGATTGCTAAGTCACATCTTCCTTGAAGATTTGTGTGCTCTTTCCATTCTTTCAGGATACCCAGTATGTGAGCAGCTAACTTGTGCCAACGGAGCCTGCTATAACACCAGTCAGAGGTGTAATGGGCAGGTTGATTGCAGAGATGCCTCTGATGAACTCAATTGCAGTAAGTAATATGCTGGAGCTGGCTTACTGGCCAGTTATGCACATTTCTTCTCAAGTTTGTGTTCAGTAAATTCATGTTGGTGGCTTAAAGTCAGCCGTGGTGGAGTATTTTACACTATGGAAATCGGCAGATGCAGTGAGGACTTTTATGTTCCTGGAGAACTGGTTATTAAACATTTACCAGCACACTGCTGCGTGGTAAGAATCTTTTGAAACTTGAGATAGACTCTTCCTACGAAATTAAGTGGCTCCAGTGAAATTGAAATTCTCTTTTCTTTCCCCTTTTAACCTTGTGTCCCAGCTCGCCGATGCGCGCGCAGTGAGTTCCAGTGTGGCGGTGGGCAGTGCCTTCCTAGAACCTACGTCTGCGACCATGAAATTGACTGTGAAGATGGCAGTGATGAGCTTTCTTGCAGTACGGTGACTTCCTCATTTTGGGTCATGCTGTTAGGAATGCTCTTGTCTTTGTGTTTCCCCCCGCCACCGACGTATTCTCTGCAAATAAAAGAGCCACTGTGTCTGATGGCAGAGGAAGCCAGAATATCATTTAGGGCCCATGGCGTGAGCCTCAGCAGTGTTGCTGAACTTGGATTTCTTCACCTTCCAAAAATCTGTGTGGAGTTGAAGGGCTGCTCATGGACAGTTTGCCTTCTTTTCTTAGGCCACAAAGATACAGGTTATATTGTATTACTGGATTTCCTTTCTGGCATCTGGGCTTATTCAGTGCTAAATTGAGAGGAATGTGATATCATGGAATGAGTTACTCAGAATCATTGAGTCCTAGAGAGTAATTTCCGTGCTTGTGGTCAAGTGAGAGAATGTTGGCCATTGGCATTTCTGTAGCATCTTTGTCAGTCTGTATTCTTTGCTCTGTGTCCACTTATAGCTATCTTAGTTTTCATCTTGATGCACTTGATTTTCATGTCCTGAACCCAAAGCTACTGTTTGCTTCTCGCCCTTCTCTCTTCTTCTCTCTCTTTTTTTTTTGTTCATTTTTGCCAAGATAGTTAAGGGACTAAATGGGCGTAGAAATTTCAGTTTCTTGGAGCTCAGTTTAGGTGGCAGGGTGAGCACTTTGATTTCTTTCCAAAGGTTTATATCCTTGGAGTGTAGCTGTCATTTTATTTTCTTCCAGGTTCTTATCAGACCTGCAAAGGCAATGAATTCACTTGCCCTAACGGTGTCTGCATTGCACAGAACTGGGTTTGTGATGGAGAAGGTGACTGTGTAGATAACGCTGATGAGGATGGATGCGGTAAGGAGGGGAAGAGCTTCTGATTGGAAAGTATTTTCCAATTTCCAAGCAAGTGTTTTCCAGGACTTGCTTTTCTTACTTTCCTTGTTAGAAATTATCTGTGTGACACGCAAGTTTCCAGATGGGCTGGACTGACAGGGAATTTTGGGTGAGGAAGAGTGGTTCCCCTAGCTTTTTCTAAAAAGACACAGAATTCAAATATAGCATAAATTATAATCCTTTCCTAACAGTAAGGCCAAGGAGATAGGACAGTCTCTCCCCTTTATAGCCCTATCTGAGGTTTTCCTTTTAAGACTTTTATCTTAATTAGATTTATCTATATAAAAGAAGTAGGCTGGGGAAGGTGGGAAAATATGGGGAAATGTGATTTGTCTTAAGACCTTACAACCATGAAGAACGACTGAGCTGAAGGTTGGTAGATGTAAGAGAGGCCACTATCGGGAGAAGTGAGAAGGAAATTGTCAGTGATATTTATCCCCTTCACTGGGCAGTTATCAGCAGTACCTTCAACAGCTTGGAAACTGCTAACACCCACACATAAAGAAAGTTACCTTTATGATTCTAGCCTGGGTATATTAATAATGTTGCTTGTTTTGGTTGGGAGCATCCATTAGTTTCATGCTTCGGTATTCCAAGAAGTTGTTTTCCAACTTCTGGATTATAATCTTTCTTATACTGTTGACAATTCACTAAAGAAACAAAACAAAACAACCAACCAAAAATCATACACACACACACACACACACACACACACACACACACACACTCAGGAATCCTGGCGTTACCTTGATAGCGCTAGTTCTATTGTTCATAATTTAATAACTAAATGTTCTCCTACAGGTTATTCATCTAGTTTGTTGATAATGCAGGCCCATTTCTGCTTCTTACTCTTATAATTTGGCTGGTAGTTTCCTCCCCTAGAAACACTGGAACCTAAATAATGACATTTACCATTCTTTAGAATCTCAGTAGAAGGTCAGTTGTAGCGTTAGAAACTACTTATTTATGGTGAAATATCGGTCTATTGTAGGTTTCTTGTTTACCTGATCTCTATCCCCTCTTAACTTAATTGAAAAATGGCTGGCTCTGCCTCTCATATGGCCTATAGTAACTCTCTTTTTCACCCACAGAAAGCAAAATTAATCGTACCTTTGAATGTTACCCAAATGAATGGGCCTGTCCAAAGTCTGGAAAATGCATCCCAATTTCTAAAGTTTGTGATGGGACTTTAGATTGTCCAGGAGGAGAAGACGAAAGCAATATCACTGCAGGACAACAGTGTGGTGAGTATGGAAATTTATCTGGACATCTTTCAAGTAATGGTGTCTCTGTTTTTCTATAACAGATTGCCACATACAGAGAGTATCAGTTGGTGTTTGCAGAATGAACAGTTCCAGGACTTAGTAGCTCTAACCAACAAACATTTGTTATTTCTCACAGTCCTGTGGGTTGGCTACATTATTCTTTTGGCCTGAACCAGCTCACTCACATCTCAGGATGTTCCAGTAAAAGCATGGCTAGACCAGGCCTCTGCTTATGTCATGTTTCCTAAGTGTTCTATTGGCCAAAAGAAGTCACACTGATCCCAGATTTAATGGACTGAAGAAATAGACTCCATTTCTTGATGGGAGGAGTTTATAAATATTTGTGACTCTTTCTCCCCCTCCCCCCGCATCTCCTTCCCAGGAAGAATGGTTTTAATGGTAATTGTGATGACTCAAAGTATTCTGGAGATTTTATTCCCTGGATTATACCTGTGGAAAAAGTGTTGCTGGCTTTACTCATAAACTTCTGGTTTCAGGGATCTAAACTTGGAGTTACCCACCCCACCACCTCCACTCCATAGCCGTAGAATATTTCCCCACTATAAGCCATCACTTCTGTGGACAGTTGGCTGTCCTGTAGGAAAGTACAATTCATGGCCTTGATTTCTCTCTGAATTATCTTATAGTTGCCTAGCAGTGACCGTGAACTGTAACCCTAAAGTTTTGGTGATTTCTTTTCCACGAAAAAAGAGGCTTCTTTTTCCCCCCCATTTCATTGGGGAGCCCTTTTAAATAGTCCTAGTGCAAAAGTTAGAAAACAAAAATTAGTTGAAGCTAGCTTGGATTATTCAGTTAAAAATTTAGTATTTAGTGTTCAGTGGCTTGGGAATTCTTGGGAATATCCTTCTATTCTTTCTAGATAGAAGAAATAGATATCTCGATAGATATCTTTCTATTAGATATCCTAATATCTTTCTAGACACAAAGATAGACTTTTGACCAGATTTTTTTTCATGAGTAGCACTTCTGATGCCTTGTGCTTGCACTTAGTTATAATGAATTTTATAATGTGCTGAGTTTTTATTGCATCATACTGCAGGCTTGAATAGTGACCAATTTTCTGTGTTACTGCATACTTACTGAGCTTTTACTTTGGAAAGTTCTTCTTATAAATCATCCTTGTCCGGAGATCACCTTTCATTTCACAAAGTCTTTTTCTCTGTTTAGATGTGAATCTGTGTCCGTCCTTGGGATGTGAGTACCAATGCCACAAGTCACCAGGTGGAGGGATGTGTTATTGCCCCTCAGGTTTTATTGTCAACAAAAATAGAACCAATAACTGCGTCGGTAAGTGACAGACTTTCATCACAGTACTTATGGCACTGGGGACACTCCCTTTAACATCAAGGAGTTTGTATTTGTGGAGAGGAGAATCTGTTAACCAAGAGCAATACAGTCTTCACTGAAAACCTGGACAATATGAAGTTTTAACTCTGAGAAGCTTTTGTGAGGTGCCCATGGCAAAAGAGTGGTTGTATGATGAGTGAGTAAGTTAGCTATGTGTATATCTGTCCAGTTCCTAATGATGGAGGTTGTTCTTTTCATATATTGTGTATTGCTGTTTTATATATTTGGAAGCAGAATTATATAGCCATACTTGTTAAATACAGTTGGCCCTCCCTATCTGTGAATTCTTCAGTCTCCAATTCAGTCAACTGGGGATCAAAAAAAGAAGGGGAGTGGGGGGCAGAAAGTTCCCCAAAGCAAAACTTGAACTTTCTGTGTGCAGGCAGCTATTTATATAGCACTTAGGACTCCGAGCTTTCACTGCCAAGGGCCGGGGTTCCCTGGTCAGGGAACTAAGATCCCACAAGGCGTGTGGTGTGGGCAAAAATGAATAAATGAATAAATAAAATAAACAAGCACAAAAGGAACACTCTGGTTTACAAACTGTGGAGAAAGTCTATTTCCTGAGTTTCTGACACGGAAGGCCTGCTTATGCTCTCCTCTCCAAGTATAAGACTGCTCAGGCTGTCTGCCAGATGATGCTCTCCTCTCCAAGTGTAAGACTGCTCAGGCTGTCTGCCAGATGTCAGGCTACTCTTCCCCTTCACTGCCACCCAGCTGCCAATCCGATTTCCAGTCTTAGTTCTCTAGGCCTTTCCCCTCTCTCTTACTAGAAAAGGAATTCCAGTAGAGATGCCGGAAGCCACATTCTCAGTGTTACATTTGTTTTTCTCTCTTTTTCCTCTCAATCCTAAAGAGAAATTTGGGCTAGGCCGCCTTGTAGTTGGAACTCGATAGGCCATGAAATGTTTTCAGGAAAGAGATTTGCTCTTTAAGAATCCCTGGTTCATTCTTGTGATACCTTGCAACCTATTCTTTAGTCTCTCCACCCCCACCCCCCATTCTAGAGCCATATTTTCCAACATGTTTTCCAACATCTTTTCTAATACTTAAGCCTATGATGAGGTTTGAGTTGTAGGTCAGAGAGAGGTCCAGGCTGCTTCAATTTTTTGCAGCCCTTAAGAAATGAAAAACTTTCGTAACAAGATTTTTACATTTAAATCTATTAATGAGGGTAACACAATTTTGTAGTATTATGCTGCACACAGGATCATTTCAGAATTCATAGAATACTTTTGGTTCTACTACTACTGGAAGTAGTCTGATACTTGGGCACTAATTCTAAGGTCCACAAACATCTTTTAGTCCCTTTATGATGTACCTAAGACTTTAGTGCAGATGGCCTCTTTTGGATACAAGCTCAAAAGTCTGCAATTTTGAGTTTTTGTGAATGTGAGGCCCTCTGCTACCTGCAGAGACTTTCTCTGTGACCTTTCTTGTCCTTTAAGAATGTACCTTTGCCTCCTGAGTTTTGAAGCCGGGTTAACATTTATTTCACATTTCTTTTCAAGAAGACTATATTTTGCTTTCTTGGTAGAGAGAACCTATTAGTTTCAATACATGACATTATGAAACCAGTTACACTCATTTCAGCTGAGCTTTTAGAGAATTGTTTAGGTTTGCTCTTTCAAGCATTTCAGTTGAACAAACACTCTCTGTATGCCTGTAATCCTCTGCATGCCTGACTTACCACAGAAGCTTCAGGTGTTGGAAACCTATGCAACATTTATCAGCTTAGCCGTGGCTCCCCAGGGGATGCCTCAGTGATTGTTAAGAATAAAATGGAATAATCATGACATGAAATCTTTCCTTCTACCATTCTGCTCCTGGTAGTCTTGACCTAGCTGTGGAGACTCTGAGGCAAGCCACCAGAGCAATTTACTGGACTATTGTTTCTGATTGACAAGGGCATGCAGTTTGTTGAGGGAATGACATCCTGGTGCAGCCTTAGGGCAGGAAGGCCATTTAGCACGGTGGGATTGCACACAGCCAGATGGATCATAGGGTGTCCGAGCAGTATTGCTCTCAAAGCAGTATCTGTTGGTAAGAGGGGACAAAGAGTAAAAAGGAAAGTAAATCAAGGTGACTTGGGCTGGGAAGGAGGATTTTAAAGCAGCATTTTAGTGTTTTGTAGTTTCCATTACCTTTTCTACTCTCTTTAAAATTCTCAGGTCTCCCTTTCATTTTTCTTGTCTTTCTTTTGGCTGACAATGGATTTTAATTGGCCTTCATTCTTCTTTGTAATGATGAACAGAATCTTCCTCAGTCATTAAAAGTGACAGTGTTTATTTACTCATTTACACCTGTAAAGTACTTGTAACCCAGACTGTAGGAAGGGCATTTGCACCCAAGAATTCCCAGTTATGACTTTTCCATCCTCTTTTTGACATGAGAACTCCTGTTTCCAGGGTGACTCCAGATCCTTAGACATAGTCATAGTGTCTTGCACTCAAAATGAGGTCATGATAGCCTGGGAGTTTGAGGGCGAATGTCCTGTACATTCCTACTGAAGCAAAGCGTCACGTGGTGTTTTCTCAGAAATGATGTGAGGGCACAGAAGAAATAGGTCAAATGTTGGCTTTTTGTCTATACCCGCATGTCCTTTTACCTTGTCCTTGTCCAAATTGGATTAACTTTTTCTTGTCACAGTCCTGGGGATGAAAGATGTGCTGGTCTGTGTTGTTATACTTGATCTGGAGGGAAAACGGAAACCATTATTTTGATCCCAGGGCTTTCTTGGTCTTTCTTTTTTTTAATTAAAATTTTTTAAGATTTTGACTGTGCTGGGTCTTAGTTGTGGCATGTGGGCTTTCTCTCTAGTTAATGGCACCTGGGGGCTTCTCTAGTTGTGGAGCCTGGGCTCTAGAGGGCAAGGGCTTAGTAGCTCTGGGATCTTAGTTCCCCCACCAGGGATCAAACCCATGTCCCTTGCATTGGAAGGCAGATTCTTAACCACTGGACCACCAGGAAATTCCTTCTTGGTCTTTCTTGTTGGGGAGTCACAGGATGGTGGGGCATGCAGTAGGTGTGGTAGAATTCAACTCACAGCTTTGCAAATGTCATCAGATTCTAGAAATTCTAGAGAAACCTAGACCTGTAAGTCTCAGGAATTATAATTTACTTGAGAATTTTCTGAAGCCCTAGGGAATAGGAGCCTGTTGATTTAGACTGTGGACATCATTCTTCAAAGAAAGAGAGCAGGGCGAAAGAAGGTGAAGAGTGGATGTGAACTTCGAGGGTCAAATGAAATATTTGGCAGCAGTTAACCAAGGATAGGACAATTTCTTGCCCTTTAAGCTTTATAATCTTAAAGAAAGACATGTGTGTTTTTCTTCCCTCCCCCCATGTTGTATTGTTTATGTGTCAATTATATTGAAAGTCTTTTTACTATTTGATAGAACTGGAACTACTTGGCCATTGAACAGAGCTCTATTGTGTAATGGATTTTCAACAAGTACATATTAAATGAATGAATAATGCTAATGAGTAAGCAGAAGAGAATGTATTTTTCATGACTTAAAAATGATTTTAATTTTGGTGATGACTTTTGACATCAGAGAATAGGATAAACAGACCTTTCCAGATACTTTATTGCATACTTTATTTGTGTCTCATTGAGCAGTTGGATATAAGGCAGTTCTTTCTGCAGTGATGGAAATGTCTGTGTCCTCCAGTACGGTAACTGCCAGTCACATGTGGCTGTCAGCATTTGAAATGTGGCAAGTGTGACTGAGAAATTGCATTATTAAGTTTATTTCATTTTAGTTAATCTAAATATGACTTTGAGAAGCTGCAGAGAGCTAGTGTCTACCAGATTGGAAAGCACAATTTTAAAAGGATGCATTTATACCAAAATTCAGGTATTTTGTAAACCATCATTAATAAATGAAATGCTAAGGCAATGAGTCCAAGCAGTGTTGTGCATCACCCGCAATGTTATCCTTTATGTAGATTTTAAAGAACCTTAGGTTTTCCTTAGTGTGACAATGCCTATGCCCTGCCTCCCTAGGGGGTACTTTCTTAGGCAGTTGCATCACCAGATTCCTGTATAGCTTGTCTAAAACTTTTTTCAGAAAGTGCTCAAGACATGTTGTTAAATGTTATTATAACTAGTTATTTCCTATGTGGCAGATTTTGATGATTGCCAGATATGGGGAGTTTGTGATCAGATATGTGAAGACCGAATTGGCCATCACCGGTGTGACTGTGTAGAGGGGTATGTCCTGGAGCGCCAGCAGCACTGCAGAGCTAATTCTTCTTGTAAGTAAATTAAAGACACTCATGTTTCTGAACACTAAACTTCCACCCTCTTTGCATAGCAGAAGTCCAAAGAAATATCAGCATTAAGGCAGATGGCGGGTTTGATTACCACAAATCAGATGTGGCACCTGCTGTTGGAAGAATGGGTCAACATTAATTTCATGCTGTTAGGGACCAACTTGTGGATTAATAGTTGTTGGGTTTTTTAAATTTTATTGATTGCTTGTTCACTTTGGGCCTGAAATAGTGTATCATCTACCACATAAATTTTATGAGTACATTTGACCTATTTTTAATTAATGTACCTACCACAAGCTGACAAATATCAATAGGCACTGTTTATGCAAAATTTTTTTAGAGGTGATTCAAAATGGACCAGCTAAATTTGGATTACAGCTTGTGAAAATGCCCTCATTATAAGAGCACTGTGGTATAGAAAAGTCATGAAAATTTTTGTCACTGGATTTCTGGGTAATGAGATCTTGACTTCACTCTCTTCTCCCAATTATTATTATTTTTTTCCCACACCTATTTAAACCGCCTTTAGTGTCTTTCTGAAACTGATTTGCCCATCTGTTTTCTAGTTGTTTTTGTGTAGAAAATACCTGATATGCTGTGGACTAACTTTAGTTACAACTGATTTTTAACATTTATTTATTTTTGAACAGGTACATACTCATATTTTCAAAAATTTCACATTATTGAGAAGTTATATGACCACCTCCCCACCCCCTATACCCATTCCACTCTGCCCAGTTTCCCACTTCTCCTCTTCTATGGATAATCACTGTTTAATTCTAGAGATTATTAAATGCATAAATAAGAGTATGCAAATATAGACATTTAACTCTATTTTTACATATATGGTAGTAAACTATACATACAGTTCTTCGTTTTGCTAATGTTGCATACTATATTTTTAAGGGCTTACCATATCAACATAGAGAACTCTATTTTAATTTTTTTTTATTTGAAGTATAGTTGGTTTCCAGTGTTTCAGGTCTACAGTATTTTTTAACAGTGGCAGAATCCGTGTTTTGGACGTATGTAATTTATCTAACTAGTCCTTTAGTGATGGACTTTTATATTATTTCTTATCCTTTGATATAGCAAACCAGACTTCAATGAATAACTGTATTCATTTTGCATTCTTGTAAGTCGTTTGGATCCACCATTGCCGTGTTTTTCACATTGGGTGGTTTCGCATTAACCTTTAAAATGTATTTTGTGTTTTAGACAATTTAAAGTTGCACCTGGGGAAAGGTGCCCATATCATCAAAGATTCTCTGATACCTCAGTGTCATTGAACCAGCATTTAGGACACTTGAGTTCTTGACAGACTCTGTTCCTAACTTACTGTGATTTTGGACATTTCATTAAACCTTTGTGCCTTGATTTGCCCATCTGTAATGATATGTATTTCTACATACACATTCCGATATGTATTTTCTGAATATTTAAAACCAAATAAGAAAACATAGTTGCAAGTTGCTTCATCATCTCTGTTCACTTGAAGGACTGACAATGCCTTCCTTCTTCACATTTAGTTGGTGAGGCCTTTGTGATCTTCTCCAATGGTCGGGATTTACTAAAGGGTAACATTCATGGAAACAACTTTCAGATTCTGGCAGAGTCTCAAAATCGTGGATTGGCTGTGGGTGTGGATTTTCACTATCGGCAACGCAGAGTCTTTTGGACTGACATTGTGCAAAATAAGGTAAATAGAAATTTCTGGAGTATAGCTTGGGACCTGATAGAACTCCAAGCACAAAGTGTTGATAGTTTTTCATTTTGGGAGGAGTAAGGAGGGAAGTTCCTTTGTTTTCTAACAAAAAAGGCCCTTGAGATATTTTATGTTAATCAGCACCTTTTACTGCTATAGTATTACATGTGACCTGTTAAACAAAGCAGACTATTATATGGATTAGCCTTGAGCAACTTTTAATTTTATTCGAAATGGAGTCCAAAAGCCTAATTAAAAGAAATAGTAGACATTCTTTCAAAACTGGATAGATATTTGGTAGTAATTTTTGAAACTTGATCATTTAAAATGTAAAATGTATTCTGCTTTCCTGGATGATAAAAATCAGATTTTACCTGCATCTTCTAAATGAAACTGTAATTGAGCATTGGGTAACAAATATTGACAGTATTTTGTTTAACAGCCAAAATTTCATTATGCTCTCTTATTTGGAAAATGTGATGGATCTGATTTCAACTTTGAGTAATGCAACAGAGATTTTTTTAAACATAAATTTTAGAGACTCTTAAAGAGTTATGATATTTTATTTTTTCTTACATTTCCTTGTACAATTAATAAAATTTTAATTCAATTAACAGATAAATTCCATAAATTTTCCAAAAATTGAGACTTTGGATTACTAGTAGGTATGATTTAATAATAGCTAGAAATCAAAACAAACTACTTTCACCTGTGCCACCAAAAATCCACATTGAATTAAACTTTCACTAACTACCTAAGAATTAGAGATGCAGGCTTTTTTTTAAAAAAAAAAAACAAAAAACTCAACTTTTTATATATGCCTCACATGCTTTTAAAGAAATGCCCCACCACCTCCCAGTAACCCATGATGTAAAATAAAAAGTCTCTAGTGAATTTTTTTTTTTAGCTTAAATGACTGATTTCTACACCAAAGATAAGTCCCTGGAAAACTCTCCCAACTAGTTATGCTTAAGAGGTTTAATAATTTTGGTTTTTCTTGCAGGTTTTTTCAGTTGACATCTCTGGTTCACGTACCAGAGAAGTTCTCGGTGTTTCTATCGAAGACCCAGAGAATCTGGCTGTGGATTGGGTAAATGATAAACTTTATATTGTGGAGACCAGAGTCAACTGCATAGATGTGGCAAATTTGGATGGAAGCCATCGGATTACCCTTATAAGTGAACATTTGGGACATCCTAGAGGAATTGCTGTGGACCCAACTGTTGGGTAAGTTATTTGCAAACATACTGATTTCAGCATTTTTTGAGTTTCATTTCTCCCCCTTTAGATAAAACATCCATTGGCATAGTTGAAGATTCTTTATGCTCTGTACTGTAGAATCTTTGTTTATTTCATATCTCTTTTCATAGCACCTTTAAAGGAGTTAGCTAAATATAATCTGATTTGAGGATGTGCAGTGCAAATATACCTACTAATGTCCTAAAAATATGTAATGTTATTGGGGTATGAATTTTATGCTTAGTGTTTGCCATGTTTTCCTGGCTGAGAGATTGAATTCTTTTTTCTGACTCACTCTAATAGTACTGTCACAACTAAATCATTGTTAATGTGATCACTCTTAAGTTGTGAAGTTGTTTTAAGCAGGGGATAGATCTAAAACCACTAGGTGGTGTTTTGGAGGGCTCTGAAGAGCCCCAGTTCTTTATGATTCAGTACAGAAAGAATTTAGCAAGAGGCAAAGTGATAGATAAATGATTTATTAGCATAGGATGTTAGTGTTGCACTGCCCTGAATACTTAGTGGGTTACATTTTTATAATTAAAGGAAGAGAGGGGAGGTGGATAAGACCACCTTCTTTTTCATTCTTTGAGTCTTTGGTCATTAATTCCTCCTACTTGTTGGGTGGGAGAGTTTTTGAGGTGCATCTAGGATCATCATGGCACTATGGAAAAATTCAGATCTCAGTACGAGTGTTTTTCACTTTGAAATATCACCTTTCCCTAAATTAGTATTTTTGTGCATGCAAAGAACATTCCCTAGGTCATTAACTTGTTGACATCACTGGGCAGGTTGTAGGCCTTATTTTCCATGATTGTTTTTTTGTTTTGGGGCATGTCTCATGCTTCTGTTGCATGGTTTTGTTGGTAAGCAAGTTAGCTTGGTTTTGTTGTTATGCACACCAGTCTGGCTTTGATACTATGCCACTTGCTCTGCTTTATAATTTATAAGTCAAGCAAACCCACATTGTTTGATGATTTTTCCATTACCTTCTTGAGTGCTCATTAACTTACTGTGGTCTCCCAAAGCCTCCCTAAAGTTCCTTCTCTATCTACAATCCCTAATGGAATTTCTAAGCTAACAATCTGAATACTCTACTCTATCCCTACCGGACCTATCCCTTTTAGTGATTTCCTGTTAGACACAACTGTTGAGATGTCAGTGTTTTCTCCAGGTATAAATTAAAATTTTCCTGATCTTTACATTTGAGACCAGTTATGTAGAGACTAGCTTTTGCCTAGATTTTCACAGTTGGGTCTTAGAAGTGTTGGATGAACTTGAGGCTGCTTAAGTACTGGTGATTATTCATTTCTATTTCATGATCTGTCCTTCCTTGAAAATGATGTATATGATGTCTAGACTGTGCTTTAGAATGAGGACTTAAGGAGGGAAATGGCTTGATAGATTTTTTTTTCTTGGTAGCATTTTTGCTGGCTGTAAATAGAGAAGTGAAAGATGGAGTCAGGGAACAGGGGAGAAACATTAAGAAGGTTGGAAGGTAGATAAGCTTTTTTTTTTTTTGCCTGTGAATTGTGCATTTTCATAGTTGCTATTTGGAGTTTTCGATGCCACCGCCCCACCCCCCCGCCCCTGCCAATTGGTGCTCACCAGCTCTGATTTTTAATGCTTTGAAATTTCTCTGTTGTTTTAAACCTCCATGGTTCTCTTATCAGCTAGAAGAGATTTCCATTGATCCAAACACACAATCTCAAAAGATATTTACTAAGTAAACTTGTAAAATAGTTGATTCTGTCATCTTTTTTCTTTTGTAGTTATTTATTTTTCTCAGATTGGCAAAACGTTTTTGGGGTACCGAGGATAGAAAGAGCTTACATGGATGGCTCCAACCGTAAAGACTTGGTAACAACAAAGCTGGGATGGCCTGGTGGGATAACCCTGGATTTGGTATCAAAGCGTGTTTACTGGGTTGACTCCCGATTTGATTACATTGAGACTGTAACTTACGATGGACTTAAAAGGTAAGAAGTTTTTTTTTTTTTAAATACATCTTTATAAGTTTGGGAGAAGTACATAAAATTTATGGAGAGGGATACTGAAGAACTAGAATTAAAAGACTGCTTTGTTGGTTGACATAACTTGAATGATCTTTGTGTTGATATTTGCATGATGTGACCTGCTCTGAGTTTTAACTTGTTCCGTGTTAACACTCAAACTTGATTTCTCTTCTCCAAATCCTCCTTCACTCCCAGATGAAGCACATTATTTTCATTAACTCCTGAGTTCATTTTTCTGGGTCCCTTAGGGTTTGTTTCCAAAGATCATTTTATAGTTTAGTTTTCTATTTTCCCCCTAGTAAATAGGTTTAATGTTATCTGGTGGGAATTAACTGGATTTTATACTGCTCTTATATATTTTTCAAACCTTAAAGAGAAATTCTGACTTTTTACCTGATATACTTCAAAGGCATTTAAACAACATTTGAATGCAGACTATGGCATACTTTTCTCCTTCATCTTCTTAGTCATACTAGAGTTGACCATAGATTAATTTGTTAACTACTTTACATCCTCTTCTTTTGGTGTTTTCAAAAACTGGTTAAAACAGCCTTTAACTTTTGACCAAGAAAAATTACTTGTGTCAATTTGATTTTTCTGAAGAACTTGATCTTATTTTCTCAATAAAAAGACCGTGATACTTTTGTTTCTCCTTTCTCTCTATTTGTAAGAATGGTATCACAGTTTGCCACAATCTCTATTTGTTTAAATGAAGAGATTGTGTATTAAGGCTATGACTTCTTATTACTGAAACTGGTTCCCAAGGTGAGAATATGAATGACAAAAATAATCATATGAGTCATACAATTGAGAAATTGACTAACTTTTTTCTCTTTGATGAACCATCCTCCACCTCACTTTATGTGGCCTCAGTGAATGACTGTTTCTGTAGATGTGGTAGATTCTGTAGTCATGGCAGCAATGTCGATTTCTTCCCTTTGTCTGGCACTTCTTCCATGTTGTCTTCCATTTCAGCAGTTCCGGGCACTCTGTCTCCACTATCACGTGATTAGCTGACAGTTTAATCAGGCAAGGGCATGTCAGTGGTAGCCCTGCTTTTTCTGCTGTCTAGAGTGACATCAGAAATAGGTCTGTGTTTGCCATGTGTCGAATTTCCAACTTGCTGTCTTGTTCCCTAGTGGCTGAGAAATGGTCAGTGGTGCAGTGTTGTGAGTGGAGTGAGTGTTGAAGGCACCTTCTACCAGATTTCCCATCCCTTGTTACACTCTTTCCCCTAGGAATTTCAAAATTATGTTTCACATCTTAGCCCTTTTATATGTGGGGCAACCTTAAAAGAATGAAGAACAGGTGGAAAGCAGTAATTTCTCAAAAAATTTAATTAGGATGGGAATGGTCTATAAGTGCCAAGGCTCTTGGCAACATGGAAGTCCTTCCAGCAAGTATAGACAGAAATACACCTGCATCTTAAAGTGTATCTTGACTATATATTCTGTAGTTGTGACTAGCAATTTCTTAGCTTTTAAGCATTTATGTGAACTAATTCCACCTTTAATCAAAGCTGTATGGTGTGTCTCTTCTGTAACAGGATGACAGTAATTCATGGAGGCTCGAACATTCCTCATCCCTTTTCAATAAGCTTGTTTGAAGGAGAGTTGTTCTTCACCGATTGGACAAAGATGGCTGTACTGAAGGCAAACAAGTTCAAGGAGACTAACCCCAGATTGTACTACCGCTCTTCCCTGAGGCCGTTTGGAGTGACTGTTTACCATGCCCTCAGGCAGCCCGATGGTAGGCGCCCCCCAACAGTGGAAAAACCCTGCTTAGTACAGACCTTGGTAGAAAGGTTTTCTCAAAGTTCTCATGAGATTTGGGTGGTGTTCTCAAATGTTTGATGGGTTATCTAGAGAGTTAAACTAGCTGAAATTAGCTTGCAGGTCATGGGTATTTTAGAGAAGTTGATGTATTTCAGTCTACAAAGTTGATGTATTTCAGTCTACAAAGAACATAGAGATGTGTTTAACAGATATTTATTGGCATATGCAGTGTACCAGATCCTGTCTATAGGTTGGAGAAAGAGCAGCAAATACACCAAACTAAAATTACCCATCCTTTGTCTACTGGGAGAAATCTCCCAATTCCACTTTCTAATATTATAGTCAAGGAAGCCAGACCAGAAGAAGAAAATAACATGCCTAAGCGGTCATTTTATTTAGGTAGTGCCAGAGCTTTTTTTTTTTTTCCTTCTTCTTCTTCCTTGTATGACACCTGTTTAGCATTGGGTTCGGTGTCTCTCAGGATAGTCGCTAATCAAAGAAATGAAATATTTTGATTCAGACACTGTTAAGTCTTATGTTATTTTATAATAAGTTTTGTTTCAAGGTTTTAAACTGACATGACTGGACTGTGTCCATAGCTCTTTTCTGCATTTGCTTATGCATCACGGAAAAGAAACACAAACTAGGCTACTTTGGAAGAAAGCTTAGTATCAGTGAATAGTAATTCAGAGAAAGAAAGATTTCACTTTAAATCTCTAATGCTAAGTGATGGGTCTGGCTTTCTGGAGAAAGACTATGAAGTAATTAGGCTGATTTAAAACACCCAAACAAACCAGCCTCTAGAACAGATGGTTTTGGATGACTACCCTTCCTACATAAACAAACACTTCATTGGAAAATATATACTATATGTATATATATGAAAGTATATACTATATTAGAAAATATCTATTTGGAATGATCAATTCATGGGCTCCTAAACTCACGTCTGCCCTTGACCAAAAGTATAACCCAGTTTCATCATCTAAATTATATTATTTGCCTCAGAATGATACCTGCCTGTGTTTCTCAAAATGAATCTACTTGAGAAGGTAAAGAGACTATTTTGAAGAGTAAGTTAAAGGATAAGGAAACAATTTCAAATGCAGAGATTTTTAACTTTGACAGTCTTGCATACAGTGAACTTTCTGAAGTCATTGCCTTGAGAATTGTTTTTGGATGTATAAACTGGTTTGTGTTTCAGATACGTAGGGTTTTGGAATTAGATCTGGATTTAAATATTAGTTTAGTTGTTTAACAACCAAATAATCTTGAGCAAGTTGTCAGACCTTTTGGAGCTTTGGTTTCCTTTTCTGTAAAATCGGGATAGTAATGTTTGCCTCTTAGAATTTTGGTGGTGAATTGTCTTACAAAGTAAGTATCCAGGAAGGTTACTTGGGGGAAGTCATGTTTTTAATCACTGATGCTAGCAGACAGAGTGATACAGTTACTGGGAGGATAAGAACCCTCAAGGCTATTCAATTGCAGAAATTATTATTATTATTGTTTTGGCCACTATCAGTTTAAGAGTAGATTCAAGAGCAGCAATGGGATTGGGAGCAGTTAAATGGATGTATACAGTAATAACCAGTAGTGATGTCTCCAAGGAGTTTCAAACCCATTTCACCCATAGGTGGCAAAATGGCTTCGCGTGTCTTGGATAAATAAGCATTTCTAATTGAGATTTAACAATGTGCATTTTTCCTTCCAGCAATGAATCCATGTGCACATGAAAATGGGGGCTGTCAGCACATCTGTCTCCTCAGCCACAGAACATTCAATGGTGGTTTGGGTTACCGTTGCAAGTGTAGGCTTGGCTCCATTCCGGATTGGGATGACTATCATTGTGTTGGTAAGATCACTTTTGGACTATCTTTCTGCCAGTCAGCACAGGGCTGTGCATGCACTGCTTTGGGACTGGGCCAGCTCCCTGTAGCACTTCTTCACAGCGAGTAAGCTTTTGGTATCCCACGGGCATCTTCCTTTGTAGGCACTCTTCCTTTTGTGCAAAGAAGGCGTTTGAAGATGTAAATTTACATCATTTGGGACACATTCAGGGTTTCCTTGGGTGACTCTCATTCCTGAATCACTTTCTCGTTCTTTAAACTTTGCTCTTGAAATTCATAGGATTTAATTTTGAACCTTTTACTCTACCACATGTATACCTTTAGATGTTAGCCTTAACCCTAGTGGGAAGCACTTGCCATCACTTTTATTGACTTCTCTTAGCTCACCACTTTGCCGGTCAGGTAATCACATCTTGATCCCACTTGGCTTTACTGCTGTATTCCAAACTAAACTCCTAAGTGTTGGGGTAGCTCATTTCTTCATCTGGTGTTTACTCCTCAGTTCAGATTTTCTCTCTATATCTGCTTCTGTGCTCTGGTTTTCATTTCATTTCATTAAATGCGTAGCCTTCCTCTTTGATCACCTACACTCACATTCAAATAATGCTACCTCGTCTTCATCTGATGATGAAATGCACTCCTACAATATTTGTTTCTCTCATTTATTGTCCCTTTGACAACTCTTTTTTTTTTTTAATGCTTTTGACACATTCTTACTCCCTCCTGTACTTCTGGATTAGTATGTAAATTCTCTTATTTTAACTTGAACAAATTTGTTCACTTTCTCGGTCATCCTAGATTCAGATAAAAATCACCCTCATTGCAAAAACCATGTTCTCATTTTTTATTTCCTGGCCCATTGTCTCTGCCTTCTTCTTTGGTTTTACACATCACTTCTTTCTTATTTCCTTCATTCCCCTCCTCCCTTTCTGCTTTCCTTCCTTTGTTTCTTTCTAAATAATTTACCTAGTTGCTGTAAATCTTTTTTGCTGGTCTTCGCATCTCCTAAACTGCAGTAGGATTCTTGATATAGATCTCTACACAAAAGTTAATGTAACTTGAGAATTTTGATGGAATCATTATTCAGTTAATACCAATTTGGAAAGTCAGCATATGGACACCGTGTGTTACATAAGTAAATCCTAAGGATAAATTTCTCAGGGAGAAGTAAGATTGTAATACTTACTGCCTTTATAGTATTTTCCGTCTTTCCATTATTTCCAACTATGTTTTTTACGTATTTGTTGTATTTATTTCAGAATTATCAGATGTGCTTTATGGGTGTAAAAGTAATTTCTCTGGAACGGAGAGAAGGCAAGAATCATGCTGTGGTTGACTGTGTGTGTCCTTTCTACAGCTGCTGAGCGGTTTCTGCTCTTTTCATCTAATCTGGCTGTTCGTGGCATCCCGCTCACCCTCTCTCACCAGACGGATGTCATCCTTCCAGTGACGGGATCTTCTTCCGTCTTCCTTGGGATTGATTTTGATGCCCGCGAGAAGGCTATCTTTTTTTCAGATACAAGGAAAAACATTATTTATAGACAAAAGCTCGATGGCACAGGTGAGAATGGTTTGAAAGTTTTTTTTCTTTCTTGTTTTGTCTGTTTTCAATAATAATACTAATCATTTGCCCTATAAAACTTTTGCATTCACTTCTTAAGCAGGATCATTTTACTAAGCTTGCTCAGTATTTTTAAATAGGCAAATCTATAAATTAGGTCTAAGCGAACACTTCATTTTCAAAATAAGTTACAAATGAGACTGCATTTTAAAACATTTATAGATGTAATTGGACAGCTACAAATATTACCATATTGATACTTCATAAAAGGAGGGTTAAATGTATGAAAGATGTTAATGGGTTAATTGACTAGAGGCTGTTCCCTTTATTCAAGCAGCCAGATTGAGCCAATGGAATGATCTCTGTATAGGGTTGCTACACTACATAAATGGAATAAGAATATTTTTAAAAGATGTGAACTATATGTAAATATAGATTTACTGTAAGTTTCTAGTTGATTGGAATTCTGTTAAAATCTTCATAATCCTCACAGAAATATAAATTATAGTCAGTCACACCTTATCAGTTGGGTACTATCATGATCCAGTACTTTGATTTTACCATCCACTAATAAGTCAAAAACTGAGTTCTGAAAAAAAAAAGAGTAGCCAGAATAACATAGCAACTAAGACGGCCAGCTCAGGTGCTCATTGCTTAGTTTTGAATCCTGACTTCTCACATTTCTTAGTTGTATAATCTTGGGAATGTTACTGTGAAATAGGAATAATAATAAAGACACTACATAACTCATAATATTTTTGATAGGATTTTAGGGTAATGCATCTAAAACACCTAGAATAATGCCTGGAAAATAGTAAATATTTTCAGTAAATGTTAGCTAGGTGGTTGGATGGCATTACTGACTCAATGGACAGGAGTTTGAGCAAACTCCGGGAAATAGTGAAGGCCAGGGAGGCCTGCTGTGCTGCGATTCATGGAGTCACAAAGAGTTGGACATGACTTAGCAACTGAAGAACAAAAGCTATTACTGTAGCTGTTATCAATGAAAAACTCTATTACTCTGCTCCACCCTGCCCCAACTCGGACTTGCTCACTAGAGGTAATTCCTTACCATTCTTTTGTCCCCGTGTTTCTAAATACTTACACTTACTAATACTTATATTGTTACTAATACTTACTAATACTATAATTAGTAAGTATTAGTAATTAGTAAGTTACTAATACTTACTAATGCTTAGACCATTACTGAGTCCAAGCTCATACAACTCACTGCATGACAGGCTAGTAAACCTGGAGATGAGGTGTTCCAGCCAGGAATAGCAACTTTATTTGGAAAGCCAGCAGACCAAGAAGATGGTGGACTAGTATCCCAAAAAACCATCTTACCCAAGTTAGAATTCAGGCCTCTTTTATATTAAAAGCAGAAAGGATTTGGCTGGTGAATCCTATGTCCTTGGAGCTATCCATGTAATCTGTTTACCATGTTCCTATAAACTACCAACAAAGCAAAAGCTGTTCTCTGTTCTGCAACTTTTTATGTCTATAGAAAGGAAGTAGAAAGTATTAGACACTCAGTCATGTCTGACTCTTTGAGACCCCATGGACTGTAGCCCACCAGATTCCTCTGTCCAAGGAATTCTCCAGGCAAGAATACTGGAGTGGGTTGCCATTCCTTTCTCCAGGTATCTTCCTGACCCAGGGATCAAACCCACGTCTCCTGCATCACAGACAGATTCTTTACCACTAGGGCCCGTTGGGAAGCCTTTTATCTGTGTGTGTGTGTGTGTGTGTGTGTGTGTGTTCAGTCACTCAGTCGTGTCCAGCTCTTTGCGACCCCATGAACTGTAGCCTCCGAGGCTCCTCTGTCCAAGGAATTCTCCAGGCAAGAATAGTGGAGTGGGTTGCCATTTCCTACTCAGGGTTTTATCTCTGTATGAAGGGAAAATTTATATCTTTAACTGTCACAGCCTTGAGAATGGGCTATCCTGTGTATTTTATCCCATAGGCAACATTCCTTTACAAAAGGTGTTGAGCCTGCATGACTAAGCACAGGCAATGGAGAGCAAAGGTTAGAGCTAAAGGAATAGATGCAAAATGGAATCAGGGTTATTCTTCTCTGTTGTAGTACCTTTTCTTGATTTGTCATTTTAGACATTTATTTTCCTTGTTACAGATAAGGAATCAGCTCTCTTTTTCCCTCCCCTTCTCCTTAAAAAACCAGAACGTAACTTTTTGTTCACTGCTAAATCAAGTAGTATTTCATGATGACATTTCTTGAACAAATGTTGATTTTTCCCCCCCTGGAGTTTAACAATTGCTCCATCTTCACTTGCTTAGTTTCTTCTTCTTCTTTTTTTTTTTCATTTATTTTTATTAGTTGGAGGCTAATTACTTTACAATATTGTAGTGGTTTCTGTCATACATTGACATGAATTAGCCATGGAGTTACATGTATTCCCCATCCCGATTCCCCCCTCCCACCTCCCTCTCTACCCGATCCCTCTGGGTCTTCCCAGTGCACCAGGATTAAAATCCCTGTAGATAACACTGATTGCTTAGTTTCTTCTATAGCTATTATATTTTCCCCAAACAGAGCTATCAAATGCTTGTCTGTGTATTTACATATTTATCAAATGCAAAATCTGTGATTTTTTTCCCCCTCTGCTGTATAGTTGAATCAGGCACACAGCTCTTCTGACCTCCATCTGCTGCTTCTCTCTGCTGGTTTTCCTATTTCTGGCAAGCCATTTATTTTTCTTTCCAGACTTATTTCCATACTTTGCCAAAACACATTGTATCATAGCTTTGAATGGGTAGGGTGGTATATAATTTGAGTCTGAATCTGCTTTTATTTTGCCCTGCAACTTGATCATTTGACAAGGTGTAGGGTGAAAGTAGTTTTACCTCAGAAATTTGACGACATTGCTACACTGTCTTCTAGTAGCCCATGTCGGAAGTCCTGTGCCATGTGCAGTAGCATTTCAGTGTATATGACCTTTCTGGGGAGAGAGTCTTTTTGTTTCTTTTTGGAAACTTTTAGCATCTTTTTGTGATCCTTTTCATCTTGAGATTTCTCTCCTATTCTGGGAGTTTTCTTGCCCCTGCTTTTTCTATCCAAGCATGTTAGGTTAATCATCTGTTTTCTTATCTTTCCTTTCCTAGTTTTCATCTCTATCATTTCGTTCTACTTTCTGTGAGTTTTTTTTTTTTTTTGGCATTTTAGTTTTAGTCTATCTGATATTTAATTTTCAATGTTGAAGAGCTTCCTCTTGCTCTCTGATTATCTCTTTTTAAAAATAAAGCCTGGGACTTCCCTGGTGGTTCAGTGGCTAGAACTCCATGCTCCCAAAGCAGGGGGCTCAGATGTGATCCTTGGTCAAGGAACCAGACCCCACGTTCCCCAACTAAGACCCAGTGCAAATTAATTAATTAATTAATTGAAAAAATAAATTTGATCTTTTCTTAGTCTATGAAGATATTAATTACATTAAATGATTAATTTTTCTCTTTCCATTTCCTTTGGGTTGCTTTTTCTTTTGGGGTTGTTTTCAGATGTCCTTTTTATGAAGGAAACTTAAATTTCTTTGAGCCTTGTTTGAGCAGAGCTATAAAGTGCTGACCGGAAAGCTATAGGTATGAATGGGGCCTCATCAGTTGGTGATCAAGCAGCCTTTTTGTTGAGAAGTTTCCAAATGTCAGTATCAGCAAACCCTTTCTGGAGATAGTCAATTTCTTCTTAGTAGATGCTCCCATCCTCCCTGCTGGGGTGAGGAGTAAGAGGGGAAGCTAGTACCTGTGTTCTGGGAGTAGTGCAGATGAGAGGGGGCGGAGGCCCCTTTAGTCTGGTGTTCACAGGCATAATCCTCCTGTGTTCAGTTCTGTGCAGATCCCAGTCCTCTGTCGTGCCACATGTCCTCAGCCTGCAGCCTCTCTGAGTTGAGTTCCCTCCAAGGAAAGAAAATTCTCACGTCTGCTAGAGGAGGCAGAGAAGAGGCGTGTCATAGATGCTCGGGGTCTTGGGTGCAGTTGTTCCCCATACCACCTTTTTGATTTGTCTGTTGGCTGTGGTGAGTCTTCATTGTTGCATGTGGGCTTTCTCTTGTTGATGCGAGCGAGGGCTACCCTTCCTTGTGATGTGTGGGCTTCTCGTTGCAGTAGCTTCTCTTGTTCCAGCACACAGGCTGTAGGTGTGCAGGCTTCAGGAGTTGCGGCTCGTGGGCTCTAGAGTGTTGGCTCAGTAGTTGTGGCACACAGGCTTAGTTGCTCCGTGGCTTGTGGGATCCTCCCTGACCAGGGATCAAACCAGTGTCCCTTGCATTACAAGGCAGGTTCTTAACAACTGGACACCAGGGAAGCCTCTATACCAGGTTAGTTACTCACCCCTGCCTTTTTCAGAATCTGGTGTCTCTGCGTGCAGATAAGCTGAGGCTTCTGCATATGTGGGTGTTGATGCTCACCTCTGCTGGTATATCTCACCTTTTATTTAGTTAGTTGCCCCTTCTCCAGTTCCTTTCTCTTCATCTGTTCTTCTACTGGAAGGAAGGGGAGATAAATGTGTGGGTAATCTGTTATTTTGAACCAGAAGACCTTTTTTCTGAGGACTAGAATTACATCTGCAGAGCTACTACACACAGGCTGTCTCCCATTGGTGCCTCCACAGGTCAGATTCCTTTAGCTTTAGCAACTGCAGTTCTCATCATGGTTTTCTTTCTTCTTCTTTTTTTTTTTTTTCTCTTTCTTTCTTCTTTTTTTAAAAAATAAATTTCAAGTTCACATGCTGAGAAAATTGCCTTTTAAAATAGTGGCTAAACTCTGCACTTTGGTTAGGGAGGTATTATGTTTGCTCTGTTTTTCTGAATGAGAAGGTGAAATTCATGTGCAAGAACTGTTTGAAGTCACATTGAAGTCAATATGGGCTGACCCTCAGGTAACTTGCCCCATCAGTGATCCTTTCTCTTCTCCAACTTTTTTTGTTCTATTGACTTATCCTCATCAGATATGCTGAAGTCTCTCTCATCCTAAAAATCCTTCAACCTACCCTCTACTTCATGTTCCTCTTTGATTGTAGTCTTCTGTCCTCAAGTTTGTGGACAAGCACCTTGAAAGTATGGTGTACATTTTTTTAAGCCCTCCTTCCATATCTGCATTTCTCACCACTTTACACTATGTCGCTTTCTTGAAACCAATCTTATCCCAGTCACCTCCAGTCACTTTGTTATAAACTTGCAGTTCTTATCTTTGGCACCTTAGTCATTTTCTTAAATGTTTTTTTCCCCTTGACAACACACTCCTGAATTTCCTTCTGTTTCTTGGCCATTATTTCTAGTGTTCCTTAAATGTTTTTTCTTTCAGGTCAGTTCAGTTCAGTCGCTCAGTCGTGTCTGACTCTTTGTGACCCCATGAACCGCAGAACACCAGGCCTCCCTGTCCATCACCAGCTCCCAGAGTCCCACCCAAACCCATGTCCATTGAGTCAGTGATGCCATCTAACCATCGCATCCTCTGTCGTCCCCTTCTCCTCCTGCCCTTAACCTTTCCCAGCATCAGGGTTGTTTCAAATGAGTCAGCTGTTCGCATCAGGTGGCCAAAGTATTGGAGTTTCAGCTTCAAAATCAGTCCTTCCAATGAACACCCAGGGCTGATCTCTTTTAGGACTGATATCCCTTAGGATGGACTGGTTGGATCTCCTTTCATTAAGTTAACTGTAGTTACTGAAGTAAGCATCAACACCACACAGTTCAAAAGCATCAATTCTTTGGCTCCCAGCTTTCTTTATAGTCCAACACTCATATCCATACATGACCACTGGAAAAACCATAGCCTTGACTAGACGGACCTTTGTTGACAGAGTGATGTCTCTGCTTTTTAATATGCTGTCTAGGTTGGTCATAACTCTCCTTCCAAGGAGTAAGCATCTTTTAATTTCATGGCTGCAATCACCATCTCTAGTGATTTTGGAGCCCAGAAAAATAAAGTCAGCCACTGTTTCCACTGTTTACCCATCTATTTCCTATGAAGTGATGGGATCGCATGTCATGATCTTAGTTTTCTGAATGTTGAGCTTTAAGCCAACTTTTTCACTCTCCTCTTTCACTTCCATCAAGAGGCTCTTTAGTTCTTCTTCACATTCTGCCATAAGAGTGGTGTCATCTGCATATCTGAGGTTATTGATACTTATCCCGGCAGTTTTGATTCCAGCTGTGCTTCCTCCAGCCTAGCATTTCTCGTGATGTACTCTACATATAAGTTAAATAAGCAGGGTGACAATATACAGCCTTGATGTACTCCTTTTCCTATTTGGAACCAGTCTGTTGTTCCATGTCCAGTTCTAACTGTTGCTTCCTGACCTGCATCCAGGTTTCTCAAGAGGCAGGTCAGGTGGTCTGGTATTCCCATCTCTTTCAGAATTTTGCACAGTTTATTGTGATACACACCATCAAAGGCTTTGCCATAGTCAGTAAAGCAGAAATAGATGTTTTTCTGGAATTCTCTTGCTTTTTCTGTGATCCAGCGGATGTTGGCAATTTGATCTCTGGCTCCTCTGCTTTTTCTAAAACCAGCTTGAACATCTGGAAGTTCACGGTTCACGTATTGCTGAAGCCTGGCTTGGAGAATTTTAAGCATTACTTTACTAGCCTGTGAGATGAGTGAAATTCAGAGGTAGTTTGAGCATTCTTTGGCATTGCCTTTCTTTGGGATTGAAATGAAAACTCACCTTTTCCAGTCCTGTGGCCATTGCTGAGTTTTCCAAATTTGCTGGCATGTTGAGTGCAGCACTTTCACAGCATCATCTTCCAGTATTTGAAATAGCTCAGCTGGAATTCCATCACCTCCACTAGCTTTGTTTTTTCTTTATCTGTCCTATATGCATTGTGATCTCTAGTGTTCAACATGGGTCCTCTCTTCTAATTGTGCATTTTCTTCCACATAATTCTGCACCTTCTGTGTCTTTTGTTACCATCTAATGTAGTAAGTATAAATTAGTGTAGGGAAACTTATGGTAGGCTATTTCCTGAATGCTTTTCCTTCTAACCTGGAGAATGAAGGGAAAGGTCAGGGAAGGCTTCTTGCAGAAAGTGCTAAAAGTCTCAAATCAAGCTCACGTTGTGGTGTTCAGATCCATTGCACCAGTTGCCTGTTGGATACTTCAACTGGATATTCCACAAACCACCTGAAAACCGATGTGTCTAAATATTCACAAATCTTCTTCTCCAGACCTCCTGCCCCAAGGGAAAGGTGTCACTTCTTACCTGACACCGCACCCTCCCCAAAAATGGTGGTCACCCAAACTTCTCCCTTTCTTTTAGCCTCTATCATTAACTTGTTAACCTCTAGCCATGCTTCCGAACATGTGGAATCCTCAGTGTCTCTCTTTCCCACTTCCACGTCTTTTCTACAGCCCTTCATTCACTACTTCCTTTGGGAAACCTCTCCATAGGACTTCCCTGGTGGTCCAGTGGTTAAGACTTTGCTTCCACGTCATGGGGCATTGGTTCAATCCGTGGTTAGGGAATTAAGATCCTGCATGCTGTGTGGTGGGGCCAAGATAAGTAAAGAAATAAAACACGTCTCTACACCTATTGCCATTGTTCAGTTGCTAAGTCGTGTCTGACTGTTTGCAACCCCATGGATTGCAGCACACGAGGCTTCCCTTTCTTTCACCATCTCCTGGAGTTTGCTCATATTCATGTCAGTGATGCTGGTTAGCTATCTTATCCTCCTGTACTTCCTGCCATAATTTCCATACCATCCTGTGCATGCCTCCATCACAGCAGCCAGTATTCTTCTATTGCTTTCCCTCTTGCCCTAATTGCCTCCCCTCACCTCTCCTACCTTATTATAGATATCTTGAAGACATGTCCACATTTCTCTCAAGGTGCTTCACTTTTATATGACTCAGTTTCCCCATGTCTAAAGTAGAAATAATAGTAATTCCTGCTCTTGAGCTGTTGCGAGGATGGATGAATTCATGTAAAGTACTTAGGCTCGTTTCAGACTCATGAAGTGAAGTGAAGTGAAGTCGCTCAGTCGTGTCCGACTCTTTGTGACCCCATGGACTGTAGCCTGCCAGGTTCCTCCATCCATGGGATTTTCAGGCAAGAATACTGAAGTGGGTTGCCATTGCCTTCTCCAGGAGATCTTCCTGACCCGGGATCGAACACCGCATTGTAGGCAGACGCTTTACCCAGGGAAGTGGTGGCTCATAGTGAGTGTTCAGTATAAGCTGCTGTTAGTAGTACTATTAGCAATATCATGTTTCCTCAATGTTTAGTATGGTGTCTGGCACACAGAGGACTTTCTTTGTACAATTTCTCAGATAAATAAATGGAAAAAACACTAGACTTGTTCCATCAAAAGAGAGAGGTGTGATTGTTTACTCTGAGTCACTTTTTTTTTTTTTTTTTTTTTAAGAAAAAGGATGGGGAAAGGCATAAAAATTCACCAAGGGAAAAGTGGTCTTTGTTTCTCCTTATACCCAGTTCCGATTTCCTTTCTGGCTGCTGGTCTTTCCCAAACCTGGCAACTTTGTGGCTCTGAATGAATTGTTGATGAGAAGGTTGGGTGGGAATGCTTCACAGATAGCCCCAGTCGTACCTGGCAGTGTCAGCTTATCAGTGCTGTCTGTGGGTGGTGGTTGTGAGTATGTGAACTCAGGTATCTCTTCTTCAGATGTTCTGTACTGAGAAATTTTTTTCTGGAAGGTTGAACAAGGGAGTAAATCCAGGCCATACCACCGCTGGTTCTGTTGAACAGAATCATATCTATTCTTTGAGATCCAGACTTTTGGAGATGAGTAGATTCTAGGTTTATCTCATGTGTTGCTTTGCAGTTTACAGTTGCTTTATTTAGTTTTTTAAAAGAATTTCATGTTACTGAAATATTCTTTGAGTTATCACACAAAGTTTAAATATGCAGTGATAGGAAAATGTATATCATATAAAATATGCTTACTTTAAACCATGTCCATATTTTAATTTACAGGAAGAGAAATTATCACAGCTAACAGGGTGCCAGGTGTTCAAAGTTTGAGTTTTGATTGGATTTCGAGGAATCTCTATTGGACAGATTCTTCTTATAGGAGTGTCAGTGTCATAAAGCTAGCTGATAAATCAAGACGTACAATCATCCAAAATTTAAATAACCCACGGTCAATCGTAGTTCATCCTACTGCCGGGTAAGTATGTTCATGGTTTCTTAAGAAAATAAGTGATGTTAGTGTGTGTTGGATACAGAGTTTTAGTTTGCAAGATGAGAAAGTGCTGGAAGTTGGTTGTACGACAGTGAATATACTTAGTACTACTGAACCGTACACCTAAAAATGGTCAATTTTATTATAAAAAAAAAATTAAAAAAGAAGAAAAAAAGAAAATAAGTGATGCCATAGGTATTTGGCAAATCTAGTAAATACAAGATTGAACCATGTAAATTGAAATCACCTTAGATTGTATCCTTTTAGCATATGCTGAAATTATCACTTTACCTCCTTTCAAAAACTTTCTCCTAAGTTTTGGCTTTCCCAGCCTTCACTGAACTGTGTTTTTTTCATAGTCACATAGGACCAAACAGTGAGTCACAGATTCAGTGGAGAAGGAATGAATATGCAGCAGAATTATCAGGAAAGGCTCAAATTCCTTCCCAGCCTTAATGCACTGATACAAAGCTTACCAAAACTTTCTAAATCATTCAGTAGTTTTCAGAATGAAAAGTGTTTCAGACCACAAAATGTTTAACCACTGCATTGTTGATGGAGTCAGGCAAGAAAAGACAGAGCATTTCACATCATCCCTTCTAGTTCTTACCTTTTATATTTAAATATGTTTGATAGTTTGATAGCTTACCCTAAAGTCTTAAGCCAGGCAGTTATGTTTTAATGGAATAATAAAAAAGTGATGACTGGTAACTTACTAAAGCCTGATTGAGGGTACATAGCAAACACTTTACATAGCGCATAGTCTCATCTAATTCAAAAGCTGGTTTGTGAGTGAGTATATACAAGACCTGTTTTGGACCTCAGAGAGATAAACTAACTTGCTCAAGGACCCACAGCTATTAAGCAACAGTTAGTATTAAAATTCCAGACCTATCTGACTACAAAGCCTGTGTGTCTAACATATTTTAAAACTGACGATGCTATTGATAAGAAGTTTTATTGCCTGACAGAGAGTTAAATGTTGATTTTCTAGTGAATGTATCTTAAGCTAAGTCTTTGGCAGTGGATTTTAAAAAGGCGTTAAATTCCTTTCCTAATCAATCGTTCAAACAATATGAAGTCACATTTCAGAAAGTTACCTTTTGGAAAAGACTCATTTTAATTCTTAAGGCTCACATGAAACAGAAGAGCTTTTCCTCCCTACACTTATATTTTTCCTACCCTTTGAAATTAAAAAAAGGCATAAAAAAGATGTCCTGGGTAAGACACCTTGGGCACATTGATTTGGGTGCATTTTTAATCAGGAATGAAATACTTGCCTGCAAATTCCTTGTGAAAGATGATTAAAGAGTCATCTAGTGGATCCTGGATGTTTAATCTAGACAGTAAGTGAGAGATTATAAAATCTGTTTTGTTTTTGTTTTGCTCATCATTTATTTTATTTCAAGGATATGTAGTATTAATAATCTGAATTGTGTCTTTTTAAAGAGCCTACTTGGTGACAATAGTCCTGAAGTCTAGCTCAGTGGTTCTCTGCCCTGGATGCTCATTTTAATGCTATTTGTATTTTCTATATATTTTTAAATATAAACCCTACAGAAAGCTAGTTTGCAGCAGTTCTCTGGAGAATCTGTGTTTGTGCTAAATCTAAGTCACGTAGTTTGTGCCAATGTTAATATCTTTGATTTATTAACTCTTTTTCTAGGTATATATTCTTCTCGGTTTGGTACCGTCCTGCTAAAATCCTGAGGGCATGGACTGATGGGTCTAATATTTTACCTATAGTAAACAGTACTCTTGGGTGGCCCAGTGGGCTGTCCATTGACTGGAGGTAAGTAGGAATCATCCCAAATTGCTGCATTCCCACTTACTAAGGGAGACATATTGTAGTTGGCCAACTTCTGCTGGGATGAAAATGTATGCATTAAAATGAACATTCTGAAAATTGCTAGAGGAAGCAGAATAGGGCAAGACCCAGGGAAATAGAAGAAGGATTTGATGAAGTACTGGTCATGTGTAATTTTTACAGGGGCCATCTTGAGGATAGGAAATCTTTGGTGTCAAAAAATGTATATTTGCCTATATGCACTATGGGAGGATTTTTGGAATATCAAATTTAAATTTTAAGAAATTGACCTGTCAAGGAATATAGGAAATGTAACAGGGTAAACAAGCTTAGAGATATCAAATGCAAAAGCAGTTCATAGGAGAAAAAATAGGAAGAAATGTGTTTAACCTTTCAAACATAAGTTACTAACGATATTTTTCCTAAATGTGGATTTAATAAGGCAAAAACTAAAATTCTTAACTTGAAGATAACATTTCAGGTTTTCTAAGACATTTGAAAGTCACTTCATGAAAGTTGCTTTGTTTTTCTGGGGAACATAAGACTATTAAACTTTGCTTAATGAATGTAAATGTGTCAACTGAACACGCTGTTCAGTTGAATTGCTGCTGTTGTTTAGTTGCTAAGTCGTGTATGACTCTTTTGCGACCCCATGGACTGTCCAACTCTTAGTCGTGTCCAACTCTTTCCACGCCATGGACTGTAGCCCACCAGGTTCCTCTGTCCATGGGATTTCCCAGGCAAGAATACTGGCCTGGGTTGCCATTTCCTTCTTCAGGGGGTCTTCCTGACCCAGGGCTTGAACCCATGTCTCCTGCATTGCAGACGGATTCTTTACTGCTGGGCCACAAGGGAAGCCCCTGGTTTTGAATGCCCTTATTATAAGGTGTGCTTTTCTAGTTTCTGAGTAACCAATAACTAAGTATTTTGTTATTCTAGTTCTTCACGATTATACTGGGTAGATGCCTTTTTTGATAAAATTGAGCACAGTACCTTTGATGGTTCAGACAGAAAAGCCCTGACCAATGTACATCAGTTGACAAATCCTTTTGGACTTGCTGTCTTTGAAGGTATGTTTTGAACCAAAAGTGTTTTATTTATACTGTGCAAGTTGTATAAAACTCATCCTCATTTGACAATCTCATAATTCCAGAAAAACTGGTCACTTATGAAATGGTGCTCTTATGTCTAAATAAAACATTTGGTTTGTTGGTGAAATATTAATTTTTTTCTGTTTGAGACATTTTTATATAATAGTGCATCTGTTTTCTTCCTCCCATCTCCCCTCTTGTGAGTATAGGCATATTCTTGTGCGTTCGGTTGCTGGGAATAAGAATCTAGCTTGGCACCACGAAACAGGTGGTTTGTTTAGTCTTGATAATAGGGTTTCTGTGAATGATTGTGTAGCATGTGCCAGGCCAAGAGTGTAAGGAGAAACTAAAATCTACCCTGGTTTTACCTGAACAAACCGTAATTAATCTAGTTAGAGAGGTGCCATTTTGTGATCCACCAAAGCCCTTACACTTACGCTAGTTGTGTCTCAGGTCGAAACTTCCTGCATGCATGCTAAGTCACTCAGTTTGACTCACAAAGTATCTGACTCTCTGCAACTCAATGGACTATAACCCACCAGGCTCCTCTGTCCGTGGAATTCTCCAGGCAAGAATACTGGAGTGGGTTGCCATGCCCTCTGCCAGGGGATCTTCCCGATCCAGGGATTGAACCCACGTCTCCTGCATTGCAGGTGGATTCTTTCCCATTGAGCCACCAGGGAAGTCCTGAAATTTCCTACTGTGAATAAGTGGCTTCTGCTTTAAAAAAAAAAGTAGACACTGACTATAATTCAAAGACTTTCTCATACACATATATATATAAGCTTCTAAAGAGTCATTTCTAAAATTACAAATTATGGAAAATAGAAACATATTTATTTAAACAGATACTTATGAAAAAAGCTTCCCACATTTGGAAGAAGCATTACAAACATATTGCATTTTCCTAGGTGAGCTGTGGCAAATAAACTTATCACCATATTTCTTCTTAGACTATATATATGTTACTGATTGGAGACGTGGTATTATTCGATTCGGGAAATACAATGCTGCACAATCGGTTATTCTCCGAAGTGGTGTTGGTTCTGTAATGCGTGCGAAAGTATATGATTCTAGAATCCAGACAGGTGAGTAATGTTGCCAGGTTGTTTTGTATGGATGTATTTGATATGGTGGCTCATTTTACCTTTAATTTATTTACTATAACTCCTGATAGTTTTATCTTCCTGTCACTGATAATTTTAATGTGTAAGAATTTCTATTCAACTTTACTAACTTTAAGCATATGGGAGGAAAAACACGTTTCAGGACTTCTCTGTATTTAGATTGAATGTGTCATTTGGCATGTTCCTCTCCAAGAAGAAGTCAGTTTTTAATATTGGGTCTGACAAGTATTCTTTCCCATTCATTCTTTGTCACAAACCAAACCTGTGATCAACCTAAAAGGAATGTGCTTAACTCCTTCATTTGGGGGCATTGCTTTTTCAGGGTCTAATGCCTGTAACCGACCCACCAACCCAAATGGCGACTGCAGTCACTTCTGCTTCCCAGTGCCGAATTCCCAGCGGGTGTGTGGCTGCCCCCATGGAATGAGTCTGGCTTCCAACCGTTTGACGTGTGTGGAGAGCGCATCCCAAGAGCCGCCCATGGAGCAGTGTGGCACGCTTTCCTTCCCCTGTCACAACGGCAGATGCGTGCCCCTTCAGTATCGCTGTGATGGCTTTGATGACTGTCTTGATAACAGTGATGAGGCTCAATGTACCACATCTAGTAAGTAGCTTATACATTAGTGATGCGTCCTATGATATATAGAACAGAGAGAGGTGCGCTTTAAAAAAAAGGCTTAGGTTATCTCTATAGGAAAAAGGAATATGTACTCTAAAGGCTTTTAGAAAGCTGGATGATGAATATTATTCATAGATAATGTTACAGATGATTTCTACAGATTATTTGGACTATCCATCCTCAATAAAACTTTTTTCTGATATTGGATGGACATGCAGAGTCACTGCCTCTTGGCCTCTCCTACTCCACAATAAAAGGGATCTAATCTATAGTACTGGAGAGAATGGTATCATGGAATAAGTGTTTGCAATAATAGCTTTTGAAAATCTCATGTACTATATTACTTTTTCCTCTTGTAGGTGTAAAATGGATTATGAGTGAAATGGTGATTTTAACCTTTATAATCTTTTGATGGTAATCTAATTTATAATAAATACTATTGTGAAAGAAAAAAAGTCTCAGAAATTTCTATCAAGGAGACATTAATAGAAAGAGAAATGACATTTGAAAATAAAAGTGCTCATTTGTACATTTTTGAAATTTCTAAAGGTTTATTTTGTTTTGTTTGATTTTGCACTTTTGTTTTTTAAAAGTGCAGATTTTTACATAAATGTTTTATCAATTTCAAATGAGCCATATGATGAGAGGAAGCATAGCTTAGACGCAAAGGATGGGCCTTACAGTCGTGACAACTAGAGCTTTGGTCTTGGGCACATGCCTGAGTCTCTCAGAGCCTCAATTTCCTCATCTGTAAAATGCAGATAATTATATGTACCTGGCAGTATCTTTGTGATGATTCAGAGAGAAAAAAAAATATGTAAATAATAGTTGCCAAATAAACGTGAGTGAGTGATGATGGCTTTCACATTTTGTATAATGCTCCCACTGAAAGGTAAGATCTCATTTAAAAGGCTGTAAAAACCAGTGTCTTTATGGTCAATTCGTTTCTGTTGTAGATGCTACCTGTTCACCTTTAGCATTTGAGTGTAAACACGAAGGACACTGCATTCCCTCAATGTGGCGCTGTGATGGAGAGAATGACTGTCTGGATGGCAGCGATGAGCAGAACTGCCCCACCCGAGCACCCACTTCCTGCCGTGCTGATCAATTCACCTGTGACAATAACCTCTGTATCCCAAGGAGCTGGGTCTGTGACACAGATAATGATTGTAGGGATGGATCAGATGAAAAGTCATGCAGTAAGTTTTGAACTGATTTCTCTTGGCTGGTCAGCCTAGTAAATAGATTTGAACCATGAGGAGGCCTTGAGTACTTTCCTTGAAGGCTCATATAATTTTCATTGTGTCTTAGCCACTTCTATTCCATCTGTCAGCCAGTGTATTAATAGGCTCTAAAAGCAAAGACAGAGGAAGTCTTGCTAAATATTTGCTATGGAAGCAAAACAAGGACTATCTTTGATATCTAACTAATATCCAGATGGAAACTGGAAAATAAAAATCCCACAACTAACTGTTCAGATATTTAAAACAAATGCCCTTTTTGAATCATATAAACACACCCAGATGTTTAGCTACTGGTTTTTCTTTTCATTTATACAGGCAAAAAGACAATAAAATAAAAAGGCAAAGAACATTTCAATTTCATTAATCTTACCCACCTGCGCAGAGGGGGTGCAGAGTTCCCTGGACTAAGTTCTGTTTTGGTTGCATAATTTGGCTAGTCCTTTTTTTTCAGGACTAGATAAGCTTTAAGATCTCCTCTAGCTTTCACATTCTGTGAGACTATACTATGATTCTTGTTTTGGGTCATGGAGGCAGCCTGTCTGACCCTAAGGCTATGTCTCTTCAGCCAGCTAGGGTCCTGGTTTTGAGGATAGTTCTGCTTAGACTTTGGATTAAATTCAGTTATCATGATCCAGTTAAATCCAGTTATCATGTGGACCATGCTCCATGACCACAGTCCATTCTGTCTTGTGGGCTGAGTTTCATTGCTTAACTGTGCAGAAGAGTCTTGGACTTCATACTATTCATGAGGTGCAGTCCAAAGCAAGGCCATGATGCTTATCTTCTACATATGGTCTGTTCTTCAAAGTATCCTCACACTTTCTGACTCTGCCCTATATTATTTCTGTTCCTCTCTCTACAAAGGCGATCTGTCTGACTTGCAGGAATTTTGAGCACACATACAACTGCGATAATTTATGTATTTCCTAAGCATTATACAGTTTGTCTCTGGTACATATTGGACAAGAAATAAACTATTAACTTGGTTTTGTTTTTGGATGACATTAGATCATACACAGACATGTTCACCTACTCAGTTTCATTGCCCTGATCACCGATGTATTGCCCTATCTTTTGTCTGTGATGGGACCAAGGACTGTGCTGACGGATCTGATGAGATTGGCTGTGGTAAGTACATTGTTTTATTTTTTAATTAATTAATTGCTTAATTAATCCATTGAGGTTGTAAGTCCATAACTGATTTCTATGTTTGAGGTGTACAACATACTAATTAACATTCAAAGATTAAATCCATTTATAATTGTAAAATATCAGCTATATTCCCTTTGTTGTGTAATATATTCCTGTAGCTTATCCCTGTCTTGCCCCTGCCCCCTTCCTTCTGCCCACTGTTAACCACTTACTTGTTCTCTATGTCTGTGAGTCTGTTTCTTTTTGGTTGTTTTCATTAGTTTGTTTTAGTTTTTAGATTCCACATATAAGTGACATTATATGGTATTTGTCTTTCTCTTTATGGCTAAGTCCATCCATGTTGTTGCAGATGGCAAAATTTCATTCTTTTTTATGGCTGAGTGATGCTCCATTGCACCACTGTTTATGGACAGCGGTCTTTGTCTATTCCTCTGTTTATGGACAAATAAGCTGCTTACCTATCTTGGCTATTGTAATAATGGTTTATTTTTCTAAATTCATGATGTTTAGAAAAATTTCAATGTTCAGTTGTTTGTTCCTTGGCTTAATTTCTAATATTTTTCTCTCATTTTCAGTAATTAACTGCACTGCTTCTCAATTCACATGTGTTAGTAATGGTCAGTGTATTAGCAAGATATATCATTGTGATGGTATTTTTGACTGCGATGACCACTCTGATGAGACAGATTGTCGTAAGTACCATATACCTAGCATGTTTCAGGTGACCGGGTCATTTCTTAATTACCAGGATTGCTCTTACCACAGATTTTCTCTTAGATAAGCTAGAGGGAAGGCAGCCTAATTAACAAAACATTGTCCAAGGACCACAGTATTGATTGTATAATAAAATCAAATCAACATCACCAAATAGGGATAAGTTGTGAATCAAGTAGTTGTAAATGGGCACTTTTTAATTATCTTTTGAGTAGGTTAAATATTTCTCAGGTATTTTTGTTTTCAGTATTACCTGGGGCATTAAAAATTAGTAGGTTTCAATGAGGTTTGCCATATATAAAGATATTTTAATGGTTTCCTTTAAGTCTCAATAGGAGGTCACATCAAGTAAATCATTTGTTTAGTATCTGCTAGTATGTTTTCTGTGGTCTTTGTCCTGGGAGTCTGATAGAAAGTAAGAAACAAAGCAAGGCAGATAGTTAATAAGGGCTTTGTAGAAATGATACAGATAAAATTCAATGAAGGTTCCCAGGAAAGAAATTTTTTGAGGGTTCAAGGAGGACTTCATGGACTATAAATCTGATGGACCTGTAAACTTCACAGGCTGTAGACCTAATAATGGAAAGGACTTGTTATTGCCATTTTTATATTAAACAAGGTGAGGTGGTCATTTGTTTGAATGTTCATGTTTTGGATCATAAAAAGTAGGTTTCTATCAGTCCTCCTCCCTAATCAGAAAAGAGGGTTTCCCTGATGGCTCAGTGGTTTGGAATCCACCTGCCAATGCAGGAGATGAGGGTTTGATCCCTGGGTCCAGAAGATCCCTGGATTAGGAAATGGCAGCCCACTCCAGTATTCTTGCCTAGAGAATCCAGTGGACAGAGGAGCCTGGTGGGCTGTAGTCTCCGGGGTCACAAAGAGTTGGACATGACTGAGTGACTGAACAACAACAACAATCAGAAAAGAGTGGTTTATATCTATGGATAAAAGAAAATATAAATGCTTACATACTTAATAAGTGTGTACAACACCGAGAAATTCTTAACCACTGAAGTTTCTGTTTCACATTGAAAACATGGAATTCTTCTCAGGTGATCTGAGGTTAAAGTGCCATTGCCTCTGGCTTTCTATTACCTTACAGGGTCCCTGGGAGAGTGTTTGGGTTTACTCCTGTGAAATAGCCAAGCAATCAATAAGAATTGCTTGATGAATTGTGGAAAGTTTGCAAAGAATGGAAGATTTACAGTCATCTTGGCTTCATCATCATCAGTTCAGTTGCTCAGTTATGTCCGACTCTTTGCAACCTCATGAACCGCAGCACTCCAGGCCTCCCTGTCCATCACCAGCTCCTGGAGATTAGCCAAACTCATGTCCATTGAGTCGGTGGTGCCATCCAACCATCTCATCTTCTGTTGTCCCCTTCTTCTCCTGCCTTCAATCTTTCCCAACATCAGGGTCTTTTCAAATAAGTCAGCTCTTCTCATCAGGTGGCCAAAATATTGGAGTTTCAGCTTCAAAATCAGTCCTTCCAATGAACACCCAGGACTGATCTCCTTTAGGATGGACTGGTTGGATCTCCTTGCAGTCCAAGGGACTCTCAAGAGTCTTCTTCAACACCACACAGTTCAAAAGCATCAATTCTTTGGCGCTCAGCTTTCTTTATAGTCCAACTCTCACATCCATACATGACCACTGGAAAAACCATAGCCTTGACTAGACAGACCTTTGTTGGCAAAGTGATGTCTCTGCTTTTTAATAGCTTTCCTTCCAAGGAGTAAGCATCTTTTAATTTCATGGCTGCAGTCACCATCTGCAGTGATTTTGGAGCCCAGAAAAATAAAGTCAGCCACTGTTTCCACTGTTTCCCCATCTATTTCCCATGAAGTGATGGGACTGGATGCCATGATCTTAATTTTCTGAATGTTGCACTTTAAGCCAACTTTTTCACTCTCCTCTTTCACTTCCATCAAGAGGCTCTTTAGTTCTTCATATTCTGCCATAAGAGTGGTGTCATCTGCATAGCTGAGGTTATTGATATTTCTCCCAGCAATCTTGAATCCAGCTGTGCTTCCTCCAGCCCAGCATTTTGCATGATGTACACTGCATATAAGTTAAATAAGCAGGGTGACAATATACAGCCTTGCTGTACTCCTTTTCCTATTTGGAACCAGTCTGTTGTTCCATGTCCAGTTCTAACTATTGCTTCCTGACCTGCATCCAGGTTTCTCAAGAGGCAGGTCAGGTGGTCTGGTATTCCCATCTCTTTCAGAATTTTGCACAGTTTATTGTGATACACACCATCAAAGGCTTTGGCATAGTCAATAAAGCAGAAATAGGTATTTTTCTGGAACTCTCTTGCTTTTTCTGTGATCCAGCAGGTGTTGGCAATTTGATCTCTTGTTCCTCTGCCTTTTCTAAAACCAGCTTGAACATCTGGAAGTTCACGGTTGATTTATTGCTGAAGCCTAGCTTGGAGAATTTTGAGCATTACTTTACTAGCCTGTGAGATGAGTGCAATTGTGTGGTGGTTTGAGCATTCTTTGGCATTGCCTTTCTTTGGGATTGGAATGAAAACTCACCTTTTCCAGTCCTGTGGCCATTGCTGAGTTTTCCAAATTTGCTGGCATGTTGAGTGCAGCACTTTCACAGCATCATCTTATAGGATTTGAAATAGCTCGACTGGAAATCCATCACCTCCACTAGCTTTGTTCGTAGTCATGCTTCCTACGGCCCACTTGACTTCACATTCCAGGATGTCTGGCTCTAGGTGAGTCACCATTGTGATTATCTGGGTCATGAAGATCTTTTTTGTACAGTTCTTCTGTGTATTCTTGCCACCACTTCTTAATATCTTCTGCTTCTTTTAGGTCCATACCATTTCTGTCCTTTATCGAGTCCATCTTTGCATGAAATGTTCCCTTGGTATCTCTAATTTTCTTGACGAGATCTCTATTCTTTCCTATTCTATTGTTTTCCTCTATTTCTTTGCATTGATCACTGAGGAAGGCTTTCTTATCTCTCCTTACTATTCTTTGGAACTCTGCGTTCAAATGGGAATCTTTCCTTTTCTCCTTTGCTTTTCACTTCTCTTCTATTCATAGCCATTTGTAAGGCCTCCTCAGACAGCCATTTTGCTTTTTTGCATTTCTTTTTCTTGGGGATGGTCTTGATCCCTTCCTCCTGTACATTGTCACGAACCTCTGTCCATAGTTCATCAGGCACTCTGTCTATCAGATCTAGTCCCTTAAATCTATTTCTCACTTCCACTGTATAATCACAAGGGATTTGATTTAGGTCATATCTGAATGGTCTAGTGGTTTTCCTCACTTTCTTCAATTTAAGTCTGAATTTGGCAATAAGGAGTTCATGATCTGAATCTCAGTCAGCTCCCGGCCTTGTTTTTGCTGACTGTTTAGAGCTTCTCCATGTTTGGCTGCAAATACTATAATCAATCTGATTTCAGTGTTGACCATCTGGTGATGTCCATGTGTAGAGTCTTCTCTTGTGTTGTTGGAGGAGGGTGTTTGCTATGACCAGTGTGTTCTCTTGGCAAAACTCTATTAGCCTTTGCCCTGCTTCATTCTGTACTCCAAGGCCACATTTGCCTGTTACTCCAGGTGTTTCTTGACTTCCTACTTGGCTTCATTTAGTATAATTCATTTGAGGGAAAGTAATAACATCCAAATATATGAAATACATGAATTCCATGTCACCATAGCTGTTTAACCTCTATTAAATGCTCTGATGATTCTTTATTATTTAATCCAAAGTTAGAAACACAGAAAATAGAATTTTCTTTTGACTCAGGGACTTCTATCCATTGTACATCCATTTCTTTGTTATTAGATCCATTAATCAGATCAGACAGAGAAGACACTCATTTTAGATGTTAATATTACATTTGTCATAATCATTATTAGAAACCCGCCATTGATCCAAAATGATTTCTTCTGAACCTAGGAATTATATAAAAGGGATTATGGATCACATTCACAAATGCATTTTCCCCATGCTGTTCTCTTAGCAACCAGGCCTCCTGGGATGTGCCACCAAGATGAATTCCAGTGCCAAGAAGATGGGATCTGCATTCCGAAGACCTGGGAGTGTGATGGGCATGAGGACTGCATCCAGGGATCTGATGAGCACAATGGCTGTCCCCCCAAAACCTGCCATCCATCTCATTTTGTCTGTCAAAATGGAAACTGCGTCTCTAGAAATTGGCTCTGTGATGGGGACAATGATTGTGGAGACATGAGCGATGAGAAGGACTGCCCTACTCAGCCTTTTCGGTGTCCCAGTTGGCAGTGGCAATGCCCTGGCCATAGCATCTGTGTGAATATGAGTGCAGTGTGTGATGGTGTCCCTGACTGCCCTGGTGGGACAGATGAGTCCCCGCTTTGCAGTAAGTTTCCTGACCACAGTTTACTAGCCATGAACTCATCCTGAGCAGTGGCCAGCTGTGTGTCATCATTGTCACAATCACCATGTAGCTCTTGAGGAAGGAATCTCAGTTCTCTGAATTTCAACCTGTGTAGGGATAGCCATCATGGAATTCAAATAAATCATCACTGGATAGTATTTCTCATTTAATCCTTTGCACCCAGTTCTGTGTTCTTACTTCATTAGATCATCAAATTAAATTTGGTCCTGTTGGGTAATGCACTCATAAGTTTTTCCAGCTTTCGTATTTCCTAATTTCAATCAGAACTTGCCACAAAACAAATGAAGTCCAGGGATTTGTGTTTGCTGTGATTAAAATCCTGTGATTGGCATATCATCCTAATTACTGTCGTTTCTTTCTTTGCTCTTTAATCAATGCTCACTCTCAGATGAACCCCAGCCAGGTATGACTGCAAAGTATTTTAGATTCTTATGATTTTATTTGCATTGCATTTGTGCTGAAAATGCCTTAATCATTTTGACTTACTTCCCCTTCTGGTACATGTTTCATACCATGACTCTTATAAATAAGAGTACACATGGAAATAGAGGGTATTTGCATCTACAGGCAGATAACTATCCTGGGTACCTCGGGCATCGTCATTTTAGCCCTGAAAGTAAGGATGATGGTATGTTAGTGTATCTATACCCTCTAGTCTTTCAGTTGTCTTTCCCCATTGTAAACCTTTTAGCTCTGTTCTTAGTGTCAAAGTCTTATCTTCCATATCTGTGTAGGTAGCAGAATGACAGAAAACAAATGGGAAGTAATTTAGGTCTCTTTGCATGACAAAGCAAAGACAGTTATGTTTTTTTTATGTTTATGTTTCCCCCACGTTTCTTTCATGGCACTAAATGGAGTTATATTTGACGGTTGTAGTGAAGAAAGTGGTCCCAGTCCAGTGGATGTGAAAGATGGTAAATCCTTAGGCAAGTCAGAGCACTGGACAGTCTATGGACCTCATCCATGTGGATTCTGCTCATAGCTCATAGTTGGGTATTGTGTTGAGGGTGACGTGAGACATGTGTGACGTGTAATATAACAGAATGAACCAAAGAAGCAAAGATTCCTGACTTTTCCCCTTTGTGATTTCTTTTTCTTTATTCTAGACCAGAATAGCTGCTCAGATTCCAATGGTGGTTGTACTCACCAGTGTATTCAAGGGCCCTATGGGGCCCAGTGCCAGTGTCCATTGGGATACCTGCTCGGGAATGACTCTAAGACCTGCGAAGACATAGATGAATGTCGTATTCGAGGCTTTTGTAGCCAGTACTGTCACAACATGAGAGGCTCTTTCCGGTGTTGGTGTGACTTAGGGTACAGGCTGGACGCTGATCGGAGGACTTGTAAAGCTACAGGTAATGAAAGTGAACTAACTCCAGCTAGTTTAACAGGCACACTCCAGACACCATCTTTGTGTAATACCTAATGAATTAAATTCAACCAGTATTAATTCTGGGCTTCCCAGATGGCACAGTGCTATAGAATCTGCCTGCAAATGCACGTAGACGTAAGAAACACAGGTTCAATCCCTGACTCAGGAAGATCACCTGGAATTGGAAATGGCAACCCACTCCAGTACTCTTGCCTGGCAAATTCCATGGACAGAGGAGCCTGGCAGGCTACAGTCCATGGGGTGGCAAAGAGTTGGACACGACTGAACACAGCACACACATAGCGTTAATTCAGTTTCTGTGACATGAAAGTGTTGTACTATGTGTTAGGGTATTGATGTGGCTGCTTTAAATGTGACCAAATAAAGAATACTAACACCAAAGAGGCAGCTTCTTCTTTTCGGGTGGGAGTCTGGAGGGTAGAGGGTTTGGGGGTAAAAGCTGGTGTGCCTTCCGGCCAGGGATCCAGGGATCTTGCTCCAGAGTTTGCCAGCTCCCAGGAAGTATGAAAGGGGTGAGCAGCTTCCCTTTAAGGATGATACCTGGAATTTGACACTTCATTTTTGTTTGCATTTTATTGATGGAAACTTAGTCATATAGTCTCTCCAAATTGAAATGGAAATGGAGAAACGTCTCTAGCTCTTAGGCCCTGTGCTGTGCTAAAGCTTGGCATAATTTATTACTAAAAAGGAAGACGAGAGAGGACATGGGAATGATTAGAAATCTCTGCCACAGCTGAATGCAGAGTACGAAATAAGCAAGTACAAAAGTAACTATAGTAACAGGAGGAATGCAAGAATAGTTCACTCCAGGTTGATAGATAAACACTGAAGTGTAATTCAAGGATGAAAGATATTTTGAAAGCTTACTTTCAGTACTTGTGAAAATCCGCTATTAAGGTAACATCATTCTTATGTTTTTTGTTTGTTTTTCCCCATTACTCTAATTTGGAATGGCATCTTCTTTCCATTATCAAAGATATTACATCAAATATTGTTGTTTCTCCCAGAATCATTGACACTTCTATTTTCTTCTTGGACAGAACCTGAAAGTCTGTTACTGGTGGCGAGTCAGAGCCAGCTTATTGCTGGCAATATTACCCGGCAGGGGTACTTTATCTACCCGGTTATCCAACATGGTTCTCACATTGTGGCTGTTGATTTTGATTCCGTCAGTGGTCGTATCTTTTGGTCTGATGGAACTCAGGGTAAAATCTGGAGTGCCTTTCAAAATGGAACTGATAGAAAACTAGTAAGTACATAAGTACATGTCTACTGGCCTTTGATCTGACTAGTTCCCCAGTCTCAGATCTATTTGCTGTTAATCACCAGTGAGTGAAGGTCCTACGTTATCTTAAGTGGGTCTCATGTCTCCCTCTGGGCCATCCATACTTAAAAGCCCTGGATGTTCCTAACTCCTATCTGATGGGATCTGAAGGGAGAGACTTGAACCTGAATACCAGGTTATATAATACAGAGATCTCATTGCATCTTGGAAGTCCTTTCTGCATTTTTTTTTTCCCCTAGTGGATAAAAAACAAGGGAGACACAGGGGAGGTTGCTTTTCTTTCTTTTGTCTTTTAAAATATTTTTAAAATTTATTATTTATTGTCTATCATGGTTTATTATATAGGATAGTGAATATAGTTCCCTGTGCTATACAATAGGACCTTGTAGTTGAAGTTGCTTTTCTTAGCTTTAATTCAGTTATGTTTCTTGATCAGTCTCCCAGAGTTTCAATTTCTTCATCCTTGGTGGTTATGTTTCCTCTGCCCCCTTAGAACCTTATTTCGTAATTGTTGGCTCTCAATCAATAAAGGCATTACTTTTGCCATGAGAACACTGTAAAGTTTCATAGGGTGGCCAACTTAGCAAATGGATACAGTTTTTGTTTAACTGAAAAAATTCTGAAACTAAAACTCCACACTAATCCAACAATAGAGTATTCAATTCTACACCATCTTGTAGATTTTCCCTAGAAAACCCTACTGTTTCTACATGGGAAGACCATATTTTCTAGTCCTCACATGAAATCATAGGACAAGTTAGGTGATACCTTATTCTCAATTTTCATTTTATTTCTGTGTTTGGATTATTTCTTGAGAGTTCGCTTACTATTCACTTTTGTCTTTAGATACTTGACAGTGGTGTCAGCATGACTGGAAATATTGCAGTAGATTGGATAGGACGCAATCTTTACTGGACAGACATTTCCCTGCAAACAATTGAAGTCGCTAAACTGGATGGGAGCCACAGGACTGTGCTGCTTAGTGAAAACACAACAAATCCAGGGGGACTAGTAGTAGATCCCAGAGCTACGTAAGACATTTTTTTTTCCCTTAAATATCATGTTGCCTTAACATTGTATGAGAGGAAATAACAGTAATGTGATGTGGTTAATACTCATATCACAATATTTTAAATGATCCCTTGTTTAAACATCTCTATATAAATTTAGCCATACAGCTAGTTGTTGCTGTCTTCCTTTATCTGAATAGTCTTCTTCATAAAGTACATAAGAGCAATTGATTGTTCACTTAAAGATCATTTTATTTTTTTAGCTTGCAAGTATATGATGAAGTGTCTAACAAATGCATGTAGTAATACACTTCATATGTCTACAACAAAAAGCCAGATTTTCTTGCTTCAGTTTTGTATTGTTTACTACAACTTCCTTTTAGGTCATGTAAGGAAATTTTTGCCTCCTGGCCCTAAAGGAAAGAAGAAATTCTCTCATGCTTAGAAATCTTTGAGGGCTTCTTTCCTTGAATTTCCTTAGATTGTCTTCTGCAGGAAGATGAGTTAGGCAAATTATGTTCAATGCAGTGTAGATTTGCTAGATATTGTAAAGTATTACACACCAGTGAAATTTATGATGAATCTGATGATGAATAATGGCTTTCTTAAAAATGACAGGGTAGATAAACAAGGACAGATGGACTTTTCTAGATCAACTGTATGTGGATTGTACAGAAACACAAATAAGCATTGAGACATTTCAGCATGTCACACTGTACTGCATGTTTTATGAACGTTATAAAAACACCCAGATGGCTTGTGATTGCATTATGATTGCAGTTTTACTTTGTGACACAGTAAGCTCTTGTGTATATTCTGAACTGGAGATGTGTTATTTTAAGCAGAGCATAAACATGATATTCTGTTATTTAAAACGACAGTTATTTTCCATGTAGAAATATGTCCTGTCCAATTGGTAACTCGTTTCTTTTCACAGTGACCGTGTGATGTTCTGGTCTGACTGGGGCAATCACCCTCGCATTGAGCGAGCTAGCATGGATGGCAGTCAGCGCACCGTCATTGTCCAGGAGAAGATCTACTGGCCCACTGGATTAGCTCTTGATTACCCCAACAGGCTAATCTATTTCATGGATGGCTATCTTGATTACATAGACTTCTGTCACTACGATGGAAGCAATCGGAGGCAGGTGATAGCCAGTGATTTGGTAAGTTGGTAGCAAAGAAAGGAAATTAAACTAAGATAATGGGTTAGCAGGAAGCATATGGAGTAAAAGAAAAGTAAAAAATTCACTGCTGTGTCATAGGCATCCAGAAAATATCAACAGGAATGAGGGCCGGTCCCTCTTTTTTCACAAAAAATAATTATTCCTGTTCATGGTCCAGGAAAGAATAATAGCTTGCGTGATTTAGTTGATCTGTTATTTAACTGATGCCAATCTGTTGTTTCCAGGTAAAGAATGATTTAATTATATGTAAATTCCTCAATGAAATCATAGTTTGTTGCATATTTTGTATTTTTATTCATGGAATTCTGGTGAATTTATTTTCAGAAGTTAAATGGGGCAATGAAGAAAATATGTATTTTACTAAAGAGCTATTTTAGCCTTCAGAGTAAAGATGAAGGCTAAATAACACAGGTCCATGAAAGTATTTTTGATTTGTCAGGGGGATGTAGGTCAAGAAGTATATTTTTTTCTACCTCTTTGAGCAAGGATTTTACTATGTCTTTATTAAGTTAAATGCTAAAGGAAACCGTCTGCTTGGGTAGGTATCCCTTCCTACTTTGTTCATCTTAGTTTTTATTTCCAGGTCTCATTGCTCTCTTCTGCTTCACAGATTCTGCGCCATCCTTATTCCATAAGTCTCTTTGAAGATACTGTGTACTGGAGTGATCGTGCTACTCATGAGGTTATGAAAGCCAATAAGTGGCATGGGGGGAACCAGTCAGTGGTGATGACAGTTCACCAGCCTCTTGGCATTGTTGTGGTTCATCCTGCAAAACAACCAGTTTGTAAGTGATAGACATATCTTTCCTGGGTATAGCTTGGAAAACATTGATCCTGGGAGTGTAAAATGTATAACGTTGCAGACCCATTTGTTTGGACAGGGTATTTCCATGATTTCTATTTATCATGGAAAACACAAACCTTTTATGTCTTTACTTACTCAGAGTCTCCCTGGTTTTTTTTTCTCTCACTTATTCTTGCCACACTGGGCTTCACTGGACTTCCTTTTGGTACAGAAGCACATCAGGCTTCTTCCCATCTCTGAATGTCTGCACTGGCTCGTCCCTCTGCCCTGGGGTGCTCCTTGCCCAGATCTCTGTCTGAGGTGCTCCTTCGTGTTACCCTCAGATGGTTTTTTGTGCCTTCATTCTCTCAGATGGTTCTTGACCATCCTATCGAAAATGGCTCTCTTTTTCATAATTCTTTTGTTCTTTATTCTCACATTCTAGAGTCACACAATTTATGAGTTTAGTTCTGGTTCCTTTTGTTATAATAATTGCCTCATATTTACAGTCTTCCCAGATTCCTGCAGTTGGATTCTTTACCACTAGCACCACCTTGAAAGCCTGTTTGGCTTTACTAGTTTTTGAGTGAACAAATGGATTACTGCATCTAACCAAGTGTATGTAATGAGAATATATAAGATCTAGAGAATATCCTATCAGCACAGGATACACACCAAATCTCTTTACTTCAAGGAGTAGAAACACACAAAGATGTTATTAATGAAAAAAAGAAAGATTGTTACCTAACCAGAACTTTCACAACAGTAGGTAAGGTCACATAGAGAACACACATTTGGTTTCATTTAATGTAAAAAGATCTTTTTGGGGTCAGCCAAGGAAACACATCTTCAGTTCAGTTCAGTTCAGTCGCTCAGTCGTGTCCGACTCTTTGCGACCCCATGAATCGCAGCAGGCCAGGCCTCCCTGTCCATCACCCACTCCCGGAGTTTACTCAAACCCATGTCCATCGAGTTGGTGATGCCATCCAGCCATCTCATCCTCTGTCGTCCCCTCCTCCTGCCCCCAATCCCTCCCAGCATCAGGGTCTTTTCCAATGAGTCAACTCTTCGCATGAAGTGGCCAAAGTATTGGAGTTTCAGCTTCAGCATCAGTCCTTCCAATGAACACCCAGGACTGATCTCCTTGAGGATGGACTGGTTGGATCTCCTTGGAGTCCAAGGGACTCTTATGTAGCTTCAAATTTCTACTTCTAAGCTCTGGGTTACTCAGGGGCTGTTTGAGTTCATAATCCATTTATAGACTGGATTGATCTGTGACCTTGGGTAAGTCACTCTTCCCTCTTATGCCTCTTATGAACCTTATGTTGAAAGATGATGTTGGAGAAGGGTGAAGTAGTTAAGGGCAAAAACCAAGCCAGCCAAGGTAACTTATATATTTGTGTGTCCAAATATTGGAGACTTCTGGGATTATAATTTTTTAATTGAGATATAGTTGACAAATGACATTGCATTTGTTTTAGGTGTGCAACATAATGATTGGATATTTATATATTTTGTGAAACGATCAATGTGAGATTAGTGAACATCCATCACCACATATTTTTCTGGGATTAGGAATTTTAGGATCAACTCTTAACTCTAGTCATCATGCTGTACATTACATCCACAAGACTTCTTTATGTTGTAACTGGAAGTTTCCACCTTTTGACCACCTTTACACTTTTTGCTACCTTGCATTTCCTGCTTCTGGCAAGCACCGATCTGTTTGTTTTTATTTTTTAATTTAGATTTCATATGAAGGTGATATCCTTATACCTTCCAGGTCCGTCTGTGTTGTCTCAAATGGAGTATTTTCTTCTTTTTTTTTTTTGTGGCTGATTAATATTTGATTATATGCATGTTTATATACATACTATATCTTCTTTATTCATTCATTCTGTTCACTTTAATGTGGGCAGTTTTCCATTCACCCTGTTTTCTTGTCTTTGTATTACAGCCTCAAATTCATGCAACAATGTCCGATGCAGTCATCTGTGCCTGCTTTCCTCAAGGAGTCTTTACACCTGTGCTTGTCCTTCCGGGTGGAATCTTGCTCGTGATTCTGTGACTTGCGTGAGAGGTAGAGTATGTCCTTTAAGTATGCTCTGAAGGTGGAACTTGCCATTGAACTCTAAAGCACTTGGTGATGGAGTGGCGTGCTGTCTTTCCTCTGGTCAGCAGGTATCTGTGGGATGTGTGCTGTATGGGGGAGTTAATTGAGCACCATAAACAAAAATTGATTTACAATCAACCATATACAGAAACTCCCTTACAAATGAGTTGTAACTCTAATATAGTTTCTATATATGGAGCCAATATTATGTGTGTCTGTGGTTCAGCATTCTTTAACCTCACATTTTTTCTTACCTGGTTATAGGCAGGCAAGCTGTGATAAAGGGAAGTTCCAAATTCTGCATTTAGAAATAAAAATCGTGGATATTTGTGGATAGTTTCATTTTTAGGTTACTTATCTCATTTTAAAAAATATTTACTTTTATTGACTTGTTTGGCTATACCAGGTCTAGTTGTGGCACATGAGATTTTTTAGTTGTGGCATGTGACTTCATCGTTGCATGGCATGTGGGATGCATGGGATGCATTCCTGACCTGGGATCAGACCTGGACTCCTGCATTGAGCATGTGGAGTCTTAACCTTGGACCACAAGGAAGGTGCCTCTTTATTTCATTTTCTGTTCTCATAACCAGTAGTCAATAAAGAGTGTTACAGTATGGGTGTTCTGACTCCAGTTTCAGTACCTTTACTAGTGATTATTTTATGGTGCTCTAAAAATGAAACTTTTCTTTGTATGAAATACTTTGAGTGATTATTTGAGCAATTTATTCTTCATCTCATCCTAGATATCTTACTGGGTTGATTGAAGAGTATGTGAGTATTATACTAAGTACTTCAGGGAGCAAGAAAGGAAGGATAAGATGTAGTCAATCCACAAAGGAGATTTCTAAGAAATCATTTGCCTTTGCTTAAAAATCTCAAGAGGTAGTATAAACAAGTTTCTTTCATTACTCAGTGAAGAGGAGTAAACATATTTTCATACTGATAAAAATGGCTGTGGACAAGTTAAAAGTAAATGTTTAATGGTGAAAAATTCCTAAATTAAGAGAAAAGTAGTCTTAATTCTAGAGGAAAATTTAGTTTTCAAAAGGAAAATATATTCCTGAATCCAGGAAATTTATGGTGTTTACAGGTTATACAGAGGCAAGGTTACTGAAAATTTAATTCCATCAGCATGTAATATTTTGCAGTGATAGTTTTGTGATGAAAGATTTTAATTATTGGTAATGCTTACAAAGGGATTGGCATCTGCAATGTTTCTTCAGAGATTTATTATGAACCTAATCCTTGTTGACATTGTTTAATTTAGTGTGTCCTCAGAGTCTTTCAGCAGAAGATTAAACGGGGCTATAGACATTCTTTGTACTAAACATTCTTTCACCACGCAGAGATTGTTGAACTGTGCGTTGGGGATTGGTGTCATCTACATTACTATCTGGTAGTGATTGATAAGTGTCAACCCTAAAAAATACCTTTTCTTATTTCACAAATAATTCCACTAGTGGTTTTCCATGGACTGATTTTTACTGAGGTGGAACTTTTTCAACATTTTCCAACAGGCTTCTGAGCACCGGTTGGGTTACTGAGTGCAAATATATGTGAACTAAAAAAAAAATTGCTTTTTTTTCAACAAGAAGCTTAGAAGACATTCATAGATGAAAACAGTTTATTTAATTATTTGATCACCTTTAAAATTTTGTCTGTACAGTGTCTAAAATATCTTTGGAAGTGCTTGTATAAGATTAAGTGAAAAAGTAGAGATTGTTTAATATTGGCTATGTATTCATAAAATCATGCATTAAAAAAATCTGGAGGACAGGATACACAAATGTCAGTAGTGTTTACTGTTGGGAAGGGAGATGATGGAGTATTTCTATTTTTCCCTAATTTTGTGTTATAAAAATTTTAATGGGAGAGCTTTCTCTGTATGAAATAGTTTTTTTATTGCTTATCAAATATGTTCCTCAAGTGCCAAAAAGCCCCCCAAACTCAAACCATCTTCCCAGCACCCCCTAATATTAAGAGCTGCACATCCAAAATAGGGTTGTGTAAGGTCTAACTTTGTGAGGAACTATGCTTGGGAGTCATAAATGCCACCTCTTAATGACAGCATAAATTTTTCATTCCCAACTGTTGTCTTTTCACTTCTTTGCCCTGCTAACACTAATCTTAATTCTTAATAAGATAATGACATGAAAAATAAAAATGAAGAAATTTTCATTTCTCTTGATCTCCTTTCCAGCCAACCCTAGATGCTGCTGTACCTACTCTTTCATGGCCATGGTCCGTATTCTTTGTCTGGCCCCCCAGACTCTAAGTTCCTTGGGGATAAACCTGTTTTTGAAAACAGCATTGCTGGTTGCTGTGAAAGACTAAATGCTATCTATTTGTAGTACTTTTCATGAATAGTTGCAAATTTCACATCTGTACTAGGTTAATCAGTTGAGTCAATTTGTTTCTCAGTAATGGAAATGCCAGGAACAAGGAAAAGCTAATTGGATGTAAAAGAAAGTAAAGAAAAAAATTGTCAAAATAATCCTGCTGAAGATGCAAAGCTTCCCGAATGATCAAAATAATGCAAACACCATTTTTAGCCCATGAAGATTATGCAATAATTAATCATTTTATACTTTGTCTTAATAGGTGATATATCTTACATGTCTTAATAACACAAACTCACATTTCAAAGTTTTCCTTTTCTCACAGAGGAATGATAATAAAACCCTACTTATGAACATTATTAGTTTTTTCATAATGGGCCTACAGTCTGGAGAAGATTATCTCTGAGAAAGGACCTCATTATCTATTAAAGAGCCTACAGAAACTTATAGTTTAAATGAGATATTATGAAGATGTTTAAATTGCAATGCATAGATACTTTCGAGAACTTCAGAAGACACTCTACATATTTACTTATCTGTCCATCTATTTATTCATGGATGGGGCCATTCAGTTAGCAAATATTTGTTAGACAACTATTCCAAGCTCTGGGGACATAATAATGAGTAAATTGGACGGGGTCACTGTCCTTTGGGAGTTAGAATCTAATGCAGAAGATAGACATTAGTCAGACAACAATTGGTGCAATTATAAATTAGATTTACTTAGTAATTAGACCCTTTCATAAACACTAGGCAACACTTTGTGGTGTTATTTTCTAAAAATACTTAAAACTAATGAACTGCCATTCACCAAGAAGAGACTACAAATTTTCTTTTGCCCCAAAGTGTGAAAATCCAACTCTCCCTTCCCTGAGTCATTCTGTATCTAGAAATGGGAGAACTTCTTGTCTGTGACTATCCAAACATGGATAGTTTAGCAGTGTGAGTAAGGAATTAATGAAGTGTAAGGTAAATGCTGATCTACCTTGGGTGATTCCAGAAGTCTTGTGTGTGAAATTGGTGGTCTGATGACCCAACAACCTACTGAAACCCAAAGGAAAACCCTGATTTTTCTGGTGAAATATCTGTCATGCATTATAATTATTGCCATGATCCTTCAGTGGCATTTTATCCTATCAAATGGTAATAATCCTTTGCCCTCTGTTAGTCAAAATATCTGGGATACAATTTCGAGTGATATTCTTCTATTTTCACAGATGATCAAGCATTCCTAATAGTTGTAAGAAACAGTATAATTTTTGGAATTTCCCTTAATCCTGACGTGAAGACCTTTGATGCTATGGTGCCCATATCAGGGATACGCAATGGTTATGATGTTGCAGTTGATTACTCAGAGCAATTCATCTACTGGCTTGAAAATCCAGTAAGTTTCGAATAGCATTCCAAGTATGTAGCTTGTTCTTGAAGAGCCTACCTTCATGGAGGCCTTCTTACATTTTTGCTTGGGGGGGTGCGGTCGGGGTGGGAATGACCCAGACAGAAATTAGTTTAACACTAAGCCTTTTTTAATTCAGTGAGGGACGTCAATGGGAAGTTGGCCTGGAGCAAAGACCCAATAGTAGACACGTTTAAACTCTTGGGCACATTTATTCATTCAGCAAGTATTAAGTGACTACTACTTTCTCTGCAGTGAACTGGCTCCTTCCAGCTGCAGAGTACATGCCAAGAGGAAGCAGTAACCAGGTTTGCCCTTGAGCTTGAATCTAGCAGAAGATATTAGACTAACATAAGAATGATCTTCACTTAAGACCAAAGGCAATAATTCCCTAAGGGAATTCCAGGAAAACATGTGATGTGGCTGCTGTGGCCTTCACTCAGAATCTTTGTCTCTAGAAGCAAAGAACATTCCTTCAACTTCCTTCCCCTTGGGACCCTTTCTTTACCTATTAGGGAAGAAACCTGTGAGAATGGGGAAGGAGCAAGGAGAGCATGAAAGATTCAGCGTTGCTGGCATTAGTGTTTTATACAGTGAGCCCCCCAATGGCACTGGCACTTTGCATTTCTTCCACGCATGAAGTATCTTAAAGCAACTGCAGTGAAGAAGCTGTGACCCTGAAACAGCTCACCCCTCCTTGTCTTTCTCACCAGGGTGAAATTCACAGAGTGAAGACAGATGGTACCAACAGGACAGTGTTTGCTCCTCTGTCAAGTCTGGGGGCTTCTGCGAGCCTGGCGTTAGACTGGCTATCAAGAAACCTTTATTTTACTGATCATGTGACTCGGTCAATTAAGGTAATAATTCCATAAAACTATTGACACAAACACTGGTTTCTAATTCATGTAAAATTTCAGGAAATGCTGTCATATGGAGGAAGGAAAAAGGGATATTAGTATTAATTCTCTGAAGACACGGAGAAACCTAAAAATTGAAACTTTCCACTGTGCTATTTTGTCTCCACCTGAGTATCAATGGCAGGCTGTTAATAATTTAATAAATAATGATTTATTAAAATATATGCAAAGATAAATAAAAATTATGTAACGAATTCAATGTAAAGGGAAGCTTATAGTAGGCAAGGCCCATTTTCATTATCTTTCCCCATCAAGTATCTAATGCTATTTCAGTTCTAAACCAAATTTATAGATTGCTATTGTTCTAAGATGGAAATCTGTGACTCTAACAGTGAAACAGAAAGTAGAAACTTGATTCTAATTCCTTTCTTTTGTGAGATAAGTGTTCTTTTTACTCTTAATTCCCAGAAGAAATTCTATAGGGGCACAGGTATGAAATCACATGAAGTAACTCAGAGGTAACTTGACTAGTGTTGGTTTACTCCAGTCTGGGATAAGGTTAAGACATGTGAGGGATTACTAATTCAGAGTGAGAATGAGAATTCCTAATGCAAAGGGGCAGTTTTGGGAATCTGACAGTAGGGTGACAGTCCACTGCTCTGGGTGAAGCGTCAGTAAGTCGGCTCTCTTTGGGACATTCAGAAGGATTGATGCTAACGATGAGGAAGGTGCACAGTAGCCTTCCTCAGGAGCCTCCACACCTTAGCACACTGCTGAGGGCCGACAAGCGTAGTAAACGGTCACGGTGACAGGGATAGTCACAGTATGTACTCAGTATTCTAATCTCAAGCCAAGTAGAATCAGCAGCTCCTAACATGAAGGGAAACTTGGAGGCTCATCTGGTTCAAGCTCTTTATTTGGTAAGAATGTTAAGCCCACAGAAGTCAGCTTCACTGCCCTGATTCTGGGAGGTGGGGTGGGAAGGGGTGGGTGGTCTAACTTTGCCTTGTTGTAAACCACAAGTTCAGCAGTCAATTCTGCTTCAACCGCCTTGGACAGTGACAGAAAGTATTTTGCACAACTTCAACTAAAAATATCACTGGCCCAAGACAAGGCAATATTTACTGCCCAAGACCTTTAGTACCAAACTCATTCTCTAGAGGCCACTCAGTACAAAACTGTCTTCTTTCCAAATGGCAAAGAAGGAATGCTCCTGTTTAGTAAAGGGGATCTTCTTTTGTGGACTGATAGTCTTTCAAGAGCAGAGCACTTGTCTCCTCCATCAGGGTGAGATAGCACCAGTTGAAGAACTGAGTATGTGCGTGTGCGTGTGTGCATGTGCATTTGTGTGTATTGGTGAGGCTACTTTAACCATGAAAACTTAAATTGTGCCCCAAATGCAGCAAGGTCCAGAGGAGAGAAAACTTGCCTTGGAGTCTTGGTTTCGAGTCTGGATTGTTTGCTCATTTGTGCATTCATTAAACAAACACTAATAAATGCTTTCCATGGATCAGTGCCATGGTTGTGTGTATGTTCAGTCGCTCAGTCATGTCTGACTAAAGATCCTATACAGTCCCAGGACTGTAGCCTGCCAGGCTCCTCTGTCCATGGAATGTTCTAGTCAAGCATACAGGACGGAGTTGCCATTTCCTTCTCCAGAGTATCTTCCTGACCCACGGATCGAACCCTGATCTCCTGCATTGCTGGCAGATTCTTGACTGACTAAGCTATCATAATAGGAGTAACTCATGTTGAATTCCAGCTTTTCCACTAGGGGTAGCTGTGTGCTCACTCACTGAAAGCAATTTTGTAATTGAGAAGTGAAATGTACAGAAAGGCTGTCTGTGAGAGAGCTCCCGCGAAAAAAAACAAGGAGACTTTCCGTTGAACCAAAGACGTCCTTAGGAAAAGGACAGAAATTGTAGCAGAAAGAGGCAAATTGAAAAAATTACTTTAATCCAAATAGGAGAAAAAGCAAGAGAGAAAATTATAGAGAAAGAGTCAGGGAGAGAAGGATGTGTGTGTTTGTGTGTGCATGTGAAAGAGTGAGGGAGGGAGAAAGATGTATATAGATAGAAAGGCAAAGATAGAAGCAAACATAAATAATCAGTTTGTATTGAAATACGATTTTATAGAAAAGGCTTTGTGCAAATCAAGAGGCGTTTTCTTATTTCTTACGAGTGTTTCTCACCTCAGACTGTCTCAAGTGCATACTAAAATAGCCTTGTTTCTATAAGAAACTGCTTCTGGTCCAGTAATCCATATCTCTTAGTGGTATTTCACAGTGGTATAACACTGTCGTTATAACAATTCAAGCAAGATTGCTTAAAAACATAGCAATAGGAAAACTACAAATCCTCTCTAGGCCTCTTCTTTATTACCTTATATAGGCATAATAATGACATCCATCTCTTAAAGTCACTGTGAGGATTAAATCCGATAGTGCTTAATATAATGCCTGCTATATAGTGGGTTCCCATAAACAGGTCAATAAAAAACATTGTAGTTGTGCCGGGTGCTGTGCAAAGCACTTTACATGAATTATCCCATGTTGCTGGGATCTCTATGCAGAAGGGACCATTATCTTCCACACTTGACTAACACAGTTCAGAGAGGTGAACTTACTTGCCTCAGGTCCTGTAGTCAGTCATGTAGGATCTGGCAGGGCGGGCATTTGCACACAGGCCCTTAACATGATAAAGAACTCACTCAAGTGAATTAGATTGTTTGTTCAACTGTGTTTGCAGTGATGGACCACTGGGTACTCTGGTCCAGGCATCGGGGTACAGGAGAACTATGGTGTTCCCTTTGGATGGTTCTCATCTTTTTCTGAAGGCATTTTGTAGTTTCACTCAGGCAGTGATCCATATAAATAGCTTCTCCTGAATTTTTAGATAAATTGCAAATAGAAATTTGAGAGGTGATTTCATTTTCTTACTCCCATTTTCTATTGAGCTGATTTTCTTGTAGCTCTGGTATGCAATTAGGGATTATCTGAATATCACGCAAACCCTCTCATTCACCCTGATCATAGTTTGAATTTGTTGTGTGTTTCAGTTTTTCTTCATCTTAGCTTTCTTATTTTCCTCTTATGCAGGTTTTAACACTTCGAGGAGATGTCAGTTACGGGAAAACCCTGATTACCAATGATGGGACGAGTCTTGGAGTTGGTTTGCCAGTTGGCATAACTATCGATCCTATTAATGGGTGAGTGTTCATTCAGAAATACCATATATCTTGTATACAGCAGCACTTTTGTTAGTATTATGATCTGATAAAATGGAAGATTTCAAACATAGGACCTCTTCTGATTTCATATGCCAACATTTGAAAAATACAGATCTCAGGGCTTCTCTGGTAGCTCAGTGGTAAAGAATCCGCCTGCCAGTGTGGGAGATGTGGGTTCGATCCCTAATCTGGGAGAACCCCAGATGCCACAGAACAACTACACCTGTGTGCCACAACAATAGAGCCTGTGCTCCGGAGCCTGGGAGCTGCAGCTACTGAAGCCCGCGTGCCCTGGAGCCTGTGCTCTGCAACAGGAGAAGCCACTGCATTGAGAAGGCTGCGTACCACAACTAGAGAGTGGTCCCTGCTCGCCCCAACTAGAGTAAAGCTCGCGTGCTGCAAAGCCCCAGCACAGCCAAAAAAAAAAAAAGAAATTATATAAAAAAGAAGGGGAAGGAAATGGCAACCCACTCCAGTATTCTTACCTGGAGGATCCCATGGACAGAGGAACCTGGTTGGCTACAGTTCATGGGGTTGCAAGAGTCGGATACGACTTGGCGACTAAACCACCACCACCATGTAAAAAAGAAAATATAGATCTCAGTAAGAAAGAAATAACTGTTAAGTTATATGTAATATGTATTTTTCAAATTAATAACCCGGAATTTCAAACAGGCAAGAATTTCAGGCATTTTAAAATAGAGCAAACAATAATATATTTTGACTTGGAATAAATGTGGAAAACTTGAAATAGACCTTGAAGGGTGAGAAGACCACCAGTAGATGGAGGATGGCTTGCAGCTGAGAAGTGGTACTTGAGGCCAAAGAGCAGTGGGGGCCCAGAAGCATAGTGGTACTTAGCATGATTGTGTAAAGGGCTGGAACCAGAGACTTTGAGTAAGGGACAGTTGACTAGATGGGAGAGATACAGCAGCTAAAGCCACTTGGGGACGAATCAGGGAGGGGCTTTAATGTCATGCTAAGGAGTTGTACTGTATTATTATTATTTTTTTTTTTTGAGAAATAAGGAGCCAGCAGGAAATTTGGAGGAAAGGAATGATAGAACCTAATCTGTATTTTAGAAAAATTAATCAGGATTGGAGTGGCAAGAGTTAGGGGAAAAAGCTAAGGTTAAGTAGCTTAAATTTTTAGCGAACTCAGAATTCATAAGAGTTTTGTGACTTTGTCCAGAAAACTTCTGACAACCTGGAATGGGATAGGAGAAAGAGAATAATGACAGGAACTTAGGGTGAGCAGTTAGCAAGTTAAGGAGATCATGAGAATAAATAAGAGTACTGTTAAAACAGTTAAAATGCTATGAGGTCCAGGGGTAGAGGGACTGAAGGTTTGAGAGCTCAGACAAATGTTAAGGGCAGAGGACAGGTTCAATGGAAGAAATAAAATAGGAGAAAAGAAGAGATGGAAGAGTTTGGTTGAATTTCAGTTTGAAAACTTAGAGGTAAAGAAGTTTAGAATTGAAGAGTAGGTTCGTGGGAAGGGTATATTGGATTGATGGTGAAAGAAAGATGCCAATAAAGATGATTGGAATTAAGGGTTTGAGGAATCGTGGAAGAGTTTGAGAGGGCTGTCTGGTGAAGGAGGAGGTGAGTTCGAAAGGAATGAAAACTTTGACTCATATCTAGAAGTTATGTCCTCATTGGAAATGGAAAGCAACCTTCACATATTTTAATGAAATTGGTAATTCTGTGTGATTAGGATTCATGTGTATACATTATATTTTCCATCAAAATTGGAAAATTAAGTAGCTTATCTTGTGGTAATTGATTCTGAAAAGAAATAAAGAAGGCTGAGAGGTGATCAGGGAGGTACTTGAATACTTTTGCATTAGCTCTTTCTTTTCTGGTGTGCTTAGCAGTCTGTGAGTCTGGAACTGACTGTTGATACAGGCTCTTAGTCCATGAACTTCCTGTGTGATCAAGCTAAAGGATTGTCCACCAGTGGAAAATGGTGTCCTGTGTCAGATTTCATTTTAAGTGGCCTCTCGCCCAATAATAACTGGGAAGTATACAACCCACTCCAGTGTTTTTGCCTGGAGAATCCCAGGGACGGGGGAGCCTGGTGGGCTGCCATCTATGGGGTCGCACAGAGTCGGACACGACTGAAGCGACTTAGCAGCAGCATACAGACATTAGAGAATACTAGTTATGGACTTGTCCACGCTGCATGTAACAGGATATTGACATTTCAGACTTCTTCCATTGAATGGTGTGCATCCTGAGGACAAGAAAGATTTGTTTTTCATTTAAATACATACTGAAAGCATATGTTTCACTAAACACCTTTGTTTTTCATGGTTGTAGGAAACTGTACTGGTCAGACCGAGGAACCAACAGTGGCATTCCTCCCAAGATTGCCAGCGCTAACATGGATGGCAAATCTCCAAGAACTCTCTTTACTGGGAGCCTTGAAAATGTGGCATTTATCACCCTTGATATTGAGGAGCAAAAACTCTACTGGGCAGTCAGCAGTACGGGAGTGGTATGTGCGCACATTTTAGTCCCTTGGTCTTTGTTGCAGAACTTGTGTAGTTGACATCCATTGTTCTAAGTTGTCTGGCAGTGGTTCTCAAACAATCTCAGCCACTTTTGGGGTTTCCCAGATGGCACTAGTTGTAAAGAACCCACTTACCAATGCAGGAGATGTGGAAGAGACATGGGTTCAATCCCTGAGTTGGAAAGATCTGGAGGAGGGCATGGCAACCCACTCCAGTATTCTTGCCTGGAGAACCCCATGGACAGAGGAACCTGACGGGCTACAGTCCATAATGTCACGACTGAAGCGACTTGGCACGCACACACATGCACCAGTGTTTTATTGCCCTTTCTCTCAATAACTTGAAGTCCAATTGTTTACAGAATGTTATTTATTCCCTTATTCTTTTTTTTTCTTCAAGACAAATTCCATCTCTCATTCCATATTTTTCCTCTAAGAGCCCTTTCTTCTTAAACAGAAAGCTTCTGAGCTCAATAGGCATCTGCTCACAGATGCCTGTTATTTTCTGGTAGTTGTAATGTGTGAGAACTCCCTTTCTTGGTCATTTTAAACTTCAAGATGAAGTTCATTATAATCTGCAATAAGAAATAGGAAGTATACAATTTCATTCATTCACAGAAATAACACTTGGTCTTTACTACTGTGCTTATACAGCCGATCTGGCACTAGGCACAAAGAAGGCACTCCGTAATACTTATTGATCAGCTACAGTATTGTTTTGGTTGTTGAATGTGTGCTAGTTGCTTCCTTGCTTTAGAGAGCAGGAGTGATTTCAGATCTGTTTATGACATTGACGCTCTTCAAAAAGTGGTCCGGTAGATTTGCTTTTCAGTTCATGATAGCTTGAGGAGGACTCATCTCACTCTTAATGTGTGATTATAATGAAGAAATGCAGTGATGTGTGTGAAAGCCCTTCACAGAAGTACTTGCCACATGCTGTGATTTCTGCGTACGAGTTAGCACGTCCCAGACCAGCCTACCCAGCAGCTCCCACTTCCCGTTTCCACATCCGCTCTGCTCTCCGCAATCTGTGAGCCGGTTGGTGGTGTGACTTCCCTCCTTTCTCCTAGGCTAGAACCCTCATATTCCTCCTTCACTCTAATAAGCATAGCCTGTTTAATCATCACAAAAATCCCGGCAGTTTGTCCCTGAGCGTCGTCTCTCAGGCCCAGCCTTTCCTGCCACCTGCACCATTCTGAACCACTTCTCTCTAGCTATCTCACTAATGAAACTGCTTTCATGATGGAGGCATGTGGTCTTCGTGAAACCACAAGGAACCCTGAGCCCTGGCCCAGATAAGTAGCTCCAGATTCCTGAGCCAAGTGTGCTCAGCTCATCTGGTCCCAGACACTCCCTCAGCAGCTTCCCACAGAGATTATCTCCCTTGTGCTGCACCCTTCTGGAATTTCTGTTGGTTTCCAGGACATAGCCTGCTCTTGTAACTGCTGGATTCCCTTGTCGAGAGAGGCAGGGAGCAACACCGATTTGTCTCTCTTGCCAGCAATCAGCTCAGATCCTGACACAGAGGAGGATCAAACCAGCTATGTCTATATATTTTGTTTTCTTCCAGAGCAGACTGCTTATCACTTCCTGTTAGGAACTTCGTTCTTGAGTTCTTCTCTAGTTCACCAGAGTCGTTTTGAGGCTGACTTATTACTGTGCTGTGTTAATAGCGCTGTCTTGCTGTCTTCTATGAGTGTGTCGAGTACGTTTCCTATCTCCATTGCAGAAATGGTTGGTGAAGACATTAAACCCAGGGCCAGTTAGCACACAGTATCCTTGACCAGAATATCACATGCAGGGATTAGTTCCCTGTTTTTCACCATGCCATCTGAGAAGGTTGACTGGCTTACTTGGACTTCAGCTTCATTATCAGTGAAATGGGCACAGTGACATTTGTCTGACCCACCACTTGATATAGCTGTGACTATCACATATAGTTAGAAATAGATATGAAACATCCCTGGAAAGGATAGAATGTGGTCTACATGTGAAACATTATTAAGCTAATATTAGTTTTAAACATTTGTCTCATTTCACCATGAATCAGTCAATAGCAAAAATTCTAACCTTTCAGATTGAAAGAGGAAATGTGGATGGAACAAATCGAATGATCCTGGTAAACCATCTTTCCTACCCCTGGGGACTTGCTGTCTATGGCCCCTTCCTTTATTACTCCGATGAAGAATATGAGGTCATTGAAAGAGTTGACAAGGCTACGGGGGCCAACAAAATAGTCTTGAGAAATAATCTCCCAAATCTCAGAGGCCTTAAAATTTACCAAAGACATGGTGAGTATTTGTCACTGAAACATACATTCATGTGTGTTTAATGAATATATCTATGCACTTACATGTCTGCATACAACCCCGCCACACACACAAACCTGTGTGCATACAGAAATAGAAATTATTCCAAAATATTTAAAATATATTAAGCATGGCTAAGTGTCAAAGACTAATCTGGCATCTGAAAGGCCAGATTCACTTCAGAGTAAACTTTCTCCAATTCATTCCCCATCACTTTTTACTTTGCTTTCGTTTTATTGCCCTCCCTGACATAATTATGTATGTGTTTTTTGTCTGAGTTCTTCATTAGTATGTAACCTTTATGAGGACAGGAATTTTGTCTGTCTTGTTTCTTGCTCTCTACCCAGTAACTAGAATAGTTACTGGCGCATTGGAGGTTGGATACCTACTGGAAAAGTAAATAACACAATAGAAGTTTTTTAATCTTAAAAGGAGTACTCTTAGGTGTGCTTTTTTGAGATAATGTAACTTTTGATTTGCCCCTTTAAATTAGTATTATGATCTAGAGATAATTTCTTTATTTTGAAATATCTAGTCTAAGACTATCAAGTAATTTGTTTGTTGTCCTATAACCTAGGTGTGTCACTTGATATTATTTATTGTATATTCAAAAAAACTTCAAGTATTCTTATTTAATATACATTAAATCAAATATCCATCACATGTTTGATCATATAATTAAAATATAGAATTTTAAATGGCAGTACATAAGTTATTCCTCTAACTCTTGAATGATTGGTGGAAGAAGAACAATTGGTACTCCGTTCTCTACTATGATATAACATAAACTATTACATGGTTGTGGTCCTGTTTTAAACTTCTGTGTGTTAGATCTATAAGCACTAGGCTCTCCAATATCGTTTTTAGGTTAACTCAGATTCCATATTTTGTTACTGACTTTTATAATGGTCCCCAAATTTGACACTGAGTGGCAAATAGATGGGGTGAAAAGTTACAAACTAATTGTGATTTCATTTAGGCTCCGAATCCTCAAACGGCTGCAGCAACAACATGAATATCTGTCAGCAAATTTGCCTGCCTGTGCCAGGAAGACTGTTCTCCTGTGCCTGTGCCACCGGATTTAAACTCAATCCTGACAATCGGACCTGCTCTCCCTATAGTTCTTTCATTGTTGTTTCCTCGCTGCGGACCATCAGGGGCTTTAGCCTGCAGTTGTCAGACCACTCAGAAGCCATGGTACCAGTGGCAGGCCCGGGTACGTTCCTCCAATACAAGTAACACTTGACTCCATCTGATGCCGTGTCGAAGTCCTTGCTGCCCTATAGCATTTCTCCATGTTTGGATTCAGTACACGACCCAGATAATCACAATGGTGTGATCTAGAGCCAGACATCCTGGAATGTGGAGTCAAGTGGGCCTTAGAAAGCATCACTATGAACAAAGCTAGTGGATGTGATGGAATTCCAGTTGAGCTACTTCAAATCCTAGAAGGAAGCATGTTTATTCTGCTTGATAACCATATTCACGTGTGCTTATGGTTGATCTTTGCTTTCCTATGTCTAAAAAGTCATCTAAGTTACCATCTTGTAAATATATTATGCAGTCAATAAGTTTTTCATCCAGCTTTGCATTTTGAAAAATATCAAATGCAGAAAAGTTGAAAAGTGTAGGGAATACCCTTATGCTTGCTAGATTCAAACATCATTAACATTTTGCCATAGTTGGTACTTAAGTTTGATCACCTGGTAATGGTGATCACCATGAAATCTCTGCCTTTTTGCCCCTCTACAATTTAGATGAAATTTTTGGGGTTACACTTTGATACCCTATGAATATCTTTTCCCCCAGGCATCTTTTATTCATTGGTTTTTTAAAATATAAATTTATTTATTTTAATTGGAGGTTAATTACTTTACAATATTGTAGTGGTTTTGCCATACATTGAGTTGAATCAGCCATGGGTGATTCAACATGAGTTCCCCATCCTGAACCCCCGTCTCACCTCCCTCCCCATCCCATCCCTCTGGGTCATCCCAGTGCACCAGCCCCGAGCACCCTGTCTCATGCATCGAACCTGGACTGGCGATTCATTTCACATGTGATAATATACATGTTTCAATGCCATTCTCCCAAATCATCCCACCCTTGCCCTCTCCCACAGAGTCCAAAAGTCTGTTCTATACATCTGTGTCTCTTTTGCTGTCTCGCATACAGGGTTATCATTACATCTTTATAAATTCTATATATGTGCATTATTATACTGTATTGGTGTTTTCCTTTCTGGCTTACTTCACTCTGTATAATGGGCTCCAGTTTCATCCATCTCATTAGAACTGATTCAAATGCATTCTTTTTAATGGCTGAGTAATATTCCATGGTGTATATGTACCACAGCTTCCTTATCCATTTGTCTGCTGATGAGCATCTAGGTTGCTTCCATGTCCTGGCTATTATAAACAGTGCTGCGATGAACATTGGGGTGCACTTGTCTCTTTCATATCTGGTTTCCTTGGTGTGTATGCCCGGGAGTGGGATTGCTAGGTCATATGGCAGTTCTATTTCCAGTTTTTTAAGGAATCTCCACACTGTTTTCCATAGCGGCTGTACTAGTTTGCATTCCCACCAACAGTGTAAGAGGGTTCCCTTTTCTCCACACCCTCTCCAGCATTTATTGCTTGTAGACTTTTGGATAGTGGCTATTCTGACTGGCGTGTAATGGTACCTCGTTGTGGTTTTGATTTGCATTTCTCTGATAATGAGTGATGTGTTGAGCATCTTTTCATGTGTTTATTAGCCATCTGTATGTCTTTGGAGAAATGTCTGTTTAGTTCTTTGGCCCATTTTTTGGTTGGGTCTTTTATTTTTCTGGAGTTGAGCTGGAGGAGTTGCTTGTATATTTTTGAGATTAATTCTTTGTCAGTTGCTTCGTTTGCTATTATTTTCTCCCATTCTGAAGGCTGTCTTTTCACCTTGCTTATAGTTTTCTTTGTTGTGTGGAAGCTTTTAATTTTAATTAGGTCCCATTTATTTATTTTTGCTTTTATTTCATTGGTTTTTATCTTTGTCTGAAATGATGATTTAATTGGGAATTGCAAAATGGTTCTTTTTCTTGTTTTATCATTCCTTCTATGTTCATTCTTCTCTCCTTTTTATTATCACATACACTCAAGTTTTTATTTCTTTAATTCAGTGTAGAATCATTTAGCATAATTGTTCTTTTGATGCTCCCATCGATCCATTTTGTCTGGGGAGAACCTCTCCTATTGTTGTCTGTATTCTTTCGACATGATTCCATTAGTGTTTGAATGCTTCCTTGCTTCTTGGTCTAATAAATATGTTCCAGGCTTACCTTGTACCTTCCCTTCCCAAACCTATGCTTAACCATTTTTCCCAGAAGCCAGTAGTCCTTATTGTGGGAAGTGGCTTTTAGAAACTAAGATTTGGGGGTAGTTGTGCTCATTGCAACTGGGAAATAAATAGTTTTATTTCATAATGGGGGCATGGTTTGAGCAAAGGGGATTTGGAATGAGGGTTAGAGAGGAAGGGCAGACATTTTTAAAAGTTCTAGTTCAAGCTAGAGCATAGTTTAATGATCTTTTCTTTAATGTTCCAGGACGAAATGCACTGCATGTGGATGTGGATGTATCTTCTGGCTTTATTTATTGGTGTGATTTTAACATCTCTGTGGCATCTAATAATGCAATCCGTAGAATCAAACCAGATGGGTCTAATTTTACAAACATCATTACAGATGGGATAGGAGTAAATGGAGTCCGGGGTATTGCGGTGGATTGGGTAGCAGGTGGGTAAGCTATATAGTAAGCTTTATAGTGATTTTATTGAAAAGCTTTTTGTGTTTGCATTTCTGTCATCTTATTTATACTATAAAGTTTAACATACATGTGGCAGATCTATTTTCCTAGATGTTTATTGAGATTATTTAAGATAAGTTGAATCGAGTTTTTAGAATAAATGTAACAGCTTTGTGTCTGTTAATGATAAAGTGTTTCAGTTGACAGACTCATTATAGATGATCTCATTGTAGATTATTTACTGAGTCGTTGGCAAAATGGAAAGAAATATTTAATTATGTGGACTTACTTCACCCTTAAAGGAACATCTGATTTCTAAATTAGAAATATCTAAATTTTCAAAGAGAAAGGAATATCAAAATATAAACCATAAAATGGCAATCACTTATTTTAAAACTGAGCAATTTTAGTTGCTGAATTCTTAATTGCTTCCTCATGTTATTTATGAAACCCCTTTGATTATTAGGTAGTTTGTTGTAGTTAATTGAAATGCCTGACCCAACATTATATTAACTTTTCTATACTGATTTGTATACTTAATTTTGAATTACCATCCAGTTTTTAATGATACATTGAAAAACAACTGTCAACAGTCTATGGCCTATGGGCCAGATGTAGCCTGTGCTAAGTAAAGTTTTGTTGGAACACAGCTATGCCCATTCATTTATGTACTGTAAACTATCTTCCCACCATACTTTTTTGCTCTAGCATTTACTTTGTTCTGTAATGCCCAAATTTTGGTGACTTTAGAAGGTCCATGGGATGAAAACATCCACACTAGTTAGAAACAATCTATTTAGTTCCTAAGAGTAGGTATTTATTTTTCTAAGCCTAAACTGAGATATTTATTTATCCTCCTGGGAAAGACAACATATACTGGCTCAAACCTCTGTCTTACAAGAGCTATCTTCTTCTTTTCTCTTGGTTTGCCATTAATCGGCATGCTCTTTCATTTTCTTGCAGGAAATCTTTATTTTACCAATGCTTTTAGATCTGAAACACTGATAGAAGTTCTAAGGATCAACACCACCCACCGCCACATTCTCCTTAAAACCACAGTGGATATGCCCAGAGACATTGTTGTGGACCCCAAGAATCGATACCTCTTCTGGTCTGACTATGGGCAGAACCCAAAGATTGAACGGTCTTTTCTTGACTGTACCAATCGAACTGTGCTTGTATCAGACATCACTGCCACACCACGGGGCTTGGCATTGGATCATAGCAGTAACTACATTTATTGGGTTGATGACGCTGTAGATTTAATTGCAAGGATCAGCATTGAGGGAGGGGACTCTGAAGTGATTCGTTTCGGCAGTCGTTACCCAGCTCCTTATGCCATCACTGTGTTTGGAAATTCTATCATATGGGTAGACAGGAATTTAAAGAAAATCCTCCAAGCCAGCAAGGAACCAAATAGAGCAGATCGACCAACAGTGATAAGGGACAATATTGATTGGCTAAGAGATGTGACCATCTTTGACCAGAGTGTCCAGCCTCGGTCACCAGCAGAGCTCAACAACAACCCTTGCTTGGAAAATAATGGAGGATGTACCCATTTCTGCTTTGCTCTGCCTAAATCACAAACCCCTAAATGTGACTGTGCCTTTGGGACCCTGCAAGCTGATGGCAAGAGCTGTGCCATTTCATCAGAAAATTTCCTCATCTTTGCCTTGGATAATTCCTTGAGGAGCTTACGTTTTGACCCCAAAGACTATAGCCAACCTTTCCCAGCAATAAGTGTGGAAAAAATGGCTGTGGCCCTAGACTACGACAGCATAGATAACAGAATCTACTTCACACAACTTTTGTCATCTGGAAAAGGCCAGATTTCCTATGTCAACCTGAATTCAAGGAGCAGTCCGCCCACTGTTGTTGTTTCAGGTAAGTGTACTTTAAGTATAGCTTATCTTGGAAGGAGACACAATGGGATCAACACACATGGATGACCCAGGGATTCTAAAATGTTTATGGAGATTCTAACTTCTTTTTGTATGTTTGTTGGTTGTATGTCCAGGCATAGGGAGTCCTGAGGGCATTGCCTTTGACTGGATCAATAGAAGAATTTATTACAGTGACTACACCAATCAGATGATTAAGTCCATTGCCACGGATGGGTCTAGACACACTACGATAGCCGAAGTTCCAAAGCCAAGAGGAATTGTGTTAGATCCTTGCCAAGGGTGTGTCATGATTGCTTATTTCTGGAGGGAGCAGGGTCTGAAATTATGTTATGTTAATAGAGAGCCAGTGTTTCATGCACTTGTAATACTGTAGCTACAGATTAAGGGATGAAAGAGCATGAGTGACCTTCCTTGGGAAGGAACTCCGGTTGGTGCTCCTAGGAAGTTTGGCCGCATACTAGGGAACTGATGCTCTAACTCAGTAAATCCCTATTGGATAAGTTGTGTGGGTGGGAATGGAGTAAGCTTCCATTTGCTCTATTGGTGTCAAATATAACTGTTATATTTGCAGTTAAAGAATGCTGCTGTTTTTCTTAAGTAAAAAGAAGTGTGAGTTCCTTGTGGTGAATTATGTCTCCTTTTGGATCACTAGGTACATGTATTGGACCGACTGGGGTACTAATGCTAAAATCGAGACTGCCACAATGGGTGGATACTCCCGGAGAAGCTTGGTGGACAGGGACCTGGTCTGGCCCAATGGGCTCACTCTGGACTATGAACAAAACCTTCTCTACTGGGCAGATGCTAATCTGTACGTGTCTTTGGTTATTCTTGTGGGTACTGATGAGATTTCTTCCTCCGTGTTCAAAAGAAGAGGGATATGCATAATGTGGTGAAATACTGGTGAATATACCTGTGAAAATTGATCTATATCATGAGATTGATAATTGTAAACTGAAAGACATCTAAAGATGTGTTACTAGACAAGTTAATTTCAACTATGGTTATAAATATAGTCGTTCAGTTTATAATCATGTAACTACCTCAAAATATGAATGACTTTAAACGTACACTGATAGTAAAATTTCTCAGGGTTTTAGCTTTCAGTGTCTTGTGAAAACATTTTCTTTCAGTCTTTGTCTTTTGATCATCTTCTAAAAAAAATTATTTCTTTTGCCAGCTTCTTCTCAGTCCATTTCATAATATTTTCTGTCAGCTCTAATTTTTGCATGTAACTCTCCAGTCACTTCTGAAATTACACATATTCCCATCATCCCAATGATTGAAGATATGAGATGATTTTGTTTAATAGGACTGGTATCTGTATGTTAGGAATGTTAAACTTTCCTTGCTTATTTTCTTATGATTTTGGTCTCATGATGCTGAGCACCTAACAACTTATTTTCTAACAACAATTTTCTCACTTGAAATAAAGCAGTGATATTTTGTGTCTCAATTAGGAAGATATCTCAAAGTCAATGACAAATGGGAAAACTCATTACGCAGGTGGGAAGGGAAAAGTAATTCACATTTTATTGAGTGACTACTATGTGTCAGACACCAAGACAGGTATTATTTCCAAGCAAGAGGTGTATTATTTCACAATACTCCCCTCTTTTTGTTTCTTTTCCCTGTTTCCTTTAGTAGGATTACTTGTGGGTTATATTAATATTTGGAAATCATTTATATAGGCCATTGTTTAATAAGCAGATGCAGTTCTCCCATTACCAGGAGAAGCATTTCTTGCTGCCATATGCTCCACTTGAAAAGAAAGTTGGGGGCTTGTGTAAAAGTCATGATTGCACTGAGGCATTAGGTGCCTTAATCCTTCTGGATTCTAGTATTTCCTTTTTTCTTTTTCCATCTTCATTTTAGGGAGAAGATTGAGCGCTTCGATCTAGAGCGCTATCTGCGGGAGGTCGTTGTCAGCAGAGCCAATAGTCCTTTTGGCTTAGCTGTTCATGGCCAGCATGTTTACTGGACTGACTTGCTCACTCAGAAAATTTATCAAGCTAACAAAGTTGATGGGTCAGGTCAGACTGCAGTGACCACGACCCTTCCCTTTCGGCCTAAGGGTATCTGTGCTGTTGTGAAGGACCAACAACAGTGTGACAATCCTTGCGATCGGTTTAATGGGGGCTGCAGCCATATTTGTGCACCAGGTAAGGCATTGGGCACGAAGATGAGTCGTGGAGAGTGATAATAATGATGACCTCTAGTAGGGAAGGGTGAGGGAATATTCAGCTCCAGCACAAGCAAAGATTCTCTTTGTTTTCAGAGTAATTTCTAAAATAGACTTCAGGGTTTGTCTGTTGAGAAGAAGACTGAAAGGTTTTTTTTTTCTTTCCTATTCCATACGGAGCCTTCTTACAAAGACGTTTTTAATTCAAGCTTGATGGAGGTAGAAAGAAATATGCAGGCTTGGCTGCTGCACATCATGTCTTGAATAGAAATTTCATCAATGAACTAATGTTCCTCATTAGAGGGTGTAATACTTTCACTTAGGAGGTACTGTTTATCGTTGAATAAACAGAGTGTGCTTCAGAAGTGTGTTTTATAGAGAACAATAAATTAATAAGAGGATGTGCCTTTTGAGACTATTGCTGGGCAGATTTTGCTGAGAAGGTAGAATCATTGCTAATGTTTCAATGAAGATAAGAAATAGTGGTTTAAAGATTAGAGTGAATTAACCACACTTATTAGAAATTGGTGGTTGTTCATATTGATGAAAACATTACTTAGAGCAGAGTTTCCATTTCTTAGAGCGTGTTTACTAATATAGAAGCTGTTGCCAGTGCTCTTCAGGGGGAGAAAATATCAATGTTTGCTACAGAAATCTTTTGCTTTTTTCTGGGCTTACCTTTCTTCAGGTCCAAATGGTGCTGAGTGCCAGTGTCCACATGAGGGCCACTGGTATCTGGCCAACAACAATAAGTACTGTATCCCGGATAATGGTACCCGGTGTGACAGTTCCAAGTTCACCTGCCTTAGTGGGAAGTGCATCCCTGACCAGTTGAAATGTAATGACATTGATGACTGTGGTGACAGCAGTGATGAGCTGGAAACTCTCTGTGGTGAGCTGAACTCTTGGAACATTTGAAGTTCACAATGTACCTAGTGTTTGGTCCTTTACAAGCAAAGAACATGTAGCCTGAGAATCTAGACTTCACTTTGCTTAAATCACGCAACAGCTAATATATGCGCTGTGAAGTAGTCTTCGATGCTTTATTAGGAAGCACCTCTGAAGTGCACCTAAGAAAGAGCAGAGATGCTGCATGCCATTTCTAGTCTGGGGAGCTCTGGGAAAATTACTTAACCTCTCTGAGCCTCAGTCCCCTGAAAGCATTGTGTTTGCATGCTTTAATGAAACTGAGATATAAATTGAGGTGGTAGAGGAATGGAGTGACTTTGCCATTTGTGTCAAATACTGCATTTGCTTAAAAAAAAGTATACAACATATTTGCTTAATTTAACTAATTTAAAGTTTGAGCTCACTTTGCATGCAGTACGTTTTGCAGCTTTTGCCTTGGAAGGTAAACCCAAAGTATCTTATTTTACTTGATTGTATCTTTTTAGAAAACGGGATGATGCTTTAATCTGCGAGCTTCTTCATTGTTTTTTCAATATTTTTTTCCCCTCCTCTTAGCGTTTCACACCTGCCCTTCGACAAGCTTCACCTGCGCCAATGGTCGATGTGTCCCATACAGTTATCGCTGTGATCACTACAATGACTGTGGTGACAACAGTGATGAGGCAAGGTGCCATTTCAGGGCTTGTAACAAAACAGAATTTACTTGCAAAAATGCAAGGTGCATCTCTTCTTCATTAGTCTGTGATGGGATAGACAACTGCCATGACAACAATGCTTCAGATGAGAAAAATTGCCGTAAGTTCATCTTAAGTTCTTAATGGGCTTTGGAGCCTTGAACTCTCAGACCCTGGGAGATGTAAAGATGATGCATTTCTGAGAGAAGACCGACAATATTCATCTAAAACATACATTTCATTTTACACATCTACTAGTGATTTTTAAAAATAATTAATTCTACCTAATATTTGATTTATTCATACAATATTTGACTACTTTCACCTTCAATATTTTATCTTTGGTTTGTTTTTCTGATTATTGTAAAGCTTTACCAATGATCACTGACAAAATTAATTGATTAGTGTGTGTGGTTAATGTTTGCTGTGCACAAAGTTATGTAGTACAGTGTTGACCGAAATGATTTGGTAAATTGCTTTTTAGTGAACTGGTTTTCCCAAATTTCTGGAACTTACAGTTTAGCATCTTGAGAAAACAGTAGCACAGAGTATGAGCAAAAATGCTTTTTTAGTTTGGATGTATCTACATGCTCTGCTCTCTTTGTATGCGGTTACACACAATATTTATTTGGGTGTGCCAGTATTATTGCCTGGATAATCCTATGGACAGAGGAGCCTGGTGGGCTACAGTCCATGGCGTCACAAAGATCCAGACATGACTGGATGACATCCAGAGCATGCATGACATCCAGAGCATGCATCCATGCTTTTTTGTTGTTGTTTTTTTAAACAAGTGGTCAATATGTTTTATCCATGTCCTCTAACTTTTTTCCTGAGTATTTTAAAGCAACTTCCAGAAACACATGTCACTGATAAAGACATTTGTTTTCAAATTTAAAAAATGTTTTAAAATTTTTAATTGGGGGATAATCTGCTTTACCATGTTATGTGGGTTTCTGCCATACAACAAGCCAATCAGCCATAAGTACACATATACCCCCTTCTTCCTGAGCCTCCCTGCCATCCCACCTCATCTCATCCTTCTAGGTCTTCACAGAGTACCAGGCTGAGCTCCCACTAGTTATCTGTTTTATACATGGTAATATATATTTTGAAAAACAACTACTATTCTAGCATTATGCTCAACAAAATCAACAGTACTTACTTAATGTCCTCTAGTACTAAGTCCACATTCAAATTTTATCATTTAGCCCCAAATGTAAACAGTTCATCTGTTCACATCAGGATTCAAAGTCTACATATTGATTTAGGTTGGAATTGAGACCTTTGATTACATTAGACTTAATTCTTTGGGCAAGAACACTTCATAGGTGGAGCTGTCTATTTTTTGTTGTATCACATCATGAAGCACATAATGCTTGATTGTTCCAATTTAAGTGAGGATGATATTAATTTAGAAGTCAGTTTGAATCTTCCCTTTAGGAAGTTCCCATCAATCTTTCACCCAGTGGTTTTTAACCATGGATGGTTGTTCCATGAATTTATTATTACTTTAAGGGTTATAAATCAGGTATTTAAAAATTTTACTATTCCATCCACATTTATTAGCTCAAGTTCTCTAAAGAAGAAATTATCAGCTGTTTTGTTACTCTGAAATACAACTCTGCAGAGTAAGTGTTGATTCTTTCTTTCCTTTTCAATTTTCAGAGAAGTAAGTTGGTGACCAGTGAGCATTAAGTTTTTGCTTTGTTTTGTTTTTACTATTAAACTCATGGATTTTTACATATTTGAGTTTTAATGAGATGAAGTAATTTACTGCTTTTGACGCTTAATTGTCCCATTTTTGGCAGTGGGAATCCTGCTAAGTCGGGTTCTTTTTTATTTTGACTTGATCCCATTCAATCTTCCACAGTGCATTTCAGACTTGTGCATTTCTTGTATCAGACCTGGAATTGGCCTGATTCCTTTTGTGCGTGGTATTTAAAAATTACTGGGACTTCCCTGGCAGTCCAGTGGTTAAGACTTCCAAAACAGACGGTATGGATTCCGTCTCTATTTGGGGAACAACGATCCCACATACCTCATGACCAAAAGACCAACACATAAAACAGATACAATATTGTAATTTAATAGACTTTTTAAAAAATTAAAATTATCACAGTGTTGGATTACCTATTCCTATTTGGCTTTTATTGCTTCTAGACCTCTTTAGTGGACAGAACTAGAAAATACAATTCTAAAGGGAAAAAAACGATATTGGTATTTTCCATTTTAACTTAAGATAAACTGGTTTTTACCTTTTAGATTTTATAATCACATCTCTTACACTTAAAATCTTAGTTTGTAATAGGTGACATGGTCACTTATTTCTTTATTTTATAATACTTTCAAAGTAACCATACAAATATAATTAAACATTTTATGTCCTTTTTGTTCTTAGATTATTTCCCACTAGAAATATGCAGTCATTTGTTACTGTTTCCAAATTTTGGAAATTGCTTTTCTTTATCCATTTTTATTTCATTGTGTTCATTTATAGAAAATAATGTGCATGGATTCATAGTCATATAAAAACTGTATGATAAGGTACACTCACAGATGTCCTTCATGCTTGTCCTCTCCACTCTGCTCCCTCCATACTGTTCTCAATTTACGTTAGTTTATCTTTTCATTTTTATTTTAAATGTAAGCATTTCTTTCTTGCTGGACACACAGAGTTATCAGTTTTAATACACAAAAGATAGCTTAGTGTTCTGCTTTCTTGCTATTAATGCATCTTGGAGGTCATACCATCTTTCCTTATCAGTATATAGAGATCTTCATTCATGTTACTCCATTGTACGGGGAGTGAGGAGAGTGGGAAGTCTTGCTGATGCTATTAAATAATGAAGACAGGAAATACTCTTTTTACTAGAGATTATATGGCATCACATAACTGTCATGAATCATGCCTCTCTGATAGCTTCCCTTCTGCTGGTTTGATTCTGCAGTAGATCTGTTAGCATGGACATATATGATGTATATGTGATGAATATGTTCCAAATTGTTTATCTGGTTGTCTTTTTCAAGCCGAACGCACGTGCCATCCTGGATACGTAAAATGTACGAATTCAACGATTTGTATTCCACATTCTTTCTTGTGTGATGGAGACAACGATTGTGGAGATATGAGTGATGAAAACCCCATTTTCTGTGGTAAGATAAACCTCCTTTGTGGTTCCAGGCATGCATGTCTTGAGCTAATATAAAGACACATGGCCTGTGTGTTTCAGCTAATTTCAATTTGTCCTCTCAAGTTGACCTTGTAAATTGATACAGTAGGCAGTTATTTAGGATGTAATTGGAGGGGCATAAGAAGTCCCTTCTCTCTGACCCCTGGCTGGATACCTGACTCCAAATATTTCTTCCAGGGATCAGCTATAATGCATAACCTCCTATAATTAAAGGTCTTTTGTCTTCAGGAACTACAGGCAGAATTTGCAAAATAAGCCCTCATATTTATTCTCAATACGTTTATAATAGCCATTAGTAACTGAAAGAATTTTTGTCTTTTTCATATGTTTGACTTTCAGAAACTTTAATTTCATATTCAGCCATTTGGGTCAATCAAATAATTTCTTATATTTATAGCTCAAATTCTTAGGCTCGATAACTTTGAAACTATTAGTGTAAATAGATGCATCCTTTAAGAATTTAGTAATGGTCACCAGGCCAGGTTACAATCCAAGAGTAGGAGTCAGTTGTAAAAACAGCAACAAGAGGAAATAGAAAATCTAGAAAACACATCAGATCATAACCCCGGGTTATGTGAGAAAACTTTACACATAGGCAGAATCATTTATTCAAATAAGTTACAAAGACAAATAAGAGCAAAACTTTGCTAATTCTCTAGAATCATGGTCTAATGTAGCTTAAAAGGTTGTGTGTAGGGTGATTTGATTATCTTGTTGTTTTTTCTTTTCAGTAGAATTTGTTTTGTGTTACGGCAGAAAACATAGAACCATGTTTTCTTTCATCTATAATTGGATTTCATGTATCAAAAAATAGTCTTTTTGGTATTTCTAATAGGTGCAATTCATTTTCTGAATCTCTGGAATTTAGGAAAAAAATTCTAGGAGACTAGAAAAGTATTGCTCTCCCACGTTCTTCCCTCTGGATGGAAAACTTATAAAAACTCAGGCCTCTTCCTGTCTTGGCAACTCCTACCCAGTTCAGAGATATAGGCAGGTTATTAGGAACAAGCTTGTGTGTTGCTCATGGATTTTATCTTCTTTACCTACTGCAGGCGCTAAGTCGTGTAGGAGCGATGAGTTCCATTGCACCTCTGGGCCCTGTATTCCTGCACATTGGTATTGTGATCATGAAAGAGACTGTTCTGACGGCTCTGACGAACCTCCCACTTGTGGTAAGAGAGTGAGCCAGCATGAAAAGCATTGTGATGCACCTGGCACCCCTCTTCCAACTATTTCAAATGTAAACTATGGTTCTGGCTGGGGAATGTTTGCACTCCTTGCTGATACCCCTCAGCAGATATTCATTAAAGGCCTGGTCATGTAGGGCACTGGGTAGGTTACTGGGCAGGATGTGGAAGTTGCTGATGGATGCAGACGAAAAGTTGCACCTACCAAAAGTTGGTGATGCACCTACTACCTGCCTGGTTTGGGGAACTCAGTTAATTGTAATTGACTCTGAATTGGAATTTCTGAATTTGGGTGAGTTCTCACCCATAAGACTATGGGAGGATCCAAAGGATCTAAAGGTCATTGAGAGTATGATGTACATGCCGAGGGGGCAGGTGAGGGGCACACGTTTCTTCCTGTTCTGTGTGCCAGCTGAGGGGGTAGGGTCCCAAGGCCATCTGAGCTTCCTGAGATGTTCCAAGGACCTTCTAGTTATAATCTTGGAGGCAGCTGTGTGTTGCTTGTGTTTGAAGGCTGCAATTTACCTTTGCAAATCCTAATCTATATCCATGCACAACTTTTTTTTTTAACATAATTGTAAAAATCTGCATGTACAATCTTCTATATTGCTTTTTTTGGGGGGTCTGACAATATTGTATGTGGGTCAGCCATGCTTGTCTTTTTTTTTTTTAAGAAGATTTTTTTGACATTGATCATTTAAAAAAGTTTTTATTGAAATTTTTACAGTATTGCTTCTGTTTTATGTTTTCTTTTTTCTTGGCCATGAGGGATGTGGGATCTTAACTCCCTGCCCAGGTATCGAACCTACACCCCCTGAATTGGAAGGTGAAGTCTTAATCACTGGGCCACCAGGGAAGTCTGTCATGCTTGTCTTTATAAAGTTTCATTAAAATGCAGCCACATTATAGTGTCAAGTAGTTGTGAAAAAGAACATATGGCCTGAAGCTTAAAATATATATACTGTCTGGTTAAGAGAGACTTCATACCTCATGTTGTCGTCTTCATACTTTTGTTTAATGGCTGTGTGATATTCCATTGAGTGGCTATGTGGTCATTGAGTTAACTGCCTCTATTTTAAGTATTTAGATTGCTTTATTTTTTCTGGTATTATAAATATCACTGTAGTAAGTACCATCACTTTTTTTGAAGGGGTATTTTCTTTTCTTTTTTTTTTCCATTTATTTTTATTAGTTGGAGGCTAATTACTTTACAGTATTGTAGTGGTTTTTGCCATACATTGACATGAATCAGCCATGGATTTACATGTGGTCCCCATCCCAATCCCCCTCCTGCCTCCCTCTCCACCCGATCCCTCTGGGTCTTCCCAGTGCACCAGCCCCGAGCACTTGTCTCATGCATCCAACCCAGGCTGGTGATCTGTTTCACCCTTGATAATATACATGTTTGATGCTGTTCTCTCTAAGCATCCCACCCTCGCCTTCTCCCACAGAGTCTAAAAGTCTGTTCTGTACATCTGTGTCTCTTTTTCTGTTTTGCATATAGGGTTATCGTTACCATCTTTCTAAATTCCACATATATGAGTTAGTATAGTGTATTGGTGTTTATCTTTCTGGCTTACTTCACTCTGTATAATGGGCTCCAGTTGGGGTATTTTCTTAAGACCATTAGCCTAGTTTTGCAGCTGAATTCAGGCTATTTTCTATTCCTGTTTTCCCTTGGGCTGAAATTCTGTGGCTGATAGAGAGTGGTAGTAGAAGCTCCTTGACAATTTCTTTTTCCCCAACACTAAAAGTTTTGTAGAAAACAAAGGGCACATAGAGTTTTAAGGAGCTGTAAAAGAAGTAGCAACTATTAGGTGAGTAGAAGGGTCTTAGAGATTATTTTAAATAAATGAACTATTGGTTCAGATATATGAAGAATAAATAGTTTCTAAACTTCTCCATGGGAACCAAAGTCATAGTATTGGCAATTAGCACCAACTATCTGACATATTTGGAGGGATTGGGGGTAGGAGGAGAAGGGGACGACAGAGGATGAGATGGCTGGATGGCATCACTGACTCGATGGACATGAGTTTGAGTCAACTCCAGGAGTTGGTGATGGACAGGGAGGCCTGGTGTGCTGCGATTCATGGGTTCGCAAAGAGTTGGACATGACTGAGCGACAGAACTGAACTGCACTGAACTGACATATTTAGATCTGACATATTTAAGTAGAAGTAAACACACAATCTAACATTAATGGATTTTCATAATATGCAGAGGTATTTTTTTCTTCTAGTTTTATTGAGATTGACATATAGAACTGTGTAATTTAAGGTGTAGAACATAATGATTTACATACATCATGAAACGATTATCACAGTAAGTTTAGTGAACATCCAATACACAGATATTATTTTAAAGAAAGAATAAGATGTATACAAAAGAGTGAAATCCCCATTCTTTCACCCTCTTACAATCCCCTCACCTCCAGACATAACTGCTATTAAGTGTGAATTCTTTATCTATGTATCTTGACATATAGGGATCTTACTATATATCTTTCTGCCATTCCCCTCCCACTGTTTTTTTATCCTAACAATATCTTACCAGTTAGAAAGCACACCTCTCCCTCTTGAACCTCCCTCCCATCTCCCTCCCCATCCCACTCCTCTAGGTTGTTACAGAGCCTCTGTTTGAGTTCCCTGAGTTATATAGCAAATTCCCATTGGCTGTCTCTTTTATATATGGTAATAGAAAACAACAAAATTCTGTAAAGCAATTGTCCTTCAATTAAAAAATAAATTAATAATAAAAAAAGAAAATACACCTCAATCTTACCTTTTTGTACTGCTGAATATTGCTGAAAATATGGATGTTCCATGTGTTTCTATCCCTTTCCCAGCTGATGAGCGTTTAGGTTGTTCCCATTTTTTCCTTGTAAGATTTTAATGCTGGAATGAACATCCTGTGTATGTGGGAAGGCTAGGTCTCTGGGAGTAGGTTTCCTGTGTCAAAGCCTTTCAAAGGCTGTAGCGATACATACTCTATTCTTACCAGCTCGTGAAAGTTCACGTTTTTCCTTATTGTTATCATTGTGCTGTATCTTAGGCTAATTTTGAGGAATCTGTGGCATTCTGGGCATATGGCAACTTGATTCGTTACCATGTGGGATATGATTAAAGAATTCTACTTGGGGCTCTAGGAAGCCCTTACTATAGTATGTTTCTCTCAAGATTCCTGACTGTACGTGACTCTTCTCACCAAGGGTGCTTTTTCTTTTTTTTTTTTCAGAGTTTTCTCAGTCAACATGCGCCAGTGATTATTTCAAGTGTGACAATAACCGGTGCATCCCAATGATGTGGGTCTGTGATGGTGATAATGACTGTGGAGACTTGAGTGATGAGGATGAAAGACACAACTGCAGTAAGTGCAAACAATTAATTCCTCTATAGAGTCATATTTCAGGGCAACAGTAGATTTATTTTTCTGTCTTTGGAGAATATGGTTGTCAGACAGGTTCTTCTTTATTGAAAGTACATGGATAGAATGTTATCTTTATTTTTCTGCTCAGGAATGTTTTATATTATCTATATAAATGCTTTTAAATGATGAAAAATGATTTTAATGTTTTTTTTTCCTGTTGCATTTTGGTCATGGAAATAATGTCCTACATTTCTAGAACAGATAAAGAGAACTCAGTTGGCCACTCTTAATAGCAGCTTTAATAGTGTTGCAATTAACTGTGCCTCTAGTCTTATCCATTATCCTAGAGTTGTTATGGGGGGGCAGGGGTCATTCTTTTAAGTGAATTATGGAACAGACTATGAAACAACATTTCCCATTACCAACAGAGCATACAACTCTAAATTCAGGTGTCTTAGAGTATCTTTCCATGGTAGGATAATAAAAACAATGACTGCATGATCTCTGCATTTGATTGTTACCTCATATATCCATGACTTTGGTGGTGGCCCTATTTCTCCATATCCTCTATGAAATGGGTTGGCAGCTGCACAAATGTAGACTGTAGTGTGTCCTTTTCTCCCGTATCTCTTCTTCAAGAACCCCTTCCTTTTGTCTCCTCTTCACCCTCAGATAAAATATTTCTATTCTATTCTTCAGAGTTTCATGATTACATGTTAGCATTTTAGCTCTTTCCTAAAGTGTCATGGTTTCTGTCAACTCTTATTAACAAGCACTCCTCCTATATATCTAGGAAACAAGCCCTAGCTTTTTAGAAAATTCTGTGACTTTTGCTATCTATCTAACCATTGTGAGCTTCACTTTTCTCATAAAACTGGCATAAAAATGCCTAGCTCACATTGTGTTTGTGTGATTATACTTTATAAAATTAAAAAAAATTACCAAATATATGGGATTTTTAGTATCCAATTAATAAAATGCAAGTAGTTTTCTATATCCCTAAGGGAAAAATATGACCTTACATTAATTTTATGGAAATTAAATTATGAGGTGTTTATCTTTGCTTTTTACTTCTGAAAAAAATTCAAGGTCCAAAGCATTTAAAATGAAAATTTGGGAGAGTAATTTGTCTTCCTATTTTCCCTTCATTTCCTTTCATCCCTCAGACTATTATGTAATGTAAAGCAAGATAAATATTGATTCAAAATGAACTTGACTGCTGGAATGAGCTCTCACATGATTCCTGATTCTCTTTGTGCTTTAGCTTCAGAGGATCGCAACTGCTCAAGTTCTGAGTTTGCCTGTGCAGTTAGTGTGCCTCCACACAGAGGGTGTATCCCTAGATCGTGGGTTTGTGATGGCGAAGCGGATTGCTTTGATGCCTCTGATGAGCACCAGAATTGCACCAGGAGATCCTGCCTTGGAACGGAGTTCGTCTGTAACAATGGCTTGTGTATCCCCAACCAGTTCAGGTGAATTAGGGATTAAAAGATTTATCAACAAACCTCAAACATCCATGAGGCAGGGCTGGGGCCCATGATACTTTTCATGGCCTCTGAAAATGTTTGGACTTCTTTTAAAATCAAAAGAAAAAAAATAAAGAGAACTTTTAGGTCAAAGAAATTTAACTACTAAATAATAATATATATGCCTTTATACCAATGTAGTCCTTAAATATAATTTTAAATATTTTTATGGAGGAAGGGGCCCATGAAGGCAGAAGTGCCTGGGATCAATGAAGGTCATAATGTGACCTTGCCCAGAGGATCAGAGAGATGAGTGAAGTGGGCTTGCTAGAAGAAAATTCTTTCTTGAGGCAGCTGACGCTCAGGGTTTGCCACTTGGAATAGAGGCATGGGCATAAGAAATACTTCATTCAGTTCTTTCTGCTATAAGAAAAATAACAGTGTGAGCAGGATGATAAATGGGACTGCGCACTGTGGCCCAGGGTCAGCCTGACAACAGAGACTGTGGGCGTGTGCTCCAGCTAGTCAGCATCATGTGTTGGGAGAGGAGTTGGGGATCTGCACTTTCACCTGAAATATTCTGATTTTAAGTGGTACTGGGTCTCATGACACAGGTGTGACCGGAACAACGACTGTGGTGACTACAGTGATGAGAGGGGCTGTGTGTACCCTGCCTGCGACAAGACCCTTTTTACATGTCAGAACGGACTCTGCATTAATAAGGCCTATGTCTGTGATGGGGACAATGACTGTAGAGATAACTCGGATGAGCTCGAGCACCTGTGTCACACCCCGGAAACCACATGTCCCCCTCATCAGTTCAGGTGTGACAATGGGAACTGCATTGAGATGGTGAAAGTCTGTAACAACTTCCCTGACTGTTCAGACCGCAGTGATGAGAAAGGATGTGGTGAGTATAATGGAAGATTAGGGAGACGGAAACGGGGGGGACTGAACGTGGATTCTCAACCCTTTCTGACTTAGTAGGACCTTTCAGATGGTTCTCTAAGTAGCACACTGCCAGAAAATTACTATTGTTTGTCTATCAAAAGCAAGGATTTCTTGGTCTATGAGGTCAGTCACACACATTTTTTGGACTAATCATCAGTTAGCCATTCATTATAGAGAACAGGAAATAAACAAATTAATGCCATCCTATCTAAGAGCAGACAGTGCTGATCTTGCAATGACTTGTTGCTTTAACTACCCCTCTGCTACATTCCTTATTCTGTTCTTAATTTTCATCCTCAGGTGACTAAAGGGGAGGGTTTAACTGGAAGTCCCCTCTCCCCCCGCCCCACCCCCGCGCCCAACCCCACCCTGGTTGTATTAGTTGTTAAAACCACTGGTGAAGGATCAAGGAAGGAAGTTGAATAAGAATGACTTTTGAATAATGTAGGGCCTTTAGAAATCTCTTCTTATTTGTCCCTGTTTATTTGTCTTTTTTAGCATGATTCATTAAGAACTTGGGTCTGTCCAAACCCAACCAAACAAAAAGAACTGCCTCTGTCCAGTGGGAAGGCTGACTTTTTTGACCATTATGGTGGATCCATTACTGACAACTTAGGTTCTCTGATAATTGTCTTTTACCCACAGGCATTAATGAGTGCAATGACCCTACACTCAGTGGTTGTAGCCAAAACTGCACAGACACCTTAACCAGTTTCTATTGTTCTTGTAACCCTGGTTACAAGCTGTTGTCGGACAAGAGGACTTGTGTTGATATTGATGAATGCAAAGAGACGCCCTTCGTCTGCAGCCAAATGTGTGAGAACTTACCTGGCACTTACATCTGCAAATGTGCCCCAGGCTACATCCGTGAGCCAGATGGAAAGACCTGCCGGCAGAACAGCAACATCAAGCCTGATCTCATTTTTAGCAACCGTTACTATTTGAGAAATCTAACTATCGATGGCCATTTATACTCCCTCATCTTGCAAGGACTGGGTAATGTTGTGGCACTGGATTTTGACCGAGTAGAAAAGAGATTGTACTGGCTTGATATAGAGAATAAAGTCATTGAGAGAATGTTTGTGAATCAGACAAACAGGGAGACAGTCCTAAAGCACAATCTACCAGGTGCGGAAAGTCTGGCTATCGACTGGGTTACCAGGTAAGAAAAAAAAGCTTTTTAAAAGTGAACAAGTTTTTGTTTTTTAAAAAGTGTTCTAGCCCCGCTTTCATCTTAATAGGGAATTGATCTTTCAAAGTTGGGTTACCAGGTGGAAACATTTTAATGCTTCTGCATATTTTGTTTTTGATGTTGTTGTTGCTGTTTTCTGCTGTGTACCTAATAATCAAATGGGATACCACAGAATCTAAAATCTAGTGATTTTTAAGAATATATGACATGAATTTTATGGGGAGGGGCATCACAAAGGAAGAAAGAGCTCTGTTATTTCTGGAGGTTTGTGAAGGGATGATTCATGCTTTGGTTGGTGCATTCAGTCATTTAAAGCTGTTGCCTAAGTGCGGTGCTCTTCTAGGGACTAGGGTTTGGAGGTAAACAAGACAGACACAGCCTCTGCTTTCCTGGAACTCACAGGCTACTTACTATGCTGCTGCTGCTGCTGCTGCTGCTCAGTCGCTTCAGTCGTGTCCAACCCTGTGCGACCCCATAGATGGCAGCCCACCAGGCTTTGCCATCCCTGGGATTCTCCAGGCAGGAACACTGGAGTGGGTTGCCATTTCCTTCTCCAACTTACAATGCTAGTCATTCCCAACTTGGGCTGGTTATAAATTAAAGAATGGCTAACTTGAAACTCTGAGCATCTTTATGGTAGACAGTGGTATATTAATTCAACTCTACCAGTTCAATCACACTTCTTCACATCTCTATTGAATCAGAAACTTGGCTTTGTGGTTGACAGGAAGATGCATGCACTTAGGCTGCAAATATTATTGCTTTGGTCACCCCAGACCCACAGAGGATGCTTCCACATCTTTTCTGTTTGACCGTCTTAAGAGTAAAGATGGGGGATGGAGAATTGGCTTCCTAGTTCTAGTTGAATAATAGCCTGCCTGCCATAGGTGCTCCAAAACTGCCTGTAGAATAATCAATAAAATATTGATGTGAATACAAATATTTTATATATAGTGACTCTGTGGGGTGTCAAAAAGCATAGCAACTAATGATTTGCAGGAACAGAACTAACCATGGTACCTCTTCTTATCTTGTCCTTTGTTTCAATGCAGGGAAAGATAATATTTTAACCTTGATATTGTCATTCAGCCCTCTCTCCCCCAAACTGGTAGGGTGATATCTTCCCCTGGACTTTAGCTGCTTTCCTCTTGTTCTAGGCATGTGCTTGACCAGGGGAAAGAATTAGATACATGTGTGGTAGTCAGGAAGGTGGAGCAAAAAAGTCTAGAGTAATTGTAGGATAAAATATCTTATGACTGAAGCATTTCCTCAGATGTTCAAGAAAGATTCCAACCAGATTAAACATTCCTTAAAACACAAGGCAGAATAGAACCCAGTCACATTTAGGCTTATAGGGGACAGCTCTAAGATACAATTACTTGGAAATTTGAAATAATCTTCCCAGTATTGATAAAGATGTCCACAATAAACTCAAAGATGTTTGGTTGCCAAAGCCTGTAAACTTGATATACTAGTTTTTGAAGCACAGTGCAAAATTTCACAGTGGAAAATTGGACTGGCTGTCAGTCCTCTTAATTTTTCCCTCTGTGGGGATGGAGTGCCTTCTCCATATTCTGTTCACAGGTCAGTGTTTTGATTGTTGAATAAAGAGGAATTAGTGAGTTGGCAGTAAGCTCCAAAGAGTAGAGTGCCCTATGGGATAGCCAGTCTTCAATTAATTCCTGCTGTAGCTCTTACTAACCTGTGGGCCTCAGCAGCCTAATCAAGAAAATAAGAGTAATAGTAGAACTTACTTTGGCAGTTGTGATCTTAGAACTTAGCCCAGGGCCTGGCATTGAATATGTGCATGTTCAGTCACTAAGTTGTATCCTACTCTTTGCAATCCTATGGTTTTCCCAGTAAGCATACTGGATTGAGTTTTCATTTCCTCCTCCAGTGGATCTTCCAGACCCAGGGATCAAACCCAAGTCTCCTGTATCTCCTGCATTGGCAGGAAGATTCTTTACCACTGAGTCCCCCGGGAAGCCTGGCATTGAATAGATAGCTACTATTATTGTTGCTATTATTACCCTGTACAGTGATAGAATCCAGAGTTGTGGCCATCTCAGTCATCAGTACTCACCCAAATGAGCAAGGCTTGTACATTTTTGCATACTCCTTTCCTCGTCCACAAGTCTAAGAAGGTACTACTGTCCTAACAATTACTCTGACACCTAGTATGATTGGATCATATTTACCTCTGGCAAGGAGACATTGGAGCTTTTGGAAGAGAATCATTTCAGTGGAAATTGACTATCAGACATTCTAGGAGTACTGAGCTTTGGAAGGTTATGGATACTTTAAGAATGGTGATTTGATTAAATGAAATTTGGCACAGGTTAAGAAAGTCATTTTGCCAGCCTAGTGGGACAAGGCTAGGGAGTCGTCAGGTTTTTCTTTATCTTAAGGATGCCAGCATTCAGAATTCCCTTTTGCAGTCTCAAGGCTGCACTTGAGACAAGATTCCTTGACTCCACATATAAACTGTAGTTCATGATACTTATTGATTGCTCTCATTTCTGCTTCCTTGCTCCTGTAAAGCCTGAATCATTACCTGGAAAGATGCCTTTTGTTGTATGAAGCAAGTAAAGCCAAAATCCTTCTGTGGCTCCACAATTCCCTACTGTAAGGTGACATCACCTTGCAATAGGAAAACGAACACACATTATTGCATCTTTTTTTGCCTCATTGCAGGAAGGTCAACTGTTTTCCTCTTGTCATTGTTTGCCTGGGGGAAAAGTGCTTGGATAGGAAATTGTGTGGCTAAATGTACATTGCTTTACAAGTAAAATGGCTCTAACTCTTGCTTCTCCATTTGCAGAAAGCTCTATTGGGTGGATTCCTACCTGAATTGCCTTTCTGTCTCTGACCTCAGTGGTCGATACCGCCGCAAGTTGGCTGAGCACTGTGTGGATGCCAACAACACCTTCTGCTTTGAGAACCCTAGAGGACTTGCACTTCACCCTCGATATGGGTATTGTCTTCCTGTAATCTCAGGCTCTTCTTTTACGCCCTTCTTCCACCTCTGTTACCAAAAAGGCTGTTCACGTAGTGATCTCAAGGCCAGTATCTTGCTGGAATTTGTCTTCTGCTTTTTCTACCCGGTAAATTGATTAGTATAATGGCTGGAAGCATGACTTGTTCAAATAATATTCATATGCTATTTTCTTTGCCATGACACATCACTTCACTTATAAAGTTACATATTTTGGCTGCATGCAAGTAAATCATGGTTAAGAAAACAACAACCCACCTTTACTGGACTTTCCATGTCAAATCTACTGAAATCTCTAGTTTATCATGTTCATTCCTGAGCATTTCCTACACATTATCCCCTTTTACATTCCTTTCTGTTCTCTTTCCTTTATGAAATGCTCTGTAGGATGTAAATTCTGTTTCTCTAGTTGGAGAAATCTTGTGTCTTTGCCATTGAGTTTCTCTGGCTTCAGGGACTGACACGTTGTGTTTGTTCCAACAGGCACGTCTACTGGGCAGATTGGGGTGACCGAGCGTACATTGGGAGAGTAGGCATGGACGGAACCCTCAAGTCTCTGATTATCTCTACCAAGATCATGTGGCCCAACGGACTCACCATTGATTACACCAATGATCTACTCTACTGGGCAGACGCCCACCTGGGTTACATTGAGTACGTACATAGAAAAGAATAAAGCAAACTGCATAATTCTTCATTCCAAACACCAGGGTTTGTGTGTGTATTATTCCTAGGCAGCTTCTAATTGGCCTGTTTGTTGAAAGTCACTCTGAGGTCGCTTCTAACTAAAGTGCCTATAGGCAGTTCGCCGAGCTCTGAGGCATGGTACAAGAAAGAGTGTGAACTTTGAAGCCATCCAGATCACAGTTTTGTCTTGGTGCTTTTACTTCTTACACTCCTAAAAAAGCAGCTAGTAATCTCTCCCCTATGGTAGTCAGCCTAGTGCTCAACTCATCTTAATTTCCTTATCCCTTTACTTTGCCCTTCCCTTCCAAATATGTGATAAATAGACTTGGAAACATTATATTGTTCAATGAAGAATACTCCTTGTAAAAAAGGTAATACAAATTGTTGGCCAAGCAATATGTGTTTATTTCGGAGACATTGCTAATTATGGCATAGTTAGACGATGGTAATGTCTTCTGGGTATTTATGAATTAGTACTCAGATACACAGCCTATTGCATGCAAAAAACAAGATCTTTAAAAATTGTGTCATTCTGTTAAATTTATCTTGAAAAAAATTTCACTTGAGAAAAAATACTCATAAAAGTGTCTGAGTTCACTATGTAGAGATCATGCAAGAACTGAGAGAAGAGATCAAGACTGCTTTCTGGTTTATGAATTTTTAAAAAAGAAACAGATAATGACTATGTTCTGGTCATTTGTCTGCAGTCTTAGCAACAGAGATCCAGAAGGTTGACCTCTGGTTTTCCTATGCCTTCTTTAAGTTTTCATAAATTAAGATATTTTGGAAAATTTTCTGATATCCCATGGCTAATGTTATCAACTTTTTTAGTTGCTAGATCATTCCACCTTTTGTGGGAGTTTTAGGATCTGTGCCCAGATTTTTAAATATTAAAGTAACAATATTCTGACATAATTTCCTAGCCGAATTCCACGATATCAGTATCTCTAGAAGGTAGCACTTTCTTCATTGATTTGTTAGCTCCTCTGTCCTTAAAGGCATTAGAGGAGAGGCCTGATCTTCACTGAGTCACTGTTTCTTCCTCTGACCCTAGGTACTCTGATTTGGAGGGCCACCATCGGCACACGGTTTATGAAACCGGCACGCTGTCTCACCCCTTTGCTATTACCGTTTTTGAAGACACCATTTATTGGACAGATTGGAATACAAAGACAGTTGAAAAGGGAAACAAATACAATGGGTCAAATAGAGTGGCGCTGTTGAACGTAACACACAGGCCGTATGACATCCATGTGTATCATCCTTACAGGCAGCCAATTGGTGAGTAGTTGATTCAGAAGTTTTTGCACAGTTACTTTAGGGTCTTGTCCATGTTGCTCTTGTTTTAAAAATTTTTTTTTAATCATTAGTATCATAATTTATACCAGAAATGGTGTTACTTGTTAATGTTTTCTATGAAACAAATGTTAAGAGTTGAGGGGATGGAAATTAAAGGTATAGAGTTTATTCCCCTCTTTCTGGAAAAGGCTGCTGATGATTCTTTTTCACAGTACCTGCTATAATCTTAAAGATCTTGGTTTTTTTGTTTAAATAAGAATCAACAGTTGTTATATGTTGCCTTGACATTTCAGTCCTACTTAAGAAAGCACCTTTGAAAAATAAAGACTTTCCTGTATAAGCACAATAAATTATAACATTTAAGAAATGTATTACAATCACATGGATGTATTTATAAGAATCATTTCTTTACTAAGATCAATCTACTGAAATAATTAAAAGAAATGCTTAAAGGAAAGTTATAGTAACCATAAAATATCATTTATTAAATGGCTATTTGCATTTGATATCTAGCCAGGATCTGGAATATTCTTTGGGGATAGAGTGGATTTTGTGGGCCTGCTAGGTCATGTTGTCTTAATAAACTTGGAAGTTAGGAAACATATGATAAGCATAATTTATCATAAACATATGATAAATTTGGAAGTTAGGAAATATGAGAACTGGCAAACTATTTTTTTCTGGAAGGTAATATTCTTCATATTATTTAGAAGAAGTTCAAATTCATCTTTACCTCTGAGTGGCAGCCCAGAAAATTAGTATAGATGTTGCCCAGTTTATCTGTCAACTTGATTCTGGGCCAACTTCTGTTGCCTGTATTCTTACGATGAGAGAATATAGCATCTGTTGGAAAGTAAAACTTTAACTTAGGTTCTGGGTGCATGGAGGTAAGCTAAACCTCCCACTTGCTCTTCAAGAACTTTCTCTTTTAATGCAATGTGGGGTCTAGTTCCTTAAACAAGAATCAAACCTGTGCCTTCTGCACTGGGAGTGTGGAGTCTTAACCACGGACCACCAGGGAACTTTGAGAGATCTTTTCTAGCAGTGAGTAAGCCTCACTTCTGCACATAAATCAGTTTACAGTATCAGCAACAGGGTTGCTAACATAGCTCTACCATATGTCTTCTTTATGAACTTTTTGAAAAAGCATGTATCTAGGGTAATGATTTTTTTACTAAGAGGTGATGAGTTTTATTTGGCAAGTAATCAGTTCGTCCATGCTTTAAGTGAATGAACATATATTTTCTCCCTTCTTTCGCTAGTGGCTAATCCCTGTGGTACGAACAATGGTGGCTGTTCTCATCTCTGCCTCATCAAAGAAGGAGGTGCTGGATTCACTTGCGAGTGTCCAGACAATTTCTATACCGTCCAGCGTGGTCACAGCACCCAGTGCCTGCCCATGTGCTCTAGCACCCAATTCCTATGTGCCAACAGTGAAATGTAAGGCTTGCTCCTCCCTCTCCCCACTGCCTCCCCAGCCTTTGGACACACATTAAACTTCAAGGCCCCTGGGGATTAGAGTTTTCTAATGAACAAGGTTTTGGCTAATTAACATGGCTCATTTGGGATGCACCAAGACTATCTCCAACTGTCCAACTTCAGTCTGAAGTCTCCAACTTCAGATAATTTCTTCCATGAAAGGAGGCATTTTGGGAACCAAACAGTTACACCCAGGCATGCAAATTTTCATATCTGTAACAAGGAAGCAAACTGTGTGTGTTTTATTTCTAATGAATTGCCCAAAGTCTCAGGGTCAAGAATGTACATAAGTGTACACTGAGAAACGGCCCTTAGGAACGATAGAATTTCCCCACCTTTTTCAAACACATGCTGGCCTAGCTCCTCAGTTAACTATGCTAGAGGATCGAGGGTCACACAAATATATTTTTGATCATTTGTATTTGTTATGAAACACAGTCACAGATTATTTCCCTCACAGTGGGTACAGCCCTTGATGACTAGGGGTTCAGAGTCAGAGAGTGAGATTAAGAGGAGGTGTTATGCAAACCATAGCATCTAAGATTCAGTGGCCGATTATTTTGATGACTGAGTAAAGAATCCTAGATTAGGAATCTAGCATACCCCATCACGATGTAGACTCTCAACAAATGGTAGTGCCTCCAGCTTCTCAGCCCATAGCCTAATATCATCTCTTCCTCTGACTGATAGCTCTAACCATCCATCCGTTACCCAGAACCATAGCTCTGAACACACACTTCATTGTTGGCTGTGGCAGGAATTTGGTCATCATGCTCAAAGCACTTTTTCAGCATGTGGTAGGTCTTAACACACCTGTTCTATCTAACCTAGTTATGTTTTCTCTGAAGATTATGCCACAGTAACAAAGGTTGAATTGGTCCTCTCCTTGGGCCATGATAAAACGCTTGCATATCATTGCTTGAAATTCAGCTTTGTCGTCTTCTCTCTGGATGGTCATTGCCTGCTCCTCTAACTGCCTGTCGCTTTGCTAAGAGAAGTGTTGTTTCCTTTGTGCAGGTGTATTCCTATCTGGTGGAAATGTGACGGGCGGAGAGACTGCTTGGATGGTTCTGATGAACCTGTCACTTGCCCGCAGCGCTTCTGCGCATTAGGAATGTTCCAGTGCAATGATGGCAACTGCACCAACTCACACTCTCTGTGCAATTTGCGTCAGGATTGCCCTGATGGGTCCGATGAAGACCCTGTGCTTTGTGGTTAGTGGAATCACTTTCTACATTCTTTGCCCACTTCTGTAGTTGATTATGTATGATCATGGTTCTGTGGGGGTTTTCTGAATGTCAAATCAAAATCTGGTCCAAAATCCTGGGGGAGGAAAAAGACAACTCAGAGTCCATCCCACATCTATAAGTTGTCTATTTTGGTGGTTCTTTGCTGTGTACTGTGTATAGAGTCTTCTTTAAGAGCTAATATTGAGAGTGAAATCAGGGATTCCCACATTTTAAACAGGGCCTCTCAGTTGTGATATTTATTTATGTCTCCAGTTTTAAAAAGCACCTTCTCAAAAAAAAAAAAAGAAAAAAAACTCCACTAAAACCCCAAAAACAACCCTCCAAAGTAAAAGTAGCACATCAATAATAGCAACAAACATAAAGTTTGAAAACCATTGTCCATTAGGGCAACAGGTACCAGAGAAAGTGAATTTAGTAGGCTGTCAATCCTCATCCTCTAATGTTACACGCAAAAAAAAGGTCTTTAAGAATGTAGGAGATGGTAATAGTCAATGGATTATCGGCCCGTGTGGTGTTACTGGTTAATAATAAGTGCATTAGGCCATAAATCCTCTAAAAGGAAAGTATAGTGGAGTTCTACAGGGTCCATTAGTGTAAATTAGGGGCTTCTGTTCCTGAAGCCTTCCCAACCGATAACCAAATGCCGCCGCTTGCAGAGCATCACCAGTGTGAGCCCTATGAGTGGCAGTGCGCCAACAAGCGCTGCATTCCCGAGTCCTGGCAGTGCGACATGGAGGGCGACTGCGACGATAACTCGGACGAGGACAGCGCCCACTGCGCCGGCAGGACCTGCCCGCCTGGCTACTTCAAGTGCGCCAACGGCCACTGCATCCCTCAGATATGGAAGTGTGACGTAGACAACGACTGCGGAGACTACTCGGACGAGCCCTTGCAGGAATGCTGTGAGTTCTGTGTGCGGGTCTGAGAGCGGCTCGTGTGGCGGAGAGGGAGTGCAGAGCCCCGGCTGTAGCCCTGTGGCGGGCCCCCTCTTCGCTCTCCCCGGGAATGCAGAGGAGAGCCACACTCGGCCTGCAGCTTGAACCACACCCCTGGGTCTCAAATGGCGGATTCCTGGTCTCTGCCCACGGGATGTCTCACTACAGAATATGATAAAAGAACTTACATTTTTATCTCGCACCTTCTGTTTTGAGCCTCAGAGAAAGCTGGTGAGAGACAGCGAAGGTGAATGAGGGACCTGAACCTCATGTGAAGTGATTTTTTTTTTACCTTCAAACCCAGTGAAAAAATGTACCAGGGTACCTCTTCCCCCATCCCACCCCATTCCCCACCAACAGTCTGACCACAACACAAACAAGAGGTAATGACGTGTTGAGAAAACCGAAGGTCTTGATCTTTCTACTCTGAGTGAACAAATGATACCTGAAGGAGACACAGGCTTCCCAGGTGACTCTGTGGTGAAGCACCCACCTGCCAATGCAGGAGACGCGAGAGATTCAGGTTCGATCCCCGAGTTGGGAAGATACCCTGGAGTAGGAACTGGCAACCCACTCCAGTAGTCTTGCCTGGAAAATTCCTTGGGCAGAGAAGCCTGGTGGGCTACAGTCCATGGGGCTTGCAGAGAGTCAGTCACACGACTGAGCAACTAAGCACAAAAGAGACACAGTTGCCAAACAGACAGAGTCTGTTTGGTTGATAACACGGTCACTGTGGAAAGGTGTCTTTGGTTTCCTGGCAGGACCACGACTTACAGGTCGTTCTTTGCTCCCTCCCGTCTTTTCAGTGGGCCCCTCCTATCGCTGCAATAACTATACAGAATTCAGCTGCAAAACAAACTACCGCTGCATCCCGAAGTGGGCTGTGTGCAACGGTGTCAACGACTGCAGGGACAACAGTGATGAGCAGGACTGTGGTAGGAGGGGCGTCAGGGGATGGGGGAAGGATGAGCAAATTACTCGGAGGGGAGGCTGGGTTTCCCATGTCATCCTTCCTTTGTTTGCCTCTAATAACATGTTGCATTTTATAGTGACTTTATAGGGATCCCAGCATTTTACAGGGGTACTGGGAGGTTCATTTATATCATCTTAAATGAAATCTTTCCCCAAATGTGAAGATATTAGGAATTTGTGTAACTTCTCCCCAATGGAAAATTCTTATTTTACATTTGACAAGTTTGTCTTATCTTACAGATTGATTGAAATGGATGGGAGGGAGGAGGTAGAGAAAAGATTTGATATGTATCTCTAAAAAGGATATTTCAGAATCAGAATATTTCTTATTTGGAGGTTTTGATATTTCGAATGTCTCTCTGACCTTCCACATCTTTTGTGTTTGGCAATATAGTAAGAATCTATGGACAAAAGGCCAAATGAATTAATGGAATTTTCCAAGATTAGGCATATTCTCTAGCTTAAAAACAAAGTGTGTGTTGGGTTTGGTAGGAAGAGAGGTAGGAAAGATAATGAGTTATTTTAATAACACTGAATCTAATCACCTAAAGACAATGTAATGGACATGTTTTGTTTGCTGGCAGCATCACTTAATTTTCCTTTCCAGGCCTTTGTTGCAAATTACAAGCCAGGGACCAAATCATTTTTTGAACTGTTTCTACAAAAGAGAATGGATTTAGTTTCAAATAATAGGATAGGTTCAGTTTAGCCTAAAGAGGAGTATTGACAGTGAATGTGACTGGCATTCCTCTTTCTGGGACTTTCAAGACTATGGTAGCATAAACCTCAGACCATCTCACAAGAGCCAGTACTGCCTTGGCATTCCTTGCCCATGGGCTTCTGAAGTATTTGCAATGACTGATTTGCAGAGTCGATGACATGCAAACCTTCTGGGGAATTTCGGTGTACAAATCACCACTGCATCCCTCTTCGCTGGAGATGTGATGGGCAAAATGACTGTGGAGACCACTCCGATGAGGAAAACTGTGGTGAGTGTTCGGGGTCCTTCTTTCCCATGTGCCATTGGAGTGGTGATGTCTGCTCTTTGCAACTCAACTGTCAATGCCATCCTCAAAGGGTAGGATGATGGCTGTCTGATCTCTTGCTTTCTGACTGGTACATTTCTACTTTTCACTTTCTCCTTAGCAGATTGTAATCACACTCTAGGAAAAGAATATTTATGCAGGTATATCTTTTGTCTGTTAACGTATTTACACTCAACAACATCTTTTTTTCAAAAAGAACTTGAGGTGACTTACATCATTGCCTTATGATATGTATCAATTTCAGATTAACTAACATGAAATATACTCTAACTTTAGTCTCCTTTTGGAAATGAGAAAGTATGGGCTGTGGAGAGAATCAGGGTGCTGGTCTCACCTGCAATTATAGCTGAGTAAAAGCAGACTTACAGTTGAAGTGAAAAGTCTATTTTTGCAGGTTGGATGGTCTGGGACTTGGGGCACAGGAGGGGCTGGGCGCAGAGGACACTTAGGCCAGTCCGCAAGCCGGCCCACTGTGTACGACTCCCGGTGCCCTCCAGTGGCCACGTGGCTTTCCTTTTCAGCCCCCCGGAAGTGCACGGAGAGCGAGTTTCGGTGTGATGATCAGAGCTGCATTCCTTCTCGATGGATCTGTGACCAAGCCAACGACTGTGGGGACAACTCAGATGAGCGGGACTGCGGTAACTGTTACAGCAATTTGAGGGGCTTCCCGTGGAATCTCGTACTAGGGTCAGCATATTGGAGGGGAGTAGGGAATTCGGTATTCTTTCTTGGGAAATCCCATGGATAGAGGACCCTGGCGAGCTACAGTTCACAGGGACACAAAGAGCTGGACTTGCCTTAGCCACCAAACAACAGGGACTTCCAATGTGTGTTTGTAAGGTTTTATAGAGTAAGATGATTTTTGTGTATTTTAGGTAATATATAAACCTTAGCATGACAGTACCTTCTTCTCTGTACTTTCTATGATTTATGATTACCTTAGAGCATTCTAGATCAATAATAGGGGAAAATCACAAGAGAGTTTTTAAAATCTCATTTTAACTTGAGGAGAGATTGGTACCTCCATCTCCATATCTTGAATGGGGAAGGTGTAACTTTTGAGAGTTTACTCACTCACTAACCATAAGTTGTGGGTTTGTTGTGAGCCAGTCACTGGGTATGGATAGGAATGTGATAGAATACTTACTATCCTCCACAGAGCTAGGACTTGTCCGAGAATACCAAGGCACCTTCGAAATAACATTCTTTCCTTTTCAGAGATGATGACCTGCCGTCCTGGATATTTTCAGTGTGATAGTGGGCACTGTGTTTCTGAACATTTGAAGTGCAATGGGTTGGCTGACTGTCATGATGCCTCTGATGAAGCCAATTGTCGTAAGTTTCTAGACAATTGGTATGGTTATGGCTGTTTAGACCCATTAGCCACCGCTTCTTAGATTGAAAGGTCATAGATATTTTCTATTCAGCATTCATTGATAATTATCAATTGACATGGAGCTTGAGTCATCATGTCTATATATTTCACAGTAGTCATTCAAGTACATTTCACTAATAATATTTCAAATATTATATATATATATATAGAGAGAGAATATATTATGTCTGTGGTAATGAAAGTATTTATATATTATCAACTACTCTACAAATCATTAATCAGATAAAACTTGGCAGGAAAAGAATATTCAAGCAATGAATAAATGGGTATTCAGCCACATTGAAGTTCTAGCATTAAGCATTTTCTGAATTGTAACAAAGGGATATAAAATTGTTTAAAAGTATAAAGCCTATATGATCATTTGTATTTTAGTCTTTTTGAACCACTGAATAAATATTAACTATTGATGCTCATCTATGATGGATTTTGTTGATCATGTAGTTGCCACATCTTAAAACCTTGGTTTCCAAGAGACTTTAAATGTATGATAGGAAAAACCAGTGCTGGCACTGCTGAAAAGTTTCACTTACCTGAAAAAGAAAAAACCCAATGCTGTTCATAGAATGACTCATGTCATTACATACTGGGCTTAGTCAATTATCCTTAAGAAACATTCCATCAGAATTTCAGATGGTTTAAGGCCACAGTACTTGTGTGGTTGAATCAGGAAAGAGCAGGCTATAATGGAACACTTTCTATTAGGAGAATTCTCTCTATAAAAGGAGAAATAGCCAACTAGCTTTTCAGAAAGTATCTTTTTCTAATAATTTGAATATGTCTTCTCCCCACCGACAGCCACCCGCTTTCCCAATGGTGCATACTGTCCAGCTACTATGTTTGAATGTAAAAATCACGTTTGTATCCATTCATCTTGGAAATGTGATGGTGATAATGACTGTGGAGATGGTTCCGATGAAGAACTTCATCTGTGCTGTGAGTGAGAGATTGAGGGGTGGTGTTGTCAATGTTTCTTATGTGGAGCATAAGTGGGGGGGGGGGCATTTGCACAATTTTTGTGTTGTTGGACACATGATCTGATTAGTGCACTTTCATTTGGCCTTCCTGATTAGTTTTCTACTTGGGACATGAGAAAGTTGGGCAGACATCCATAGTTTTAAACATTTTTGTGGCCTTTGAAAACAGTGTCCTCAAAAGAAATTGTTGGAAAACCAACACGCATAAATAAAGGCAGGTCTGTTGTGGTCAAAGTCTGAGTTAGGGTGGAGTGTGTATCTCTCCTGCTCCACCCCACTTTCGGTGCCCCTCAGAGTACTTCTGCCAAACCCCTGGAGCTTCACAGAACCCCTTTAGGAAATATTAAAACCAGTTAATCTTTAAACTCACTTCACTTTACATCATAATTCAAGCCCATCTAATTCCTTTCTGTTGTATGATGCATATTTATTTTTTAAATCAGTCAATCTCAATGTGGGTACCCATCTGAATCCCTTGGGGAAAAGTGCTTTGGAAGCACATGCTCTGGTCCCACCTCAGGCTTAGACCTATCAATGTCCAAGGACATTTTGGGTCTGGGCAAAAATATACTGAAAAAGCTCCTTAGGTTTTAATTTGGTCTCTTGGTTGGAAACTACTGATTTTAGCAAAGTGAATGAACATAAGTTTGTTTTTTGATCATTTTGCTCCATGCCTTGAGTCATTGGAGATCTCAGGCATCATCTCTGTTACTAAGAGAGTCAGTATCACCTGGGGACCTGTTAGAAACACAGATTCATGGGCCCATCCCACATCTACCCAATCTGAATCTCTGGCAGTGGAGGACAGCAGTCTCTGCATTAGTAAGCTGCCCACCCACCTCCCCAACCCCTCCCTCACCCACCAGGTGATTCAGATACAAGCCAATCTTAAGAATGTCACATAAGTAGAAGCCCTCCAATCCTCTCGAAACTCTTAATTCTTAGTCTCATTTAGCTGTAATTCACTTCTGAGGTTCTCATCACCTCTTCCATTCAATTTCCTAGATTCCCACTATTAATTTTAGCCCTCACTATTCAATTTTATGATTTGACTCTAGAAAATAATATATCAGAATATTCCTTCCATCAAGAGAATTTAATTATATTATATAATTAAAATATAAATTACATTATATTTTCCCAGTGGCATCCCAGTATTTCCCTTGCCACATCTTTTCTTCTAAGGAACTAACAATAGTTTGTTTTGTTTTTCACTTGCAGAATCTTGAAAAAGACCTTAAACATGTGTAGCTGTCAAATAAATCCTGGAAAAGTTGTTTCCCACTATAAGATAAAGTGCCCATAGTTAGAAAGATTGAACTTTGGGGAGGCAGAGACACAGCTACATGAAAAAGTGATCAGCGCTGTTTTATAATGTTACATTTGCCTTTCACCACAAATAATCCTTGTGAAGTTCTATTAACAATACTTCAAAGAACCAACTTTTACAGCTGTTCTTTTTTTCCCTCAACCTCATTAAAAATCTCTCCTCTTGCTTCCTGTGTGTGGTACCAAGGCAGAAGGAAAATCAAACAGCCCATGTCGTCCATGGGAAAGAGGAAAACACCTGTGTGTTAAGTTCTGAATTCCTGGTACATGCATAGAGGATCGTGTCCCTGTTCCAACCAAGGGCCCTGGGTTTTACCTGTAGGTTCCTCACAGGAGCATGAGCATCAGCCAGAGATCTAACTCTGGGTAACAGAATGAGTCCGTGTTTGCTTTGAGATGTCAACTTTGAAAGTAATAGGTGAGGAAATTGAGGGAGGATATTCCATCACGGTGTAGAACTTTAATGAGAAGACTTCATTTTCTGGACTGTAGTCAGAGGGTCGAACAGTGAGCTCCTGGCTGTTAGGATGAGAGTTCATGTGTAGTCCTGCTGGCCTCTCCAACCTCCCGGCCACCGTTGTCCTCCTCACTCTGTGCTCCAGCCACAGAGATCTTTTATTCAGGTCCAGAAGCCTGCCATCTTCTTCCTGACCCAGACTTCCCATGTGAAGCCTCTTCTGATCCCTCCTCCCCTAGGTCTGTGTCAGATCTTCCCAGTAGATGCCTTCATAGCATGTTTCCTTTGGGGCCCTTACCACAGTTGTAGTTGAATGGTTAATTTGTGAAGTTGGTTTCTCTGCTAGAATAAAAGTCCCATGAGGATAAGGACTGTGTCTTTCTTTCCCCAGTTGAACCTGGTGCGTCGCGCAGCGCCAGGGTGTCAACGAGACCCTCAAGATGTGTTTGTCGATGGGTTAATCAAATAAGCCAGTAAGTGGCGGATCAAGCAAGCCCAAGCCTGGTGCTGGCAACAGGAGTGTTTTTAGATACTGACTCTTATGTTCTACTCTTAACGTAAACTGTTGCTTTTTCGTCTTGTGTTCTAGTAAATGTTGCCTGTGACTCACCATACCGTTTCCGGTGTGACAACAATCGCTGCATTTATCGTCATGAGGTGTGCAACCAGGAGGATGACTGTGGAGATGGAAGTGATGAGAAAGAGGCGCTCTGTAAGCAAAAGTCCAAAGGGAGAAGGGAAAAAGAAAGGCCCCCAATTGTCTGCAGTCCACAAAATGTACCTCAGGGATTTCAGTTTGTTCTGTAGAGGCTTGAGTTGTGCATATGACTGCAGATCTCCATGGACATTGTTGTTTGCAAGACTCCCTAAACACACAGTACTCAGGTGCAGCCCATCCCCATTCTTCCTGTTTCATTTGAACCAGATGTTAGAAAGTTCCTTAAGGAAGTGAGAACAAATACTAAATAGTGGTTTGAGTCCCACTTGAAAAACTAATGGTTTATCTCTTTTCAAAGATGAGGTTTGGTCACTCTTCAGCCTAGAGCTTCTAATTGTTCATCTAGGGATGGGAACTTCTCAATGTCCTGCTGAAAAGCTCATGTTGAATAAGGCAGCACTAGTGTTCACAGGGCTTATCTAATATCCTTCTTTAAAATGAAAATGCATTTCCCAGAAGAGAAAAATGATAGATTATTTTACGAGATAAATGGCTGCATTTAATATTTTAGGTATTGAGAAATCTATGCTTTTCCATTTTGAGACTGTTTTCCATCTATCCATTGAAGGAAAGGGCTGATTAATTTTCTGGGCAATTTAATTTACCTAGAAAAAGTCAGTGAGAAAGGTTATTTATCCTGAGTCCAGTTACTTTTTTCCTAAAAGGATATTATCTGGGGAAATTTAGATAAATGCTTTTCTATTCTCTATTCCTTATATTGATGTGGCCGTAGAATGCTTACCGCCAGTTGCCATCCTATGTCAGGCAGACTTTGATCCTATTGCCATGTTCAAGTTTGTACCCTCCCTCTTCGTCCCCTTTTTGGGGTAGGATGAATCAATGGTTATAACATTGTTAATATGTTTGTTTGAAGCATAACACAAAAGAATGAAAACCTAGAAATAAAACCTTTTTTAAAAACTGGGGCAGGTTTGCCTTTTCCTCTTCTGTTTCCACTTCCTCTATTAATCATGCCAGATATTTGTAGGATATGATCAAATCCCAGAGTGGAAAAAAGGGATAGGAAGCTAAAATTCTTCCCATGGAGGAGGATGTTAGAGGAATCACTGCTAGGCATCACAGTAGATGAACTGCAACATTTCAGTGGCTTACACCAGCAGAGGTCTAAAGTTTGAGGAAGATCAGGCAGCCCCCTTCATCCTGTATTAAGCCGTCTGGAATGCATAGTCTTCAAGGTTGCTGAGACGGGAGAAGAGAGAAATGGAGGAAACAGTTTCCTTACTTCCTAGGCCTGGAAGTGACAGATGTCCATTACGCTCATAGTCCCTTGGTTGGATCTGCCCCCAAGCTAACTGCAAGAGAGACCAGGAATTGTGGGGAAGCACCAGCTTATTTGTGAGAAACACTGTCTCTGCCAGAGAAGGAGGCGTCTTGTTTCGCAGAGGAGAATGTTTTGACTTGAACTTATTCTTAAATTATAGGTGTAGCACCGACTCCTAGACCTTGTACGCCGGCTGAATTCAAGTGTAGCAATGGGCGCTGCATTCCACAGCACCGGGTGTGTGATCATGTTAATGACTGTGGTGACAATTTCGATGAGACGGGATGCAGTAAGTAAATAATTATTTTTGTACTTCATGGTAGTAACTCAGGTTACCTTACTGAAAAACTTGCAATAACATAAAGTAAACAGTAACCACATTTGTCTTTAGTTTACATGCTGTGTTTCTTTATTGAATACTTTTTCTATACCAGACATTGTGCTGAATACTGCATGGACTATTTCATTTTTTCCATGTAACAAGCCTGTGAGCTAGGAATTGTTTATGTCTCTGTAACTCTCTTTTAAACAAATGAGGAAACCACCCTACAGGTTAAATAAATTGGCCGTGTCTCCCTGTCATTAAGAAATTGAGTCAGGATTTGAACTCTGGTCTCCTTAACTGCAAGGCACATCCTCTTCCCAGTTCACTAGGTAGCTCTCAGCACCTTAAAGCTGTTTATTTTGCTTCTTAGTTTGCACATTTTTTTCATCTTAAGCCAAATGCAGTATCTTTGGCACAGAGGGGAAGAGTAGTTGGTAAGAATGGCAATGTCAGGACATTCTTAGTGGTCCAGTGGTTAAGACTCTGTGCTCCCAATGCAGGGGGCCTGGTTCAATTCCTGGTTGGGGAACTAGATCCCACTTGCTGCAACTAAAGATCCCATATGCTGCAACTAAGACCTGGCACTGCCAGTAAATTAAAAAAATATATTTTTAAAAGAACAGAAATGTCACAGGGGACCTTGGAAGGAACACTTACTTTTAAGAGAGGATTTTTACATAGGAAAAGTGTGATGTACACAAACAAGGGATGATTCTAGCTTAACATGAAGTGAATGTTGGAATGGCATGCTAATAATTTGCCCTTTGGTAGTCCTGTATAGCATTTATGAAATGCTTTCACATACATTCTTTTTTTTATGTATGTAGTTTTTATCTATTTATATATTTTTGGCTGCAACAGGTCTTCATTTCCACGCGGGGGCTTTCCTTTCGTTGTAGGGAGAGGGGGCTACTCTTCATTGCGGTGTGTGGGCTTTTTGTTGCAGTGGCTTCTCTTGTGGAGCACAAGCTCTAGGGTGTGTGGGCTTCAGTAGTTGAAGCTTCCAGGCTAGAACACAGGCTCAGTAGTTGGTTGTGGCACATGGGCTTAGTTTCCCCACGGTATGTGGGATCCTCCCCGACCAGGGATTGAACCTGTGTTTCCTGCATTAGCAAATGGGTTCTTCACCACTGAGCCACCAGGGAAGCCCCACATACATTCTTTAATTTGTTACTTAAATTAGCTCCAGGGGATTACTGCTGTTATGTCTAAAATAAAGCTCAGAGAGTTTAAATAACTTGCTTGAGGTCACACAGAGTGGCAGGGGCAGAATTGGAACAGTCCTGGGACTCCAAACTGGGAGAACTGGCTCCCACTTCCTCTGCCACTAGCTGTGCCGCTTAAGAGTACATACTAACATTGCCAGGCCTCAGTCTCTTTTTAGGAAAAAGGGAGTTCTTCAAACCCTACAAGTCTGGACTTAGTAACATTAGTTAGCTCCACATGCTTCCAACTTCCTGGGCTTTAATAGCCTTTTTCTGAGGTCCCTCAAGGATTTCCTGGCAAGTTTTTCTCCTGGGTGGGTTACAAAGGAAGATGAAGAACCAACCATATTTAGTTGATTTGCCATTTGTTTGACACACTTTCTCAATAAGATTGGAGTTTTTGACATAATAATGTGACTTAAATTAAATATTTAAAAGGCATAAACATGAGGGAATTTGCAGAACCGAGAGATTGGTTTGGGTTCTGATGCCTGGAGACTAACTGACAGTGTGAATTGTTCCAGGACTTTGGGGTATTTCCAAGTTAGGCTTGGGTCAAGCATTGGTTTCTCTTTCAGTTGCCTGTGCAAATGAAAAGGCTTAAAATCAGCCATAGTACCTTTTCTTTTTAAGGTAACTTCCTTGCTGAGGAATTGTTTGTTTGTATTTTTGGTTGTGCTGGGTCTTCATTGTTGCGGTGATTAGGGGCTGCTCTTGTGGAGCGTGGGCTCTAGGCTTGCAGGCTTCAGTAGTTGCCTCTCGAAGGCTCTAGAGCACGGGCTCAGTGGTCTGCCCCATGGCTGCCCCATGGCGTGTAGGGTCTTCCTGGACCAGAAATCGAACTGGTGTCTCCTGCCCTGAAGGCAGGTTCTTCACCATATTACTTCCCCCCACACCATTTATTTTTATTAGTTGGAGGCTAATCACTTTACAGTACTGCAGTGGTTTTTGCCATACATTGACATGAATCAGCCATGGATTTACATGTGTTCCCCATCCCAATCCCCCCTCCCGCCTCCCTCTCCATCCCATCTCTCTGGGTCTTCCCAGTGCCCCAGCCCTGAGCACTTGTCTCATGCATCCAACCTGGGCTGGCAATCTGTTTCACCCTTGATATATACATATTTCAATGCTATTCTCTCAGATCTATTCAAATGACATTTAATTAAAAGCAGGGTTTATTTAAGGGGACAAGGTAGCCCAGGCATTAATGTGGTATGGAGGCAACATTTCTTTTCAGATATTAAGCGGATCTGTGAAGGAATTCAGTCTTACTGCATTGGGCCAGTTTGACTAAGACATAGAAATTCTCATTTTAAATACCAGTTCTTGGGTGCTGCTCATCCATTTGCTTTCCTTTTCATTTCCTTTTCTCCTTCTCCTTTTCTTTTAAACAGGGTCAATGCCTTCTATTTATATGTGTGTGTATATATATGCTATATATACATATATATACACATGAGATGTATATATTATATATATGTAGAAATATATATATATATATATATATATATATATATATATATATATAAAATCTGGGCTTCCTAGGTGGCATTAGTGGTAAAGAACCTGCCTGCCAATGCAGAAGATTTAAGGGACACGAGTTTGATCCCTGGGTCAGGAAGAGCCCCTGAGGAGGGCATGGCAACCTACTTCAGTATTCTTACCTGGAGAATCCAGGTAGCCTGGTGGGCTACGGTCCATCTGGAGGTGTTCTCTGATGGGCCACTTGGGTGTTCACTTGTGCTTGATCTGCTTTGTATCTTTCATTTGTAATGCTGGGATTTTGCATTTCAGATAGAGGAAAAGACAGATCATGTGCTGAAAATCTGTGTGAACACAACTGTACCCAGTTACGTGAAGGAGGATTCATCTGCTCCTGTAGACCCGGATTCAAAGCCGATAGCATTGACAGAAACCTCTGTGAAGGTAGAGTGTATTTCCTCCAGTTCCTATTAGGAGAACCTTGTGCTTTTTAGTTCTCCACTCATTCCCTTTTATTAAACATGGTTTAATTCCCTTCATGCGGCTGAGCTCATGCCGGTTGCTTTTTTCCCATGCTCTCTTATCGGTGTCTGGCATAGCACTGGGTGATCGTTCATCTTCAGTAATGTCTGTGAAATTGATGTGATGCATGAAGGCATGGATGATGATGGCTCCTTATTGTATCAGTGTGTGAGATCAAAATTTCTTTTTAACAAACACAAGTCTGCCTTTCTTCAGACAATACATATTTATTACACCCCTCCGTATGTCTGACTTATGTAAATGAGTTCTAAGATGGGACACTTACCAAGATGGTAAATATCAAGTAGGATTTTAGGTGTATTTGATCATTTGAATTTACTGTTCCTATATCATGATGTACCATACTCAGATGATTAGAATAGTTCTTTTGAGGGCTGATGCCTAAGAACTCAATTGGAAAAGCCAAATCCGTGCCGCCCCTTCCTGGAGCCATGTAGCAGGAGGGAAGTGGTACCAAATACCAGTGGCATAACAGCTGCTTCCCCAAAGGGAAAATCTTGTTCTGCTGTTGTACAGAGTCAGACTGCTTCTGTTTAAATCTGGTCTTTGGGACTTTGGGTTCAATAACAGTCCATACCTGAGAGAGTCGTTTTGGAAGATTAAATGAGGGAAGAACTTGAAATGCATGTGAAATAGTATCTGAAGTTTGGTCAGTGTTCTGCAAATGTTGGCATCATGACTTGTCTTCATCTGCACTTTTCTCATCCTTATTGCTTGTGAATGTGGATTTAAACAGAAGCAGGATCTCTAAGGAAGGGATGGGCTCTAAGCAGATGTTGCCCACTTGGTTTTATTTTGCCTGCAGACATCAATGAATGTTTGCAGTTTGGGAGTTGTCCCCAGATCTGCCATAACACCAAAGGAAGTTATGAGTGTTCCTGCGCCGAAGGGTTCACATCGCTGAGTGACAGATACGGAGAACGGTGTGCGGCTGACGGTATGATGCACTGATGGGGTATTAGTCTGGATTTAGCCTCTGTTCTACCTGGATAAAAACTAAAAAAGTGGACAAGATATGCCTCTCCAGAGGATTCAGACAACAAATGCTTCTGTGTAGGATGGTGGTCAGCAAAGCCTTCCACTCCACTGAGGTCAAGGTTTGAGGTCCAGTAATCCAAAACAGGTCACAAAACACATCCCATTCAATGGGTCATAGTCAGTTGGGGCAGATCAGGAACACTCTGTTGACAAACCTTTTTTTGTTGTTCATGGACTATTGATCACAGACAGAAAGAGTCTGGCTTATTCACGACTTCAATCATTAGCTCTGCGTTTTTGGTTAATGCCAGTATCTGTGAATCAGGCCTGAGTGAAAGCAGAAATAGAGACTACATAAAAATGGCAAAAGAGAAAGTCAGAAGTATCCAGTCCAGATTTCCAGAGTTCTGATGTAAATCAGCATATCTCAGTAAAGGAGTCTTTATAATCTTATGGATATGAATTTAAAGTTTGTAATTGAGTTTAAGGACTTGATAAGAAGGCGACATTTTTATTTTGCATATTAAGGGTAAAATGACTGTTCAATTTCTTTGTACAAATTGAGTTTTTGTACAAAGCATACATTTGACTAGCATACTTAAATATTTTACCCTTTAAGCATTTTTGACTCTGAATGCAAACTAGGGTGAAGGCATTTGAGCAGTTGGTGTGGTAATTAAGCAGCAAATTAGAAAATCTTCAACTCTTTTATCCAAAGAGATAACTGAAATGAGAAATTTATGTAAAACATTATATCAAGATAAAGGAAATACATAAAATGAACTTTTAAAAGTTACTTAAATTGGGTTTGATTGACATTATGCAAGTAAATTAAAAAAATTCTAGACAGTGTATCTTGGAATAGTCACTATTTACATAGCTGCTTTAACTTAAAAAAAAAAAAAAAAAACCAAGAACAAGCTGGTTTTTTGTCATTAGTTAGAAGCTAAATTGGGTCATGGAGCTGATTACCTGCTAAAAGAATCATTAAAATCTGTCAGTAAAGAATGAGAAATGAAGACTTCTGGGTAAACTTTTAGTAAGACTCTACATATTGAATATCTTCTGTGAGACTGAATGTCTGCAATCTTATTTGTTTTATTGTCAGTGAAAAAAAAAATCAGTGAAAAAGAGGTAACTATCCAGGGATCTCAGTCTTTGCTTTGCTTTAAACCGTTATCTAAAGAACTGATTATATCCCTAACAGAAATGGAGACAAGAACGTTACAGATTTTGCAACCCAGTTTATGGTCAGCTCCACTGATTAGCAGAGTTCAGTTCCTAGAAAAATGTGTGTGTGTGTGTAAGGACAGGGAGGATATCTGCTGTTTTATAACCAAAATTCAGGTAGAATTCAAATAGATTAATCAGCCCTTCTTTTGTTTCCAGGTAGTCCTCCTTTGCTGCTACTGCCTGAAAATGTGAGAATTCGAAAATACAACCTCTCATCTCTTCAGTTCTCAGAGTACCTGGAAGACCAGGAGCGCATTCAGGCTATGGATTATGATTGGGATCCGGAGGGCACAGGCCTCAGTGAGTATGAGACCTGGCATCTGTCACCGATATCAGTTGAATCCACTGAGTGATAAGGTGTTGAACTTTGGGGAACTGATTTTTAATGAGTAAGTGCTGTTGCCTGAGTGGAAGAGGGTGCTCCTCCCGCCTGGCATGCTCCAGACCATTTAGCGTGACCGTGTGTCCCAGCCTGTTTCCCACCTTCTCACTGAACCTTCTCCTATCTCTGGGGACTGTCCTTTCAGGACCGCCTCACATCCCTTTGTTCACTGTCTCCTTGTCTTTGCTCTTTCCAAGACTGTTCTTCCCCACTGCTGTATGGTTGGAACATTTCCACTCAAAGACCCAGTTCAAAGTCACCTCCCCTCTGGTATCTTTCATAATTCTGTGCACCATTTTATCCACATTGGATTGAGTTTACAGCTAGCTGTCCACACATCCTTCTCCCTACACCTTAACTACATGCTCTTTGGAGACAGAGATTGAATCGAATTCATCTCCACATGCCTGGCATCTGACCCAGCATCTAGTTTAGTGTATGTGGTGGGTAGTTGATGAAGGAAAAATGAGTGATGCTTACTGCTAAGTCTCTTATGGTTCTGTATGGCCTGTGGGAGATGGTTGTTGGGCAGAAAAACTTATATTGTATGCCTGTCTCCCTCATCTACTGGCTTTATGACCTTAAATAATTGTAACAATTCTCTGGATCTCTATTTCTTTTCTGTAAAATAAGAGCAGTAATCTTGCTCAGCCTGACTCCCTTTGAGAGTTGTTTTGAAAGTCAAATGAGATGATAGATATGAACATGCTTTGCAAACTATGTAAGATTTATTATTATTGTGTTTTCACATTTCATTGTACAATGCTGTAAACTTTTCAAGAATGGTTCCTACCTAGAGAAGTGTGTGCCCTGAAAGGCACAGTCTTCCTATGCTTTTAAAAAGAAAATTTTATTTTTTTTGGCCACAGTATGCGGCATGTGGAATATTAGTTCCCTGACCAGGGATCGAACCCCCGTTCCCTGCAGTGGAAGGCTAAGTCTTAATCACTGGACCATAGGAAAGTCCCTTCCTATGCTGTTTAAAGTGCCTGCTATTCAATATCTTTTAGTTTATACATAAAATAAGACTTCTCTTCTACACAGCTTCATTATTGCCAGTATGGACTTAAACTCTTAACAGTTTGACCCTAGTTAATCTATATATTCTTTTTTTGAAACTAGAACATGATCTTAATGAGGGTAAACAGGCTCTTGTCTGAAATGTATTTTAATGAATTACCATTAAATAGAGATGACTAATTATCAGTAGGTTATCAGTTGAAGTTTTTACAGCGAGTATCTCAAGTATGACAGATTTTGAGGTTTGATCATAGTGGTTTCATTGAACTGTTAGTATTACAGGAACACTGAGGAAGCAGGGGCATCAGTGAATGAACAGTCCTTCACCTGATTAGACTCCAGGTCTTCCCTTCCCTGATGCTGGTTACACGCACCTGATCCATGTGTCTCATCTCTGCAGGTGTTGTATATTACACTGTTCTAGGGGAGGGCTCCAGTTTCGGTGCTATCAAACGTGCCTACATTCCCAACTTTGAATCTGGAAGCAATAATCCTGTGATGGAAATTAACCTGGACCTGAAATATATAGTGCAGCCTGATGGATTAGCAGTGGACTGGGTTGGAAGGTAAGTGTAGCTTCATTTTCTTCTGCCTATTCTACTTTCCTGGTCAGAGCTACCCTCTGCTCAGCTTGGCACATGAATTGAATTGACCCAGATTATGGGTGCACCCAGCCTCGGGGCAGCTGAGTGATGCCTGGACTAACTCCCGTCCCAGCATCTACCTCTGCTTACCCAAAGGGGTAATGGGCTAAACCTTATCACTTCCTATATTCTGTGTGCCTCAAGAATGTGGGGAAAGCCCCAAGGTCAAGACTTTATATTTTATCTAGGAGAGCATTTTTGGCAACAGAATTTTGGATTCCAAAATGAACTTTCAGTATGGAAGCACTGCTTATTCAGTGAAGAAATGTGACAGCCTTGCATTCTACCAGCAAAGCAGTTGAGGGGAAACACTTTCCTTGATGCTGATTATTTTGAGGAGGAACAGTCCACACATTGTGTTCCTAGCAGGCTGTTATCTGAACAGATTGGAAGTTTGACCTTCCTGTTTAAGCTTTGGGTTTGAGCTAAGAAGGGTGCTCTTCTAGAACTTCAGGAACCAGAGCCAGTTTAAATGATGTTAAGTAGGTTTATCATCAGATAGATTCATGAGAGGCAAACTGATGTGGAAGAAACATTCTTCAAGGAAGAGCCTTGGATTGAAATAACATTTGTGGGAAAGTGACTACATTTCAATCAGAACTCAATCATTTGTAGAATCATTATGTCCTTCTAATGAAGTAGTAGTGGAAAATGTTTGCTGTCCTCTGAGACAACAGAGAGTCATCTATAGCATTAATTTTCACCTCTTCACACACTTGTCTAGTACTCCTGGAAGACTTGAGCATCTCTGCAGAAGTTAGGCAGGTCCCACTGTACCCGCAGGATAACAGGAGACTCATTTCAGCAACTCCTGTCAGGAAACAAGACCTCAAAGAGTCACGAACTGGCACCTCTAGACTTTAGCACCTCCTTCTGAAAACCATCCTGGCAACGGCAGATCTTTCCTCTTCTTTGAAGTTTTACCTCTTTCTCAGCCTTAGTGAATGAGTGAATTTAAGAAAGTACTGCAGCTCTTTCTGCTTGAGACTGAGACCTGAAGCCTGAGGAATAAGGGCAGGGTGGCTTTGCTGAGTTTGCTATTTTGAGTGGCTATTTCCACTCATCCTTGAAGCTGATGCCAGATTCCTAATGATTCTGGTGGACTCTTGGCTGAGGAGGAAGCTGACCCACAGGCAGTCAGAATGAAAGGCCCACAGTTCCTTACAACTCCTACCTAGAAGCAGTTGTCTCATAATCACGCCAGGTGTGAGGGTCACCATCATTGCCAGTCCTGGCTGATACAGCTGCTTCACTGAATAGCCCCTTCACCCCACACCCCATCACTTGTAACTTCCCTCAGAGGTCCCCTTGGCTGAAGAGACTGGGGCATTCCTGAGAGACAGAGGTTGTGCTCTCATCACTGGTGTCTGAGTAACTGTCTCGCTGGCCAGGACTTCCAAACTAAATGCTCTTGTCTTCACACCTCTACCCCGAAAGTCCAGTCTAGACTTCGCAGTTGTTTAACTTCGTCTCTCTAAATTCAGGCATATTTACTGGTCAGATGCCAGGAGGCAACGGATTGAAGTGGCTGAACTTGATGGAAGGTACAGAAAGTGGCTGATTTCCACTGAACTGGATCAACCAGCTGCAATAGTTGTGAATCCCAAACTAGGGTAAGTACTTGAAGGAGTCCTTAATGTTCAATATTTTCCACTGGGTTCTGAAAAAAATTATTTTCAATAATTTTCAATTATTCCCAATTGTACTGAAGTTGTCCTTGGACTTTTTTGAGTGACAGCTATGACTGTTTTCAAGAACTATAATATGCCCTAAAGATCATTTAGGACCAAACAGGCTTCAGTAGACAGACACTGTGTATGGGGAAGAGTTTAGCCACATTTTTCGACACCGTGGTTTATCTAAAATCCACACATTTCTCAGCAGAATTTAGGGATTGAGTTAACACCTGATGATTGGTTTAGACTAGAGATTGCAAAGTGGTGGCTGATGGGCTAAATATGGCCCATATACTTATTGGACTTGAAGTTCAGAGCTTTAAGTAAATGTAGTTGATAGCATTACATATTTAAAAGATGATTTATTTATTTATTGGCTGCATCAGGTCTTAGTTTCAGCACGTGGGCTCTTTGTTGCAATGTGAGGATATCTTTATAGTTGCGGGGCATAGGCTTAGCTCCCCTGAGGTATGTGGGATCTTAGTTCCCCAACCAGGGATAGAATCCAAGTCCGCTGCATTGGAAGGTGGATTCTTAACCACTGGACCACCGGGAAAGTCCTGATAACATTAAAATTTTAAAAAATATATATTTGTATTTCTGGTTTGAAAAATCAGAATAACTGGTAACCTTACATGGATATGCCTTCCTTGACTCAGCATTGCCTGGAACGCTTAGGCTAGAGCTTGGCTTAATGTGGTGCTTCCCCATCACTCTACATTCACAGCTGCCCTGCACCATCCATTTATCTTGCTTGCCTGATCCTTTCTAGGTGCTTAGTGTGATGTAATCCTTGGTTTACTCACTTCTTCTACAATCCAGTATAATTGGATGCAAAATAATACATTTTCAAAGAGCTAGGGTGAGGAAAGGAATCTTTTATTTTTTTTCTCGGATACATTCCAAACACAGGATAGTGCCTTCTTATACAGCGGACATTCAAGAAACAGCTTTTGTGATTATATATATTGAAGGGTCTGGATATATATCGTAGGACAGGGCTGTCCAGGTTGTATTTGGAATGTGCAGTTCTCATGAAGGAGAGCTCACAGATGCGCCAGCTCCTCACTGTCTCTCCCTGTCCCGTGTAGATATAAAAGCAGCATCCTTTAGGACCCAGGCCTCTTTGAAAATCAGTTGGTTTTTCCACCTGATGAAATGCTGCCATGAGGAAGCCTTCTGTTACAGGTTTATGTACTGGACTGACTGGGGCGAAAATCCTAAAATCGAGTCCGCTTGGATGGATGGGCAGCGTCGGAAAGTCTTGGTTCAGGAGGACCTCGGTTGGCCAACAGGACTCTGTATAGATTATGTGAATGGTGACCGGATCTACTGGAGTGACCTCAAGGACAACATTGTTGAAACCATCAAATATGATGGAACCGATAGGAGAACAGTGGTAACTTCAGGTTAGAAATTTCACTTTCCATTTCATATATTAATTAATGTGTTTCCAGTGTCTTCGCCCCACTTTTCCCAAGAAGGAATCCTAATCTTAGGAGACAGTTTATATAGTTTCTTTGATACCATTCTGCCCAGCTCCCAGCTGCTGATTCAAATGCAAATGAACCTGTTAGGAGTTCTTTCTTGTATCATAAAAGTCATTTTTGTATCATAAAAAAAAAAACTGCTCTTGGCATCAGGTGTTAAAATAACCGTTTCTTGTTAGGTTGCCCTGATAGAGGTGACGATCCTATGTTACAGTGGTTATATCCAGGTCTAACTCCTTCTAGATACATTAGTTTTTAATGTGCTAACTTGCCTTTTATGCAAGACTGGAAACATTTAGGAGAGTAGCATTTTGTTTTCTTGCCTAAATTATACAGACCTGAAAAATCCAGCACATATCAAGTTTTCCTGATAAGTGGTAGCTTATGTTTAAGGAAAAAAGATTCTCGGCCATACAAATTGTTTTCTAAAAGTAAAATAAAATCAGCAACTTGAAAGTGAGTGAGTCCTCTATAATTGGTGTCAGCCTGTAGGCATTGATCCAATTTAATTTCTGTTATCTTGATCTCCTGGCGTGGCAGACGTTCATGGCCATGTGCACAGAGAGTCTATGAGTGTTGCTGGAATTTTAAGGTGTTGCCTTAGAAATTGATTTGAGCAGCTTGACTTCTGACCTAGAAGTGGAGCTTGGGTATCTTCTTTTCAATAACCTTGTTTTGTTTTTGCTTTTTCCCTGTGGGTGAACAGCGGTAAACCCTTATAGTCTGGACATCTTTGAGAGCCAGTTATACTGGACATCTAAGGATAAGGGAGAAGTGTGGATCCAAGATAAATTTGGGCGAAACAAGAAAGAGAAATTGCTGACAGTGAACCCTTGGCTTACTCAAGTTCGAGTCTTCCATCAGCGGAAATATAATCATTCAGGTAGTCACAAACCTTATTTCAAATTAATGGCTATAGTCTTTCTGGAAAATGGTGGTGGATAATAATAGCTGACCTGCCTGTGCCTGAAATGTGTGTGTGTGTGTGTGTGTGTGTGTGTGTGTGTGTGTATTTTAACCATTTTGACGAGAGAAAGATAAAATTGGAGACAAAATGAAATGATGCACACCATCAGCAGATATGAAGTAAAAATCCTTCAGTCCTTGTTGTTGCTTGCAGTGTGGGAATGTCCTCTTAGGCCGCAGAATCCAGTATGGGTTAGACCCCTGATAAATGCAAGTGGGGTTGACAAGTCACATAATAGGTTTCAGGGACATCAGAAGTCTTACCCACTCTTCACAACTGCAAGGTCAGGCTAGTCAAGTCATCCCGAGCTAGGCATGCCTTAGCTTAAAGCTTGAAGGATGCATTTTTACATTCTTCCTTCTTATTTTCTTAGTTCTGGGTACTGCTTCTTCAGGTGGTGGTTGTTTTGTTTCTAAGGTGTGTCTGACTCTTTGTGACCCCATGGACTGTACCCCATCAGGCTCCTCTGGCCATGGGATTTCCCAGGGCAAGAATACTGGAGTGGGTTGCCATTTTCTTCTCAAAGGGATCTTCCCAACCCAGGGATCGAACCCATCTCCTGCATTGCAGGCAGAGCCAGGGGCAAGTGTTCTAATTTATCCTTCATCGTTGTGTGGAGTAACGTGAAAGGGAAAGGACATTTTTGAAGTGAGGAAAGGAACTAGAAATCTGCCCAAGTCACCGAAGCAGTAGATAAGCTTTAAACCCAGAGATGATTTTTAAACTTTATTCCATTCAACCCAAAGCTCAGCAATTCAATTCTATTCTGGTCCAGTTGTCAGTAAACCCAGTTCCAGCTTGAATTCTATGGTTGTGTGTGAGCCCTATCCCAATTCGATTTAAATCTGGATTTCTGTGACAGGGCCTCAATAATTGTAATAAAGGTGATGCTGATAATCATAGCTCTAAATTCCCTAACCTTGCAATTAATGAAACTGAAGCCCAGAAGAAAAACTTCTCTTCGGAGAGCAGGGGTGAAAAAATCACATCCACTGTATGCTTTGACTGGATCACACTTTTGGATCTATCCAGATGTGGATATTGACAAACCTTGATATAATAGTGGAGTCTTACTGACCTTTTGAAATATCTCAGGTTGCTTAGTGCTGGCTTGCCAGGGCCATAGGGGATATAAGTGATGCCACTAGAAAATGTGAGGGGCGCAGAAGTGGGGTGGAGGACACAGGGGGGGACAGTGCGTGTTGGTGAGGGAGCAGGGGAGGGTAGTGTAAAGGGGGTCAGTTGTCAGGTGTCACGTGGGCTAAAGGTATCAGGATGCTGCCTGAGCTCAGATGTCGCTTGGCCGCAACTCAGTGGATGGACATGCCCCTGGTTGGAGCATTCATTCCCTCCTTGGAAACTAATCGCTGTTCTCATCTGCTTTCCAGTGCCCAACCGCTGTAAAAATGTCTGCAGCCACTTGTGCCTTCTGAGACCTAGGGGATACACCTGCGCCTGTCCCCAAGGATCCAGATTTCTGGAAGGGAGCGTCACAGAGTGTGATGCAGGTGGGATGCTGCCTGGGCAGCCGTGGGGGCTGGGGGGAGCTCCTTTGCCATCTTTAGTAGATTCCCTTACCTAGGCTTCACCTTTTTCAGGAGCCTGAAGAACCCCTGGGTACTGGTCTCTTGCAGAAGAGAGTGGGGGTGGCTGAAAGGAAGGATGGGAGATCTGGAAACTATGAACAGAGCTGAGTGGGACTGAAGGGGCTAAACAGGACTTGTGTCCCTGTGATTTCTGAGAATTGTTTGCCAAAATCTGTAGAGATTTACATCCAGTGCCCCTAAATCGACTGTTGTGTTGTCTTATAAAGACATTTTGAAGAGTGAATTTTCTATAAGGCCTCATCCTCCAATCTGCCCCACATTGGATCCCAGTCACCCCAGAATCTATTCAGCCTTACTGGGAGTTCCTCAAAGTGGAAAACCAGGCTCCAGAGGTTGGGGGGTGGTGCTTATCCTGTACGGAGGGGAGACATAGAGTTCACTCTTTTTCCCATTTGCTTATTTCAAAGTTTTGACAACTGAAAAAGGGCCATGTTTTAAAATGTACTTTATGCTGTTGACAGATGGAAGCTGAAATAAATAAGCAGTGGTTTAATTCTCATCCCAAATGCTGTAGATGACCTATTCTTGGCAAGACCTTTCTTCGGTGACTTTATTAAGGAGTTAAAAAGCCATAGGTAGTAACTAGTTAGTGTCCCTAACTAGTATCCAGTGCTTGAGAAGGATGATAGGAACATCATCCTTGTTTACTAGCCGCCCATGTTGCAGCTCACATTCTGGGGACATGAAGAGGCATAACCATGTTCTGCCACTAGGGGGAGCAAGCAGTGAAACAAGGCACCACCTGTTGACTCTTCCCAATCAGGCTGAAAAGTTGCAGGTTTAGAGAAAGAACTCAGCAAGTAACCGCCGCTTCCGCTCTCTCTATCCCCACTCTGTCCCAGTGCTACTGGGGAAGTATTTGCAAGATTACGACCTTTAGCAAGGGCAATTTTGAAGATCTTAAAAAATGAGATCTCCAATCAGCTGTCTGTCAAGCGTCTATTGATCTGTATCTTTGTGTCTGTTTATTGATCAATGGATTGCTGATGCTGCAGAGCCTTTAGCGGATGTTTCAGGATGTGCCTAAATTGAGCTCTTGGTTTAACTGGGTTCGAAAAGAAGCATTCTGAAAACTTCAGATGAAAATGTGAATGTCCTAAGAGATTTACCACAGTGTTCTTTTTAACTATTAGTGTGTGTTTTCAGGAGTCTAGTATCTCTCCACTATTTGGGGGGGGGGGGAGGGCTGCTATAAACTGCCTTTTTTCCCCCTATCAAATATATGTTAGTATCCAAGACCTTATTGATAAAGGAATTCACTGACTTAAGGGCAAGTTATCGTTTTGATAGAGAGGATAATCAGCTGCCCCACTCCATCCACTCCCTACTCCAGCTTGGGCTGAAACGAGTTTGCAGGTTGGGAGGCTCTGCTGAGTGTGGCTGATTCACACATGTGTGACTTTCCCTTTCTGCAGCCATCGTAAATGCTATCAGCATGCCTTCTCCATGCAGGTGTATGAATGGAGGAAGCTGCTATTTTGGTGAGAATAACCTCCCCAAATGCAAGTAAGTCTGAATGTTGAGGTCTGAACTGTAGGTCTTACCCCTTCTGGGGGGAATTTGAGACCCTTAAAAACGAGCACAAGAGCCTTGTCAATTTTCATATCATAATCAGCTTGCCCTCCAGGGGGGGAGCCCACAGAGAACTAAGGCAGTGCTTCTCAAAGTATCATGTGCATTAGAATCACCTGGGGTTTTGGGAAAAATTGCCCATCTCATTCACAGGGATCCTGCATTTCTAACTCCTGGGGGGAAAGAAAGTGAAAGTGACAGTCTCTCAGTTGTGTCCGACTCTTTGCGACCCCATGGATTATAGAGTCCATGGAATTCTCCAGGCCAGAATACTGGAGTGGGTAGCCTATCTCTTCTCCAGGGGATCTCTGGACCCAGGAATCGAACCGGGGTCTCCTGCATTGCAGGCGGGTTCTTTACCAGCTGAGCTACTAGGGAAGCCCCACTCCTGGGGGGATGCCACAGAATTGTGTGCCCCATTTTGGGGAGCAAGAAATGACAGCCCAATTTTCCTCCTTACCTGGGATTGCTGATTTTAACTGTGAGAGAGCAGCCATTAGCAGAACTGCTTCAGTGCCAAGCTCTCCAGAGGAAGAGACTGGGCTAAAGATTTGGAAAACAAAATTATCAAGAAAGCTCTTCACATGGTGCACAAAGATGTTTAATGAAAGCATGTTCAAGGGAAAAACACGATGAAGGTTTCCGGGTTTACTCTCCGAGGAAGAATTCCATAGATTAGAGAAGACACCAGTAGGTCAATTTGATGAGGCTGACTCCATAGATGGCACAGCTGTTCCCTGTGAAAGTGAGTTTCCATAGTCAGATTACAGTTAAACCTAAGGAAGCAACAGCTCATGAATGGTTCTTCCTTTCCTTTCAGGTGTTCTAGTGGCTACATGGGAGAATATTGTGAAATGGGGCTTTCACAAGGCGTTCCTCCAGGAACAAGTAAGTTTTAAGGATAATGAGGGATCTGGGACTGCATCATGCTCCCTCAGTTGGGTGCTGTCTATAATCTGTTTAACTCAGTTTTGGAAGAAGTAAAGGTTCTCACCCCCAGGCCCGGCTGCTCAGCCAGCTCGCTCTTTTCCTTCTTCTCATGTTCACACATTTGCTGCTTCTTCCCTCTTCGGCAGCGGCATCCGTGCTGTTGACAGTCATCTTGATCATCGTAATTGCTGCTTTAGCCGCTTTCGGATTTTTCCACTATCGGAAAACTGGCTCCATTTTGCCTTCTCTGCCCAAGCTGTCAAGGTCAGTTTCATTATGTGGAATATTGAGTTTAGAAATCTGTATGATCTGTAACCACATGAATAACTTAGTTCTTCTTTTTTAAATTAAAAATCATCCTAGAGTGTTCACCTACTCTGCAGAAACAAAAGATGCTGAACTGAAAGCAGTCACTTCTTCAATTGCTTCTCTGAAGCCCAAGTACAAATCACCTTTTAGAGTGTAAATGGCTGTGTCTACCAGGTTACACTGGAGAACAGGCTTTCTTTCCCCTAGTGCCCGGCTGGCCCTCTCCTGGTCCTTAAGCATCCAGGAATGTGCTTGAGCACTTCTGGGTGACCAAGGGAATTTACTCCTGTACATGATATGTAAATTCAAAAGTGGGATTCAAGCCTTTCAGTGAAGTAAGCAGTTAGCTAGGAAACTAGCTAGGCAATTATTGCAAAAGATAAAAAAAAAAATAACAAGACACGTTTGATTATTTCTTTTCAGCCTAAGCCATCTGAAATCCTCTGAAAATGGAAATGGGGTGACCTTCAGATCAGGGGGTGATGTGAACATGGATATTGGAGTAACTGGTTTTGGGCCCGAGTCTGCTATTGACAGATCGCTGGCGATGGTGAGTGTGGTTACAAAATGACTATTTGAAGGTTATCATTTTTACTGCTTTATCAAAGAAATACTTAAGGAAAATATATTTATTTATTTATTTGGGTGCATCGAGTCTTAGCTGCGGCGTGCGGGATCTTCATTGTGGCACATGGACTCTCTAGTTGAGGCCCATGGGCTCAGTAGTTGAGGTACCCGGGCTTAGTTGCCCTGCAGCATGTGGGATCTTAGTCCCCCAATTAGGGATTGAGCCTATTCCTTGCATCACAAGGTGGATTCTTAACTGCTGGACCACCTGGGAAGTCCCAAGAAACACTTGGGAATAAAATTCACCTAGTGAAAAAAAAAAAATGAAATACAGTATGCCCCTCAGAAGAAGTCTTCACTCTACAAAGTCCTAACTTTGAGCTTGTTGCAGAAATGTGTCTAAAAACATTAGTAATGAAATTGAAATGAACCCCTGAGCTAGAAGTAAGTCACACTGTTGACCTGGAATCCTGCACAGTTTTAAGTTTAATTGAAATCTTAAAACAATCTATGTTTTGGGGAAACAGGGGAGAGGGACCATGATATTCTGTCTTTATTTGATGACTTTTTATATGTTAAAGGAAGAGGCAGGGAGATACATGTTGCCTAGTCTCATATATTTTCCCACCGATGTAGTGTTGGGATAAACATGTTTTTGAGTCAATGGTTGGTTCAAATCACAACTCTGCCAGCTTCTAAGGATGTGATAGTAACATGGAGCTTGACTTTCTGTCCCCATCTGTAGAGTGATCCCTCCTGTGAGGACCAAATACTTCATGAGTGGACTAGGATCCACTGCAATGTTTATATTCGGTGATAGGAAGCCATTCTCAGCCTTCTGCCTCCTCCCCAAATCTTTCCTCTTTTGTCCCTGCCTAAAAGTGCAGTGTTATCCATTCTTCTTTCCCCTTCTGCCTCTTCTCTTTGCTTCTCTTCCACCTCCCACCCTTCTATGTCCAAAGCCAACCCCCAAGTAGCTTTGCTTTAAGGAACCATAGAGTACTCAGAAATGGGAAGAGTGTTTTTGTTTCCCTGAGCTGATGAGTTAGAGCATTTATGTTGCTTTACACAGTGTTTGCCTTATGGAGGTCTTGTGTCTCTGCTAGCTTTTCTTTTTTTGGCAAGTTCTCTTTTGGGTCAGTTTGGCAAAGCACCTAACATACCTCCTGTAAGGAGTGCATCTTCTGCTATGTGTGAACCAGGTTTGCATGGTATAATCCTTTTTATCCTTCATCAGAATGAACATTTTGCCACAGACTTCGGGAAGCCGCCCATCATATTTGAGAACCCGACATACACCTCCAAGGACACCGCTATCACAGCGGCTCAGCCAACAACAGCCCCGGTGAGAAACCACAGTCCTGTCTGGCAGTTGCTGCTGCTGTTGAGTCTTGTCCTTTGGAATAATGTGCCTTTAGCATCCTCCCAGCCTTCCCTCCATGGAAGGAAGCATGGTGGTCCCTTCCTTGGCTTCACGCTCTGCAGTCACAGGACGGGCCCAAGAACAGAAGACCTGAAAACAATCAGAATCTTGGGTTTTGGCCGCCATTCTGGGGGTGCCAGCTAGGAGCAGTTCCATCCTGAGTGGCAGGGCGTTCAGAGGCACGGTGGACGTGGTGCCTGGCACGCACAGGTGCTTTGTGAATATCTGTGAGCTGAGTGAGCGGACAGTCCTCAGGCCATTATGGAGAGGCCTGGGGTTCTGGGCACACACTGTCTGGTCCTTACTGGTATCATGAGGGTGTAATTTGAGGTGACTTCCCTGCTCGCCTTTCTCATTCTTTTCTGGAAAGTGCAGAGGTCTCTGAGTTTGGTAGACGGATACCAAAACTTCCTTTGGTATAGTCCCATTACTCACTTATCTTTAAGAGGAACAGAGCGATCAATTAGACAGATGGACGGAGGGACATTTCTTCATTAGGTCCGGATCAGTAGTCCCAATGCCACTGCCAGTACCTGTCAATTGTCAGTTAGCCCGTCTTCTTGTCAGAACCACTAGAGCTAAACTTCCTTTGAATCAGGAGATATAGTACATTTTAGTATGACAGAAATGTTTGAATCTCGAAAGCATTTTGCCTGATTCTTCAACATCCAGATAGTAAAATTTTAATCACATGATAAAATAGATTTTTGGTATTTTCCCTTGAAATAAAATGAGGCCATGTTTACAAATGGGTTTCCCTCGTAGCTCAGATGGTAAAGAATCTGCCTGCAGTGCAGGAAACCCAGGTTCGATCCCTGGGTCGGGAAGATCCCCTGGAGAAGGAAATGGCAACCCACTCCAGTGTCCTTGCCTGGAAAATCCCATGGATAGAGGAGCCTGGTAGGCTGCAGTCCATGGGGTCTCAAAGAGTCAGGCATGACTGAGCGACTAATACACATACACACACACGTTTACAAATACATTTCCAAGTTTGAGAAGAAATGAATTGGTGAATGTAAAAATACAGGAAAAGTGGTGAATTTCTACCCTGTAATTTATTAATTCTATATCCATGGTAATTTGTGCTTTTAAGAGGGAACCTTGGAATCACGTGAATGTTACAAAAAAATATGTAGAGGAATATTAATGTCATTATGCTTCTTGTTTTAAAAATTTTATTCTAAATAGCCAAAGGTAAAACACTCAGTTCACCAGTGAGTTTGGGAGTAATTCATACCAGAAATACGGTCAGCAGTGGGAGTAAGGGGCCATAGAGAAAACCATAGAAGTTGCTCTCACTCAATGAGAGTATGATCGGTAATGAGTGGATTTGTCTCCCAAGAATAAGGCATGAGATAGACAACTTAGTAGTTGGTGCTCCTGATTTGGGGGAGATGAGAGTGATGTTTATTGCTGGACCACAGGGCTGTTTTCATGTAATAAAAATGGTGCCTGGTCATATTTGGGGGGGGAGCAAGGTAGTAAGCAGAATCAAAGAGTTGATAAAGCAAAAATTCTTTGAAAACTGAATAATGGCCTTCCATATGCACACAGGTAACCGAATCTGGAACAGTGCATAACAAAAACTACGGCAGTCCTCTAAACCCTGCTGAACTAGTTACAGACACAAAGCCAACTTCCTCAAGTGATGAAACTCAGGTAACAGTGACTGGCATAATACGGGATTTGGGAAGGACTTTGGAATTGCTGGGTTTATTAATCCTATTCAGACTAGAGAGACTGTGATGGGCTCACAGATCCCAAGATGTGTAGGCAATTAGTAAAGACGATTTTTAAAATAATAAATTGAAAAAATTCTACTGAGTAAAGCTACATTCTAACATTGAGTTGAGTATGATGTTCCTTGTGACACGGGAGACAAAGCAGGAAAGAAGGGTGGCATACTTCTGAACCCAGCCTCTTCAAATCAGAGGCATTTAATTTGAGATAACAGCTTAAAATGAATAAAGACCTCACCGTGTCAATGCTACATATAGAGAACCTTTTCCTTTCCCGTGCAATGCAATTTTTCTGCTGTGTATGTCTTTGTTCCCTTAATAATGCATGTTGCTTTTACTCTACTGTTGTTACTGATGCTCACCACCTGATGGCACTAATCTATACTCGCTTGATCTTTCCATCTAACATCATTATCCTCAATGTGCCAGGCACAGTGTTTAATACTGAAGAGTAAAAGAAGAAAGAACACTAGATGAAGCTTCTCTATCTTGTCTGCAGATCCTTTGACATTTGTAAACTATGTAGTCTACAGAGAGAAATTTAATAAATTTGATACAAAACTTTACATGAATGGATAATATATCATTAGTTTTAATAGACACATAGGAAGAAGCTATTTCAGATATAGATGATTGATTCTGGGCAACTATTTTACCTCTGGGCACTGTTGGCATCTTGGGTTGGGCAGTCCTTTGTGGCACAAAACTATGCTGCACGTTGCTGGACATTTTCGTGTTCCTGGCCCCTGTCCACCAAGTGCCCGTAGTTTTCTCCAATGCATTGTGATCCCTCCCCTACCCTCAGCCCCTAAACATACACTCCAGTTGAAAACAGTAGGATCTGGAACGTTAAAGGTTCTATGACTTTTGTGAAGTTATATGAAGGAACAAAAGCCCAAGGGTAGTTAGAAATCTTACCATTTTATAGAATAATCCCTGTTCTCAAATTGCATAATCTATAAACAAAATTAGTGTCTGCAAAGTCATGTTGGATTCTCAGCACTTCACATTGGTTCCTGTTCTGCTCGTTCAGGTCAAAATAAAAGTTGAACTAAATTGATGCTAATGAGGAGAGCTTATAACAAAGGTGCCTTTGTCCACCTTTTCATCTTTCATTTACTAATTCCTTCTTATACACACACACACAAATGTAGTCTTAGGAATTTCCACTTTCATATTTTTGATATTTCATATTTTCAAATGATTGCATATTTTTCTTTAAGCTACATTGAAAACTTTATTTTGCAGACTACTTTTTCCACAGACACCAGAATACCTAAATGTCACATGTTGGTTCCCCAAGTCTGACTCGGCCCCGTGGCAGTGCCAGATCTACATTATATTCTCAAGTCCAGTGATCCCCTTCTTTGGACAGAGCTCTCTCCCAGCTGAGCAGGAAGGGGAACATGATGGAGATTCAGCAACCTCTGCCCTGCACAACAGTAATAAGAAACACTGATTCTCTCGAGTAGAGCAGACCTTTACCAAATGCAGTCCTTTTCTTTCTCATCTCCATCTTTGCAATATACTGGCTCTTCTTACTTTTTTCTTTTTTTAATCAGTTGAGTCTGAGGCCCTCTAACATCTGCCCTCCATGGTATGTCCAGGGATATTTCTATGACCTTTGCCTCCTCCTGGGAACTGAGATAACAGCCAGAGTGGCTGTAGAACCCCTTGGTTAGAATGACCTTAGGTTGACATTAATGTGCCAGAGAGGCTTACCTTTTTCTCTTTCATCAATAAATCTGCTCAAAGGACTCAAAAAACATGAACTCCTTGGTTTAGTTCTGTCATTTTCAAAAGCTGTGTTGACATGCATTGGACTTCCCAAGAAGATAACAATGAAAATCACTGCTGCTTCTCTTGTTAGTAATCACTCAAGTCCATGGGGCCATTCCACACTGAAGCAATGAGTTTGGGCCTTCCCCATTAAGGGTAGGTTTCCAGAGGCCAGGCTTTGACCTGAGTATCTCCATCTTCCCCTTGGTGGTGGCTGTGTGCTGAGTAGCTGCTCAATTAAATGTGAGTGAATGCCTTCTTCCGTTTCTGTATTCACATGCTCTCTAGTCCTGCACATGTTGGCCCTCTACTTTCAGAGAGCAGGAGACACTTCATAAAACACATGTGCCACCTTAGCTACCTGCAGGAGGGTGTGCTCTATTTCCCAGTCTCCTGTTCTCTTGTCTCCTAGCTGGCAGCCAAAGCTGAGGCCAGCACTCTACCATGGGCAGCTTTTCTGTAAAACAGGGGCTGTTCATCATAGTCCAGGGTGATTTCTCTTTGGGTTCCTTAGTTTTGAGACATCTGAATCCTAGAGGCATTGCCTGCTCCCCTACCTACAATTTAGTTCAGTGATTTTGCTGAGACTCCCTTTCCTCATCTGCAAAATAGATATAATCAGAGCCTTCGCCTTGCAGAGTCATTGGGAAGATTAAATCAGATATGTGCAAGACTCAGAATAGTTCCTGACACATAGTAAGCACTCAATCAATGTTCAGTTCAGTTCAGTGACTCAGTCGTGTCCAACTCTTTGTGACCCCATGAACCACAACATGCCAGGGCCCCCTGTCCATCACCAACTCCCGGAGTTTACCCATGCTCATGTCCATTGAGTTGGTGATGTCATCCAACCATCTCATCCTCTGTCGTCCCCTTCTCCTCCTGCCCTCAATCTTTCTCAGCATCAGGGTCGTTTCAAATGTGTCAGCTCTTTGCATCAGGTGACCAAAGTATTGGAGTTTCAGCTTCAGCATCAGTCCTTCCAATGAACACCCAGGACTGATCTCCTTTACGATGGACTGGTTGGATCTGCTTGCAGTCCAAGGGACTCTCAAGAGTCTTCTCCAACACCATAGTTCAAAAGCATCAATTCTTTGGTGCTCAGCTTTCTTTATTGTCCAACTCTCACATCCATACATGACTACTGGAAAAACCATAGCCTTGACTGGATGGACCTTTGTTGGCAAAGTAACGTAATTTCATGGCTGCAGTCACCATCTGCAGTTATTTGGGAGCCCCCCAAAATAAAGTCTGACACTGTTTCCACTGTTTCCCCATCTATTTGCCATGAAGTGATGGGACCGGATGCCATGATCTTCTTTTTCTGAATGTTGAGCTTTAAGCCAACTTTTTCACTCTCCTCTTTCACTTTCATCAAGAGGCTCCTTAATTCTTCTTCACTTTCTGCCATAAGGGTGGTGTCATCTGCATATCTGAGGTTATTGATATTTCTCCCCGCAATCTTGATTCCAGCTTGTGCTTCTTCCAGCCTAGTGTTTCTCATGATGTACTCTGAATATAAGTGAAATAAGCAGGGTGATAATATATAGCCTTGACATATTCCTTTTCCTATTTGGAACCAGTCTGTTGTTCCATGTCCAGTTCTAACTGTTGCTTCCTGACCTGCACACAGATTTCTCAAGAGGCAGGTCAGGTGGTCTGGTATTCCCATCTCTTTCAGAATTTTCCACAGTTTATTGTGATCCACACAGTCAAAGGGTTTGGAAATAGATGGAAATAGTCAACGCAGAAATAGATGTTTTTCTGGAACTCTCTTGCTTTTTCTGTGATCCAGCGGATGTTGGCAATTTGATCTCTGGTTCCTCTTCCTTTTCTAAAACCAGCTTGAACATCTGGAAGTTCACAGTTCATGTTAGTTGTTTCTAAAAAATTTTTTTCCTTCCAAACATTCTGTAGTTACGTATTTGATTTCTCATTGATCCAAGATTTAGGAGAGAGGGTTTCACTTTCCAAGTGGCTACATTTTTTGTATTGTTTTGTGTTACTGTAGTTTATACTTTGGCTGTTAATTGTTGGTTTCATGTACTGTTTGTTCTGGAATCAGTTGGCATGAGGGATCTGAGTTTCCTGATCAGGGATCAAACCCGTGCTCCTGCATTGGAGGTGCAGCGTCTTAGCCACTGGACCGCCAGGGAAGGCCCTGTTAGTTGTTTTTGTTATCATCATAATGGCAGGAGGAAATGGTGACAGGATACGGAATATGATTGAGTTGACTAAGGATCAATATGAGATGAGGGTTACAGTCTGGCTTGTTCCTTAAAGTTTCAGGCAGCCCCTGAAGAAATCTCTTGCCTGTCTCTGTCAAAACTTTTAGATTCTCGGGCACAAGTTCTGTGAACTATACATTTCGGATCAAGCAAGTGTTTTGAGATTATTAGATGACGAGAGCCCAGAGAGTTTCAGTGACTCTTCAGGGCCCTTCCATGGGAGAATTGAACAATTTCCCGCATGGGCCAGGTCATGTGGTCCCAAGTTGCAAATTGCTTTTTCCCTCTGTAAGAGGAAATTTTAAAACCTAGGCTCGGGGGGGAGAAACAAAAAATTCCATTATGAAAGTTTTCTGTTTCCTCTTTTTCCTTTAGCCAACAAAATGGAATATCTTCAAAAGAAAACCGAAACAAAATACCAACTTTGAAAATCCATTCTATTCTGAGGTAATTGTTAACAATTTTTCTCAGCCCAGGCATTCTTTCTGAGCATTAACTTGCTAAATCGGGCATGCACTCAGATTATTCTGAGCAAATTGGCCACAATTTGTCTTCTCCACACAAAACCATTTTCCATCCTGTTGGAAATAAGTGACAGATTCTTGTTTCTTTGTGGTTTTAGATGGAGAATGAACCAAAGGTCAGTGCTGCTGTGACCCCACCTCCATCACCTTCTCCTCCTGCTAAGGTTTCTTGGAAAAAAGGCTCAACTCCAGGCTACAGTGCAACAGAAGACACATTTAAAGATACTGCAAATCTTGTTAGAGAAGACTCTGAGGCATAACTGTGCTGGCTATTTAGGGAATAATTAGAAACACACTTTTGCACATTTTTTTTTTTTTTACGAACAGATGAAAAAAATTAACATTCAGTACTTTATTAAAAGAATATATTCCCCCCCCCCCATACTCCTGTAGTTGGTACTGTTTGTGGAAACAATGCCTTATGTGTCTTTTTTACTCATCTCATATTTTTACAACTAATTATCACCTTGTACTATATGTATATCTTTGCACTGAAACTCTCTGAAGGTAATGCTATAAATATATTGTACATTTGTAAATTTTGGAAAGATTATCACATCATTAAATTTGCTAATGAAAGTATCTGCTGAATTGGTTGGTGATCATTACATTCAGTGATCCACTGAAGAAAGGAATTGACTCGAGGCCTTTAGCAATGTCAGAAGAGGCACCACACTAAGACCCTATAGAATTATCAAGGAAGGGAATCCAGGCCCCACTCTTGGGTCCGTTTTCACACATCAGCACTTAGTGTTCAATTTGACCTGATGAATAGCATATCCATGGAGATGCAGATGATAGAGAAGGTTGAAAAAACTATTCAGTTCCACCCTTCTGCATGTTGGCATTATCCAAGCAGAGCTCTGTTTCCTATTATCTCCCTAGCTACCAAGTCAACATTTTTATGTTAATGTATGAGAAAAAGCTCATGTCCTTAAATCTAAGTATCCAGCAAAGAGTTTGTAATCTAGTCACATGAACTTTCATTTGATGGACCATAGAGTGATCGACACCCTTGCCTAGCATCTCAGGTGGTCACCTACTCTAGAAACTGGAGCTGAATGAATGAAAGGCAAATCTGTCTTCATAAAGGAAGGTGCAAAGCAAATACCAGCAAAGCAAAGCAAAGCCAGCTGGATTTTGTGTTTCTCTGTGTGAAAATTTTCCTTATAACTACTATTTATTTTCTCAGTTGAACATGAATAGAAAGGGAAACCATTTTTATTGAGCCTTGCTTAGGTCCTTTAGCAAAACCGTACGTTTGTATCAGAATGTATTGCAGAGTCTAGCCTTCCTCCTGAATCTAGACTCTAGTCTCCACAGCCGGAACTGTGGCAGGAATACAGTTTCCACACTAGGTAGCATTCCCAGTTCTCTGTGCTAATAATGCACATTTTACAACAATGAATGAATGAGTGTATGAATGGACAGATGGATGAATGAAACACGTACTACTGATGATTTTATTCCTGAGTTCTCAAAATATTTTTTGCTCATATTTTGAGTGCTTATTGTAATTATTTTGAAATGTACTTTGATTAGAAAAGCAAATGGAAATGATGCTGCTGAAAATTTTCTAATAAAGGTGTATTTTATCAGACTTCTTCTGTGTGCTTTATAAACCCATGTCATGAATTGGTTGTATTTTGCTGTGCGTGGAGCTCGGAACTTTGAGCGCTAGGCATCAGGGAACCAAGAATGCCCTGGGTTCAAGAGGGGAGGAGAAGGAAGAGGAAGCCACAGGTCATGTAGCCCTGAAACTGGCCTGGGGGGTGGTGAACACAGGAGGATAAAGTGTAGGTTTCCACCTGAACTCTGGGTAGGCAGCCCCCTCAGTTGCCTTAAAGAGTCATCCAGTCTCCCTCCCCTTTCCTTCCTCACACCCTAGGACCCCAGCCAGTTTCCCACCTTGGATCTGATGGTGATGGGAAGGCAGCAGCAGGGTCACAGCTGGAGAGGATGTTGTTCAGCTTGGGATTTGGGCTCCAAAGGGGTGTGTGAGCCATACCAGCCCGAAGTCAGAGTAAAAGGGAGTTCCAAAACGGTTGTGATTTCCACCTTTGGTATTTGTCTTGGGCCTTAAGCTCAATAAGAAATAATCTGGGGAATTTAAAAAATGAGAATTAATTTCCTGCTTAGCTTCATGTCTGGGTCTCCCTGGGAAGGACCTAGAAAGCGTGCTGCTGTGTGTCTGTCCTCGCCCATGTGAGCTGGCACTGGTCAGACCGTCAGTGGGTGGGTCACCCCTCCTTGGTTGGCTCTCCCAGCTGGGGTCCTGCCCCTGCTTTATTCTCTCCTGGAGAGAAGTTATGCCAGGTGTGTGGGGCGGGGGCAAGAGGGGGAGGTCAGGAAACAGGGTGCTGTTTAGAGGATGAAAAAGCTGATGTGACTCAGTATCACATCCCATGAAGCCAGGTCAGTCCTAAAGGAAATCAACCCTGAATGTTCATTGGAAAGAATGATGCTGAAGCTTAAGTTCCAATACGTTAGCCACCTGATGTGAAGAGCTGACTCATTGGAAAAGACCCTGAGGCTGGGAAAGATTGAAGGTGGAAGGAGAAAGGGGTGACAGAGGATGAGATGGTTGAATGGCATCATTGACTCAATGGACATGAGTTTGAGCAAGCTCCAGGAGATAGTGAAAGACAAGGAAGCCTGGCATGCTGCAGTCATAGGTTCACAAAGAATCGGACTCGACTTAGTGACTGAAGACAGTCACATGAGGTGGAAACAATTTTATCAGCAGAAATGTGTTATTGCACAGTGTAAAATCACAACCAAAATCCCTTTTCTCCTTCATTCATTGATTCACTCACTCACTCACTTGCCTATGTTCTTACCAGCATTCAGTTGCAGATGAATGGACACCAGTTAAATATGATTTTAAGGAAAATGTGTGAGAGGAGAACTTTTAGTGGGGAATTCCATCCACTAATTCTTGGCTTTTTTTTCCCCTGAGTTAGGAAAAGATCACTAATATTTGATTTTTGAGATAGAGTACATCAGGCTGGCTCAAAAATGAGAGCTAGTTAGGCCCTGGGGTGAGGGAGGGTTCTGAGGAAATTGGTTTTAGATGTACATTCTGGAAAGAGGCCTGGCCCTACAGCCTGGAGCCCTGGGTTGCCCTTGAATTCTCAGCCTCTCTTCAGTCTTCCTTTCTGCATTCATCAAGCCATAAGTCATACTGAAGATGACATATGATTATATGTTTCCGTTTTTTTTTTAAATGCTAATTTTATCTTGGAGTATATTTGATTTACAGTGAAAAGAAGTTGGACATACATGGAAAGTGTCTAAACCTTGGGAGAGGAGGGCCAGCTCTTGAGAGCATTGTCTCATGCCTCCAGTGGTCCTAACCATGGCCATCTCAAGATGATGATAAAAAAAAAAAATCACCAGGCTTGTCAACTCCTGGAAGTTACCAGCCCTGTGGAGGACTTTTAGTCACATCAATTAGGTGCCTCTTCCTGGAAGTGAATTCATAACATTTTGTTTGAAAATCAACCACGTGTCTGCATTCACTTTGTGTCCATGATATTCTGGAATAAACTATAGGAAACAAAGCAAACAGTTCTCCAGAAATTATGTGACATCACTGAGTCCGCTTGGCTAACAATATAGTCATCGGATGCTATCCCGTCTCTTGTAGACTAGAGAGGAAGCGCTCATATTTCTGCTTCTCTGATAATTAGCATCCCCTAATGATCGTCGTTTGCTAACAGCACAGTTTCCCAACCAATTACTTCCATCACAGGAGCTAGGCCATCCTCCTGCTGCTAATCACTGAGCCTCAGCTGCTGCTTCTGTGGAAAACAGAGGGGGGCTATGAGAGTTCAGTGTGAAAATGCATCAATGTGTAGAGAGTGTATACAGCCCACTGCCTGGCACAAAGCCCCGAATCCCCAGTAGTCATGATTTTGATCATTTATTAAATGGAAGAGAAGGGAAGAGGTTTTTTTTTTTTTTTTAAATGAAGAAATGTATTTTGGGCTTCCCAGGTGGCACAGTGGTAAAGACCTGCCTGCCAATGCAGGGGGCATGGGTTCAATCCCTGGTCTGGGAAGATCCCACATGCTGCAGAGTGGCCAGGCCTGTGAACCGTAACTATGGACCCTGCGCTCTGGAGCCCAGGAGCTGCACCTACTGAGGCCTGGGTACCCTAGACCCATGCTCTGCAGCAAGAGAAGACACTTCAGTGAGAAGTCCTTGCACCACAACCAGAGGGTAGACCCTGTTCCCCGCAACCAGAGGGAAGCCGACATGACAGTGAAGACCCAGCACAGCCAACATAAACAAGTAAATACGATTATTTTTTAAAATAGAAATGTACTTTAAAAATCTTTATAGAATGCAATTTCATGTTTAATTAGTTAAGTACTTTTGGCCACCCTATGCAGCACATGGCATCTTTGTTCCCTGACCAGGGATTGAACTTGTGCCTCCTGCAATGGAAGTGCAGAGGCCTAGCCCATAGACAGCCAGGAAGTTCTCCAGGAAATCTATCTTTACAAGCTCCTTGGGGATTTTAACATGACGCTAAGGATAGAATTACTAATCTAAATAGAAGTGACTAATCTTTTTTTTTAAATGATGGATGTTATAGGGGTGGTCAAGATTTTCTCCAGGCCTGTGGAAGAATGCATAGATCTTGTATGCAATGAGGCTGGAGTGTAGATAAAATGTAGAGTCTCATTTTATTGTCATGCAAGAGTAATGGGAAGGCAGTAAAGAACCCTGGATGTGAAAGATGGGAATCCCAAGGTTCAGAAAGGGAGAGCTCATACACCCATCACAGCCTGGGGAACATGGCCCAGGTTTTTGCAGTGCCCCATATCAAGGGCTTTGCTGAATTAAAGAACAGGTTGATGAAGGAATTTGATAGAATATATTTAAAACCCATTCTTCTATCTCTTCCCATGTTTCCAGGCTCCAGAGGACTTTAATTATGCTCTTAGTTTCCCTGAGCTCCACTGTGGCTGCGATTCCTCAAGAGGCCTTCTGGAGGCCAGGGAAGAGGAGATGAGAACATCCTGAGTCTTCCTGATATTAGAGACTTTTACCCCAAGATGAGTGGGATACAGTCTGTTTCCAAGAGTGCAATTGTATATTTATTGCTTCTAAGTTTTCACTTGTCGAGTTATTTTTTTTTTTTAATTCAAAATTTAAAGGATAAGCAATCTTGAGCTGTTCTTGGCAACAGTGCTTTGCCACTGTTTTCCAAATTTTCAAGGGACTGGATTCACTCAGTGGAGGTTAACAG